AATCCATTACTAACCTATTTATTCATTTGAATAATTTAGTTAAATTTTGTTAAATTTATAATAATAAAACTGAATAAATTAATGGTTTGTATGATACTGATAGATTTATGATTTGTTATATATATATATATATATATATATATATATATATATATATATATATATATATATATATATATAAAGATTATACTAGTTATTAAAATGAAAAATAAAATATAAAAATTTATAATTTATAGAGAATATTTTTCTTTTATTATAATTAGATAAAATAAAATAAATATTATTTTTATAATAATTTACATAAATAAAATATATAAATATATTGTAATAAAATAATCTATTATAATGTAAACATAACAATTTTTATTTATATTTTTGTTATAATTATTTAATAAAATAATTTTATTTTTATTTTTTATTTTAAAAAATCTATTCTTTTATAAAATAGATCCATACATAACCTATTTCATCTAAATTCATGTAAGTAGTAATCTAAATTAAACCAAAATATATTTAATTTATATCTATTTTAATTTTCTTACTCATAAACTTCAAAAAATAATATTTATCTTAATCTCATCATACCTGAATATATGTTTCATTTATTTTGTGTGCAAAATAATTTTATGTTTTTTAAAATAATTTCAATGGAACATTTAAACCTAAATTGAGATTTACAAAACAATCTTGTTAATTAATATTAAATCATTAAATCATTACATGTGATTGATAATTATAAAAATAATTTTTATATTTAAATTGTCCATTTATATAAAAAAAAACAAATTATATTAGTGAAATAGAAATTGAACTTTGATAAGCAAATTGTTATGTTTAAATTTAATTTTTTACATCTTTCTTGTCAAATGAATCACACTGAAAACTTAAATTCAGACATTGTCTAATTAGTACACAAAGAATTACCTAAAAAAATAGAACACTACTTGTTATATTAAAAACAAATTCTACTTCCCAAAAATTATAATAATAAATAATTTTAATAACTCGAATAATAAATTCATACTAACACGTGTTAAATTCAAGATGGTATATAAGACAATATTAGTCTATAGTTTTGAAATTTATTTTGATACATAAATTAATATAAAAAACAGAGATAATAAAAAATAGCTAAACAAAAAAAAATGATTTATAAAAAAATAAAATAATTTTATTTATAATTTTTGTTAAAATATTTAAATAAAAAATATATTTATTTTAATATTAATAATTATTTTTAAAATATAATTATACATTATTACTATAATATATATTTAAATTAATTAATTATAAGAATATTTATAATTTTGTATTCAATAATGATTTTATGTTTATAAATTTGCATTTTCTCCTTGTTTAACGTGAGCTAAAACAAATAAATGGTGAAATTATTAGATAGTTGTGTTGGATTATTGTAATGAATTTTAATTTAGTAAATAGAGATTTAATTAAACCTATATATACCTATAAATATTATAAATGTATTTTATAAAAAATATATAAATTCTTTAATTAATTTATTTCTTTAAAATAATAGGAAACCGCTAAAACGCATCACTTTATATATTGAAAATATTTTATTAAAATTTTAAAAAATACATTATGTTATTCTTGATAGTTGATTGATGATATTTTTAGTTAATATAATATTTTATATTGTATTTAATTAAGTCTTATGGTATATACGTGAAATTTTAATGTGAATATACATATTATATTGTTATAATTTTGAATTATTTTTATAAAAAGAGATTTGATACGATTCAAACTTTATCTTATAATTATAAGTTAATACACTAAGTTACTAAAATTATTTTATAATAATTTACAAATAAACTATATTTATATAGAAATATATAAATATATTTTTATATATTTTATATATTTATATATTTATATATATTTATATATTTATATATTTATATATTTATATATTTATATATTTATATATTTATATATTTATATTTATATATTTATATATTTATATATTTATATATTTATATATTTATATATTTATATATTTATATATTTATATATTTATATATTTATATATTTATATATTTATATATTTATATATTTATATATTTATATATTTATATATTTATATATTTACATATTTATATATTTATATATTTATATATATTTACATATTTACATATTTATATATTTATATAATTATATATTTACATATTTATATATTTACATATTTATATATTTACATATTTATATATTTATAAATTTATATATTTATAAATTTATATTTTTATATTTTTATATTTTGATATTTATATATTTTTATATTTATATATAATTAAATATTTATTTTTTAAAATCATTTAATTTAATAAATTATTATAAATTAATCTAATTATGATTAAATTAAATTATTAAATAAAAAATATTTTATTTTTTAATTAGGTGAATAATTAAATTATATTATTATATAATTTTATCGACGGATCGGTAAATTCATCTATAAATTACCAACGGATTTATCGACGAATATATCCGTTCGGTAACTAATTATTATTTTACCGACGGATATATCCATCGATAACATCAAATTTCACAAATATTTTTTATCCGTCTGTAATTTCATTCGGTAATGATTATTTTCCGATCGGTTACAAATTCTTCGTCATTAAAAATTCGTTGGTAATGCACAATTTTCTTGTAGTGATATATATATATTAATAAAAGATTATACTAATTATTAAGATTAACAAAATATAATAAATTTATAATTATAAAAAATACTTTTATTTTATTATAATTGAACATGTAAAAAAATAAAATAAATATTTTTTTATAATAATTTACATAAATAAAATAGATAAATATATTATAATAAAATAATCATATAAACATAGCAAATTTTTATCTATATTTTTTATAGTTATTAAATAAATAATAAATTTTAAGTTAAATAAATTTATTTTTACCAATCAATACAAAAAAAATGAAACCGTATTGAAAATATTTTACGTATAAAGTGATCATCACTTAAATTGTTAATTAATGAATATAAGGACATTGCCGCTGTTTGTCAGAAACTTGTGTATTTTTCAATTCTAATATAATCTTTTCAAACAACATATAATTTTATATGTGAAATTACCTAATAACAGTTAATAATGCTACAAGTTTTTATAATAAAAGTAATGTAAAAATAATATCCATTAATATTAAGAGTGATATAAATCAAATATTACTAAATAATTTTCATTACAAAAAAAATATATGTTTTTAACAATAAATCATGAGAAAGATTTTTAATACAAATATTAAAGAAAAATTATTACATTGTTCATTAACAACACTTTTGTTGGTGCTAATACACCAGACAACAAAGTACTGGCCAAGAAAATAATGAAAAATTATATAATAAAATTTAATGTTTTTTTTTCTTTATTATATATATATATATATATATATATATATATATATATTTTTTTTTTCTGATTCTCCACATTCGATTCAATAAAAAAAATTATGTTTAGTTTAACTGTGTTAAATGTTATTACAAAATGCAACAAATAATGTCACAATTTGTAAAATGACACTTCAGTTGACTTGTTTTTATTGGTCAAAATCATGTGTGATCTTGCAAACTGATTTAAATTTAGTTTAATAGTAAGTATTTTTGTTTTAAGCTCTTGAAAGTTTATCAAGTCTTAAAAACTAGATAGTAGAAGTAGTTTATCTTAAAAAACTTGTTTTAATGTCTAACATAATTCATAGTTATCATCCATTTATTAAAATAAAACCAATTCATTGAAATCATGGAATTTAAACAAAGAGTTGATGGGCAATAATTAAAGTCATGAGAAAATAAAATATGAAGAATTTAAGATGATAGAATTAATTGCTTCTATCCCTATAAATTAATATCTTTTAAGCATCTTCAGTTCAGATTCAACACCAAAATTGTATTTTTAATCTAATACTCTTTTATGGTCGATTAGTTATAAAAATAATTATATTTAGACATAAACACACATGAAATGCAACAATAAACATTTTTTAATCAAAAGGAAATACATAAAATTAAACATCACTATATCATATATTGGCTTTAGAACAAAAACAGTAAAAGAAACAATCATTACCTAGACTATAAATAAATAAATAGTTCTTCTGCACCATCGAAGTTAATCTTCATTGGTGTGACATTTCACATTTTATCACTTGCTATCAAGTTAAGAAAATCAGTGTAATAAACGAGAAAAAATAACAAACTTAGTCAATAACATAGACATTTTATGAAACTTAAATAAAACATTTTTAAACATAATAGAACAAATTGAAGCAAAGATATATTTCAGCCATTAATTATTATTATTATTATTGAATTTAAAAAAGTTGGTGAAACATGTGAATAGTCTAACTAAATTTATTAGACTGTTCCTTTGATTAGCTTAACTTTACTAGTCAAAAGGATCGATCAGACGAGTTGCCGTGTCAATTTGGGGTGACAAGCCGATTCATTTTGCTTATACATCATACGATATTAGAAATGTAGTTTCAAAAGTAAGTAATTTGAACTTTTTTAAGACTTTTTTTTTCCTTCATTTTTGGTAAATAAGACTGAAACTTTGCCATGAAAGTTTTTCCACAAAGGGTTTACAATTGCAACAGGAAACTGAAGAAACCAGTGAATGACACTGCAACTTGGTGGTCAGAAGCAGCACCAGCAAAATGGTTTGTTGTTTTGTATTTCTCTTATTGTCACAATTCCTTGTCTCTTGCTATTGGTCAATTAATGGACCAGTTGAATGAGAATGCCACCAGAGTACGCTGGCTATTCTATTCTTTGAATTGACCATTGTTGGCAATTACATAAAAGAAAAATTGACTTGAGGTTCCATTTCAACTTCCCTCATGGTTACTTGTTCTGAATGCATCACAATTAAAGAAACCAGATCCACCTAACCCAACTCTTCCCAACTCAACACACCACTTTCCACTCTTAATTATTCCCTCCCAACCCTCTCAAATCAATGGCTACCTCAGCCATATTATGTGCTTTCTGTCTCTTCCTTTTCCATCTCCAAAGCACGAGAGGGGATAACAACAAACAGAATAACTGCAACACCTTGCGATGCGGCGATATAGAAATTCAGTTTCCTTTCGGGTTGAAAGAATCCAACCAAGATCGTAGCTGCAGGTATTTTCCAATTCCAACTTTCCAACTTTCATGCATCAACCAGACAAAAACCATTGTAAACCTTCCAGGTTTCGGGAACTTAACTGTGAAAAACATCGATTACGCATCCCAAAGCATCCGAGTCAACGACCCCGATGGGTGCCTTCCAAAACGGTTCTTACACGGGTGGAACCTTTCGGATTCACCTTTTTTTCTGAACCCCTTGATTTATGGATCAAGTCCCTTCAACCTCACTTTCATGCGATGCCCTTCAAACGTGACGGACTCATCTCGATACCCGTTAATGCCAATTTCGTGCCTGAGCGACAACAGAAACTATTCGGTGATAGCCTCGTGGTCACAACCTATTGTGTCGTCAACGACGATGTCGGAACAGTGTCAAGTCATGTCTCAAGCTCTTGTTCCTCTCCCAGTCTTGGACATGCCTATGTGGCCCTTCTGGCCCGATCTCAACTCAGACCTTGAATTGGTGTGGACCGAACCAAGGTGCAGCGATTGTGCACTCAGTGGTCAAGCTTGTGGCTTCACTAATCAGAAAAACAAAAGTCTTCGAGTTGGGTGCTTTCCTAGGGACTCCAGCAAAGGTATGTTTATGCGTGTGTTCGTGACATAATTTTTTTTTTTCTCTCTTTTGATTCATTACTTTGCTCTTCAATTTTCCTTTTGTTGCTGCGGTTGATTCACAACAATATGCGATGTTAACGTTATCAGTTTTGGTTGGTTTGAGGTTGTTTGTCCAATTGTTTCTTGGTGGGTAAAGGGTCCATTGATTGGGAAACGAACAAGCAACAAGCAACTCTTTGTCAACTTAGGTTTAATGCCAACTTCAGAAATGGATGGTTGTGCTTGAAGTTGACACTATACGAGAATTTCAGAAAAAATAATTTAATTAACTATTTAAAATGTTTCTTGTGAATAACAAACACATTATTTGTTTATGTGGGATTTAGTTTAAAGATTAAACTTTTCACACCGTAATCAACACTGTTTATGATTATTTTTTTACACAAAACTATTTTATAGAAAAAAAATATATGGGTGGGAAATTAAAAAAAAAAATGCAGTGCGAGCGATGAATTTATTTTGTTGCCAAATTTCAGAAGTCTTATTTTCTTTTGTTGCCGAACTTTGAATAAAGAATTTTTTTTTCATGGAAGTGAGTGAACCAAAACAAAAACAAGTATTTTGATCAAAGTTGGGTAATTTGACTTTCAATTTATGAAAATGGATTATAGGATTGGTTTTCAATAAAAAAAAACATATAAACTAGGACACGTGGCACGTACTCGTGGGTGGTGATTGAATGGTATAGAAGCATGATTCATGCTACGTTGACAATGTGTGACACAGGTAGAAGAATTAGAGATGAGTTAGTTTGTTTGAAAGGGTGAGTCATGCATTGCAACCATAGATTATAAAATAATCTTAGTAAATGGTCAAGGTTTTGTTGGGTATGTTCAGCAAAGGAAGTGTGATGAGTTTGGATGTAAGCCTCAACTAACTTCTGAATTGACATATATTATTAAAAAAAAATCCTGTCAAAGTTTTATATCTATTTTTTTCAAGATAGTCTTTATTTTTTGGGATATTAAGGTTTGTTTAACTATAGTTATAATGGAAACTATTTTATATAACCTTTATTATTTTTTAAAGTTATTTTTATAATTAAATTTAAATTAAGAATTGTGAGTAAGTATAAAAATATTAAAAAATAAATAAACAACAAACATTTATGAAATTATGAAATAAGAGATTTGTTTGATGATGAAAATAACTTTTAGATTAAATTCATTACTTGCTTTATTTAAATAAGAAATCTTATGTTTAACAATATGCAAACAAGCTAATTTATGGTTTGTTTAACAAATAATATGTAGTAAATGATCTTATGTCACTAATAAAAGGTTTTTGAAATATACTTCATGTAATGTAGTACAAGTCTTCTTATAAAACCTTGCCCATCTTATATTAAACATCTTAATACTTTCTAACACTTACCTCTTTCTCAGTCTCATAACATACAATTTGTTTGTTTATTAAAACTATAATAAGAAGTCTCATTTCATTAAATAAAATTATTTAAATTGGGAATAAAATAAAATAAAATAAAATAAATTTACCCTAATTCTTAAAAATTGATGCACAGGTCTTTCACGAAGTGCGAAATATGGGTTATCCATAGGAGTGGGAATACCAGGACTCTTATGCCTAATCGGGATTTCTTGCTTTATTTGCGGTAAGCTAAGGATGGTGAGGCACCGTGAACGTGGTGGCAGAGATGTTCCGATGACAATTTCCCTGGAACCAATTCCATTGGTAACGGGTCTTGACGGTGCCACCATTGAAAAGTATCCGAAAACTCTTATCGGAGAGAGTGGTCGGTTATTGAAGGCCAATGACAACACCTGCGCAATTTGCCTCTCTGAATATGAACCCAAAGAGACTCTGAGGAGCATACCCGAATGCCACCATTATTTTCACGCAGATTGCATAGATGAGTGGCTCAGATTAAATGCCACCTGCCCCCTCTGTAGGAAGTCGCCGGAGACATCCGCAGCTTCCTTTTCTTCCTTTTCTCCCACTTCCTCTCTCTCCTCTCCACAATAGAGCCCTTCTCATAATCTATTTCATTGTTCAAAATGTCTAGAAATACATTTTTTTAATGCATTTTATATTTTTTAATTTATTAAAAATAATAAATTACCTAATTTAATCTTATAAGAAGATTTTTTTCATTAAAAAAAAAATAAAAATTTCATCAATACATTAAACCAAATCCTGAGAAACTAACACAAAGCATAATAAAAAGCCAAAAACTGATTTTACTGTTGAAGTAGGATTTAAACGAGATATACCCCTGTACTGATGTTCATTACAATATCCTATAATTATTGTAAATTTTATATTTAAAAACTTATGTAATTGAATTATGTTTTTTAGTTTTAAAAAATAATTTTAGAGATTGATTTAAAAAAAATATTTTATAAATAAATTAAACAAATTTATTTGATAAATTTAGTTTAAAAAATAGTAATAATAATGACAAATTAAAAAATAGTGACTTAACTGTGATATTATTAATATAGATGTAAATATTAATACTTGACATATAAAATTAAAAATCCTAATTTTAATAGCTTGAAGGTTAAAGTTTTCATAGTCATTCAAGTTTATGGTAAGATTTTAATTGATAATATTTTATTTTTATAAATTTGATCGACAAGTTATGGTAAGTCATCATAGTGGTTCAACTTTCCAGAACAACAAAAGTCGTTCCAGCTGCTTTCTTGCATAATTCATACGATGCTGTTCTTTGAATTTTGGCCTTGACATCATTGTTCATGATTGCGGAGTTTCCTTCATAACTTTTTGGGTGAATTATGGAATTTTGGATTTGTATGTAAATTTTTGGTGGAGTGATTGATTTTGGAGCTTTGGGTAAATCTTATGGCGAAATTCCTCGGCAATGACAAATTCAAAGAAACCAACAGATGAGTTTCAAATCATCAGGGACGCATTACCCACTTAAGATTACCTTAAAAAATTTATATGCCACAAAATATAAAAAAGGAACCAACCTCATCTCAACCCTCAAATGACAACATAAAGAAAGTAGCATACTGAAGAAAAAAAAAATTTCATTGCGAACCGTTCTTAAATGGTTTTATTTATAAAAAACTAATATTTAAAACATAAAATGCAATCAAACATCGGGGGTGTAGCTCATATGGTAGAGCGCTCGCTTCGCATGCGAGAGGCACGGGGTTCGATTCCCCGCACCTCCATTTATTTAACTGCATTCGTAAGTTTTTAACCCGTAAAATTCTTATTTATAATATTATATGGTCAACACTTTCCCTTTATCAGCGGGGATGTAGCTCATATGGTAGAGCGTTCGCTTTGCATGCGAGAGGCACAGGGTTCGATTCCCTGCATCTCCACAACAAATATTTCATGTTTTTACAAACCAAATAAACCGATCCAACCCGTTAAATTCTTATTTTGGAATGATAAAACTTTAACACTTTACCTTCATCAATGGGGATGTAGCTCATATGGTAGAGCGTTCGCTTTGCATGCGAGAGGCACAGGGTTCGATTCCCTGCATCTCCACAACAATATTTCAAGTGTTTACAAACCAAATAAACTGATCCAACCCGTTAAATTCTTATTTTGGAATTATAAAACCTTAACACTTTACCTTCATCAATGGGGATGTAGCTCATATGGTAGAGCGCTCGCTTTGCATGCGAGAGGCACAGGGTTCGATTCCCTGCATCTCCACAACAAATATTTCATGTTTTTACAAACCAAATAAACCGATCCAACCCGTTAAATTCTTATTTTGGAATGATAAAACTTTAACACTTTACCTTCATCAATGGGGATGTAGCTCATATGGTAGAGCGTTCGCTTTGCATGCGAGAGGCACAGGGTTCGATTCCCTGCATCTCCACAACAATATTTCAAGTGTTTACAAACCAAATAAACTGATCCAACCCGTTAAATTCTTATTTTGGAATTATAAAACCTTAACACTTTACCTTCATCAATGGGGATGTAGCTCATATGGTAGAGCGCTCGCTTTGCATGCGAGAGGCACAGGGTTCGATTCCCTGCATCTCCACAACAATATTTCAAGTGTTTACAAACCAAATAAACCGATCCAACCCGTTAAATTCTTATTTTGGAATTATAAAACCTTAACACTTTACTTCATCAATGGGGATGTAGCTCATATGGTAGAGCGCTCGCTTTGCATGCGAGAGGCACAGGGTTCGATTCCCTGCATCTCCACAACAATATTTCATTTTTTTACAAACCAAATAAACCGATCCAACTCTTATTTTGCAATAATAAATAATTAATACTTTCCCTTCATCAACGGGGATGTAGCTCATATGGTAGAGCGCTCGCTTTGCATGCGAGAGGCACAGGGTTCGATTCCCTGCATCTCCACACAACAATATTTTATTTTTTTACAAACCAAAAAAAACCGATCCAACCGTTGGGAATCCCAAAGAAAGTCAAAATCGACGGGGGAAAGGCTCCAAAGTTATCCAATACTTGCTGGCCCACACATCTATCGAATTCGATTCATCATCACCTTTCTCATAACCACCTCTCATTCCTCATCTCTCTTTTTCCCTCGCGCACAACGAAACAATGTAGTAGCCACTCCGCGTACCACAAACACCAATTCACAGCTTCGCACGCTTTCTCGCGTTTCTGCTATGACTCTAAGCCTCTACACTCCATGCTTCTCTCGCCTACTCCCCCACCCTTCTCCTTCTCTCCCCAAACTCTCCGAAACCTGCGTCAACCACACCGCCAACACCAACACTCCTTTTCCCTCTCTATTTTTCACCACTCCTTCTCTTCCCAACCATTCGCGATTCCTAAACGCCAAAGCCTCCGTCAGCGAGAGCCACAATGAAACCTCCGACGACATCGCCAACATACTCGACCAGCAGCTCCTGCTCCGAGTCGCCACGAACGCCAAAGACGCCGACGAGGCCTTGCAGATCATCGCCGACCACTCCTCCCGAAACGACGGCGTCGTTTCCACCTCCGACTGCTGCTTCATCATATCCGCCGCGCTTAACCGCAACAATTCTCAACTCGCTCTCTCCATCTTCTACGCCATGCGCGCCAGTTTTCATCCAGGTTATTCCTCTCTTCAGTTGACCTTGCTGTGTTAATCATTATTACGATTTGATGACGCTTGTGCTATTGTGGTGTGAGTAGTTGGCGTGAGTGGTCCTTTGGCGGAGAGATGGAAGTGGTCGAGGCCCAATGCAAATGTTTATGCACTGTTGATTCAGGGTTTAGCGGCGGTGCTAAGGGTTTCTGACGCTCTTAGAGTGATTAAGTATATTTGTGAGGTTGGCGTTTCGCCTGGTGAGGAGGTGCGGTTCGAATTAATGACATTGGATTGAATTGAACTGTTATACGTATATGTTGTGGTAGATTTGGCTTTTAGATATGTCGTGGTCAATGGATTGGACTTGTTTCTGATCATAATGTTAACAGTCTTGTTTGTTGCAGGTCCGTTTTGGGAAGATAGTGAAATGTCCTAGTTGTCGGATCGCTGTTGGTGTGGCACAGCCACAACAAGGTATTCAGGTATTCCTCCAGTGCCTCTGCCAAACTTTAATGCTATCTATCATTATTACTTTGATTATTTATGTAGTTTCTTGTTCTTTCTGAATATCTTTTTATTTTAATTTAACCACCAGTCATTGAGAAAATCAAGGATGGGGTAAGCTTATGCTTCATCGATATCCATTTAGTGCGCAAATTAATTGTGTATATTTACCTCTTTCATTTGACCTTATTCCCTTGGCTATTATTGATCAAATAATAACTCTACTACATCACTGCCAAACTTCAATTCTATTCTTGGTAAGCTAATATCCACTTGAGCAGCCTGTGAATAAGATATATTAATGTTGAATTTTGTTAATTGGAGGCTGAATTTGAAAAGGAAGTCTCGAACAGATTGGGCTTTAGCTTTATTTCACAGCCCACTCTTTCATTTTGCTTCAATATTCCCGGGTGTAAATTTTGATACACGAGTATTTTCGACATTTTTTGTCTTATCCACAATTGCTTGATGGGTTGTTGTCAGTGAGGGTTAATCTTCAATGTGTACAGAACTGGAAATGAGTTGTTATTGTTAAGTGTGAAGTTATTTACTGCTTTTGACCTTTGTTAAGATTCATGAAGCTATCTTTTTTATTGGTTATCCTTGACACCTATTTTTGAATGAAACGCTGGATAGGTGGTCTCTCTTGATATTCTCATACGTATTTACCTTTGTCAATTAATTGTGATTATATGGTAGTTTTAAAGTCAACTCAAACATTTCTGCTGCAGATAGTATCTTGTTCCAAGTGTCGCTACCAATACGAACTTGTTTCAGGTGACATAGTCAGTATTGAATCAGAAGAAATCAGGTTGGTTAGTCTTACAATTCCATTATTTCTTACATCTGTTCACTTAACCAAAAAAAAATTCTTTAATCTTTGATTTTTGAATTTCCACAAATTCCTGTATTTTATATTTTCCATGGGAAGCACCATACATTAGTTGTTCAAGTGTTTGCTCTCCCCTCCCCCACTTTATTTTGTTGTAATCAATGCTTGTCTTTTTGTTGATACATAATGAATGTGTATGGTGTTGATCATGGAGTATTCACTTTTTCTAAGGATCTCCTCCTGCCGAACGCAGCATGGACATATCGGCGTGGGAAAGGGGGTTAAGATACATGAAACTGAGGAGGCAAAACATCCCTTCTGCTGTTCACTCTATCGTGGTATGCACTCTCCACACACCTTTCAACATCTGATTGTTATGTTGTCTTCTGATTAATAGTTGTTGAGAATCGTTATATAACATGTACAGAAGTTGGTTAGTTAGCCACAAGTGAAGCAAGGAATACCTTTTGATGCATTAACCTTTTTAGATATCTATCCTTTTTCCCTTTCTGTTTAGGTGCAGACTCCTTCTGGTATGGCTCGCACTCAAAGATTTGCAACTGAAACAGTTGATCTGCCAGCACAAGAAGGAGAAAGGGTAACTATTGCCGTGGCAGCTCCATCAAATGTATATAGAAAGGTGGGCCCATTCAAATTCAGTCCAAGAGCCCCTGATTTTTATCCTGGTGAAGCTATGTGCATAACAAACCACAAAGATGGGCGGGAGTCACTACTATTAAGAGCCCCTAGAAAAGAAGAAAATTCATCATTGCTGAAACCTTCCTTCCTTTTTCCACTTCTCGCTTTGTTGGCCACTGGGGATGCTGCCTCTGGACTTATTGACCCTGGCCTTCCCCAATTACTATCAGTTGGTGCAGTTTCAACCCTTGTTGTGGGGTCTACGCTGAACACTGTTGTTCTTCCCCAGTTTAATCAGGTACTGGATTCATCACTTTTTCTCCGTTGAGGGAGGCTCTTATATCTTCACTTCACCCTATCAATTTTAATTCTCAGAAGTATGAATTTGCTGTTGGTGAAACCATACAATTTTGTTTCTCCCTTGGAAAAACTAACTGGAAAGAGATAGTTGTTTTTCAGTTGCTACTATACTATCAGTCATTTGAATTTCGAATTCATGGCTTGAAAAAATGAAACTCCTATTTACAATGAAGAGTTTGTACTTTGTTTCATTATGCACACATCCTTTAAATTTAATGCAAGAAATAGGAAAAAAATTAAGATTCTTATTAATTATAATTCTTTTCTTATCCTATCATGACCAGCTGGCCCCTTGATTTATTGCTGGTAATAAATCAATAATGAAAGTTCTTAAGAAAGATATAATATAAGTAATCTGCTTTTATTTATGGTTTCAGCTTCCGCAGAAGTCAGTAGATGCAATTGCAATCAAACAACGGCTTTTATCACAATATGATGTTCTTCTGTCTCGCATCAATGACCTGAAAGAAGCTGCTGAAAAAGAGGTGTGCTAGTTGCATGATTTGTGATAAGCATGATGATATCAACCTTTACTTATTTTGAAGAGCAAAGGGATTACACCACTTATAATCACAACAATCATTTGGAGAGACTATAAAGTTCACCATTCAACGGAGGGAAAGCTCCAATGTGCTTTGCCTCAAACATGAGCTTTCGTACTAACAAAATCTCCCTGGGGTTGAGTTTTCGTTTAATAAGTGTTGCATTGTTAAAAACAAAAATTGTCTTTTTAGAATTTGAGCCTTTAACTGACAACCTAAATACATTAACGTTGGATAACATTGTCACCTAATATGGAACCATCGGGCAGTGTCATATCTGACTCTGATTGGCATTAAAGTCTCATGGAAAATGGTACTTTGTGGAAAAGTCAGCCTGATTGAAACGAATGCAAAACAATTTCATAATTGATTGGAAGATTTAGATTATATACTAGCAACTTAATTATTAATTACTCACAGTTCGTCTATTCTGAAAATTATCCAAGCAAACTTCACTGGCTGTATATCTCATCCCCAGAATGAGAGAGTAAGATAATAGTTTATTTCTCTCCTTCCTTGAAAATATGTACCTGTAGCTTGAGTTGAATAAATTTGAGTTATACTCTTGTAGATTTGGATGTTAGCTCGAATGTGCCAACTTGAGAACAAAATTTCAGCCGTTGGAGAGCCTGCTTATCGGTAAATTGCTATAACTTCACACATCACTGTTTATAGAAATATTTGTTTACCCCCCATGATCGTTTTGTTAACGTCCTGCAATTATTTTTGGGTCTTCACTCCTTTTTGTTCTGGTCTAAAGTTTCCATTTACCATTTTATTTATGTCCAGGACACGTAGAAGTAAAGTCAAGAGGGTGCGAGAGAGCCTGGAAAACTCCCTCAGAGGACGGATTGAACTGATTGACAGCTATGCTAGGGTATGTTTTCTTTAAAAGTGATATAATATCTGCTCTCCTGAGAAGTTGTTGCTTGCAATGTTTACTGGAATAAATGTATGTAATACTGTGATGATGGTGCTCTTTCGTCAGATTTCCTCTATGATTGAAATCGAAGTGGAGATGGAGACTGATGTTCTTGCAGCTGAAACTGCTAGTAATATGGTAAAACTACTTAAACATATCTTCGTTTTGGGTGGTAATATCTAGGTATAACAAGTTTTTATACTTAGCTGAGGGTCCATGTATTGCAGGACAGCATCTCAGAACAGATAGAGCAAATCATGGAGCTTGAAAATTTGGAAGAGGTTTGTTTTTTGTTCCTCCCAGAATTATCGTCAACCTCTTAGACTAAGAAGTAGAAAGCCTTGCAGGGAAATCATTGCTATCTTAGATTTATCTTTTTGCTAGATGTCTAGCGCAGCAATTAAGAAGATATCATTCTTCCTAGTCCGTTTTTTGGGATTAAAAGCATCAGACGTGCTGACCTGTATGATAGAAGAAAAATGTCAATATCTGTCGTACCAATCTAATCAAAACTTAAAACAGGGTTGGTCCTGATCAGGACATTTAATGTGATAGTAACAACTTGGTCCATTTAGCATTAGGGGTCTTCGCTCTGTTTTGTAACAGTGTTCTCATTTTACTTTCCCATGCAGAGATGGAAAATTCAAGCAGAGGCCAATGATGAGGCTGAAAGACTTCTTAGTTCCCAGCCCATGCCTTTGGACGAAGTTTGAGGTTGTATGGACGCATCTTATTTGTGTGCTGTATAATTGGTCTTGCTTCACCTCCCACCTCAATGATCTTCTCAATGATCTTTACTTGACTGAACAAAAGAGCAACATTCACTCACCCATGCCTTTTAGCCGACAAGTATTGAAATTTTGGTATCTGAGAACAAGCACCATTTGTCACCAGAAGGGTTGCATTGCATATGATCATAAGTATGGTAATCTGTGGCATCTAATGCAAATATTTGTTGCCACTAAAACCCGCTCTCAGTTCTCGAAGTCAAGGTATATAACAGCCCGTGGTGTAATTAATTATTAATAATGGTAATATTTTAAGGAAGGTGTATATCTTATGAAAACATTATCATTAATTCACATTCATAAAATCAAAGTAATATCACTTTAATAATCTTGATTATATAATATTTTTAAATGTAATTATATTAATATTTTAATTTATAAAAACTACCATACTACTACTAGTATTTTCTTCTAGTATTGTGTTAAAAAAAAACTAATTCATGAATAAGCTTTAAAATGAGTTGTTTTTTTAGAGGTTTCATGCATGATAATGCTAACTATATATCCTGTGAGCTATAAACACTTGTTAATGTGTATAGATGCAATGCTTTTTAATGATAAACAAATTATAAATGTTATGTTAATTATTGCCCGATGATTTGAGGGTAGGCTATAGGAATCTCCAAAATTGAAATATTATGATTTTACCATCATAGCAAGCCTTGGTCAAAATTCCATACAATGATTGCTCAGATTATTCCACGTGATATCAGCCTTCTTTTATATTGTGTTTTATTCCCTTTTGGGTTGCTTTTGTTTTACTCTCCAAAGGCTACATTATAAAGAACTATTTAAGATTCTCATTCTTCTTCTAGATACCAAGGCACCAATCAAGGACCATAGAAGGTCCTACAAAATAAAGCTAAAAGGTTCAACCTTACCTAAAGGGTTGCCAAGTCTCTATTATTATAATAGGGAACTTAAAGTTGACAGTTGGCGTGAGATGATTGTGGTGAGTGTCACTTCCGAGGAAATAAAGCATTCCCTAACTTTCTTCAAATCAAGAAATGACAAAATTTTAATCCATAAAAAAAAAGTCTTGTTAATTAGTGTTCTTAAAATATTGATTAAACAATTGTAAGTTAATGTATTTAAGTTTTCGTAAAAACATATTATATAAAAAAATTAAATAAACTCCCTTAATTTAAACCTAGCCATAGACTCCTTTGATTTTGAACTGTACATTTAAGATTATGAAGAGCATTAGTTTGATAATAAATTATACATCACATTAATTTGGCAGCTCATGAACAATTAATTCTCTTTGGCCTTTTCTTATGATGAAATGTATTGGGTTGAGTATCAGATAATCATCAATTTGACATGTTGATTACTACTGATGTAGCAAGTTTTTCTTGATAAATAAAAGCACTACATATTCCTTAGAAAATAATAGCGTATCAAATTAAAAAAGAAAGGTGTATTTAGCTATAATTTAAAATGAATTGAAATTCAAAAGATATTTTAATTTAAATGAAAGAGAGGTGTATATTTTATTCTGAGAAATTAAATTAAACATTTTCGTGAAACTTCATAAAATAACTAGGATAAAAATTGTATAGTTTTAAGAAAGATTATATATTAAAATTTCGTCCACATGTATCCGGAAGCATGTTGATAAGGGATGTTTCCATATATTTGAAAAGCTTAGCTATGATTTTAATCCTTTGATTTTGGTCTCTAAATTAAAACAAAAAATCTTTTAAAATTGAGAAAATATAATCTTGAACTTTAAAATCTAAATTTGAGAAAATAAAATATTTTTATAAAAATTAATTTTAACTATTTTAATTTAAAGGGATAAAAAATTATCTCAAATTTAAAAGATTTAAAACACAATTAAACTTGTTTGATAATATAAACATGTTGACTTTGAAGGATAAAAGTTGTAATTGGTAAAGTTAATATTTAGAGTCAGAGGCAGGCATTGATTAGTGAATTGAATAGCATAACCACACACAAGTTAGGTTATTAGAGAAGGTGTTGCACAAATAAAAATAAAAATAAATTATGATAAAAGCAATCCATTCTTTTTGTTAAAAAACTTCTTCATTCTTCAACTTCCCTCGCTTTTCTTAAACTTAAGAAATATATTGATATAACTTTTAAAGGAGAAACATATTCATCCATTACTAATCAAATAATAATATATATACATCACATTCACACAAGTGAATACAAAATTATTTTCACTCTTTATACTATAATTGTTGTTAGATGATAAACTTTTGCACATTAAACGTTAATTATACGAAAAGCAACAAATATTATTCACATCTTAATATGGATTAGAACGATCTAATTGTTTAAATAAACTATACGACTTTCTAAAAAAATAATGTGGTTTTCCATAGACAATAATAAAATTATAAAATGGGTCAATAATCTAATGTGTCACTTCAACAGCTAATAAAACTTATCTAATAATTATACGAACTAAAAATATGTATTTTAATAGACGTACCTAACGTTATTGAAACTTGATTGATGGCCAGTTTCGATAAAATATAATAAATCTTTATACTATTTAATGTTTCATAAATACTAAATTATATATTTTATGATTTAGAATGATACATACGTACATCGAATGACACTAGATGCTGAATTAAACTTTGACATCCAATTCATTAATCTTTTTTTTTTACTTAATCTAAACTTTAATATAAATTTTAATTCAATCAATTTTCTATAAATTGATTTGGCCATTTTAAATAGTTTTGTTTTAATTTTAACACTTTTATTATCTAACTAATAATTTTGATCAATCACAAGTCATATCTCTTAAAAGATAAAAAACCACACACACACACTAAATTAATGGATATTTTCTCCTATCTATTATTTTTATTAAAGTGAGCAATTTTTTAATTCTTAAAAATATTCTAATTTTATTTAAAATTACCAACAAAATTTTTGTACAATTTGGATCTTGGTGATCATTCTTAAATTCATAAAGCATTAAAAGTTAGTTAAAAATTACCCAAAAAAAAAATTAATGTTTGTTTATGACAATTTATGAATTCGTAGAAAATTTGCAGAGTTGAATCAGAGTGTTACTTGAGCGTCTCTTTAGGCTTTTGAAACATTGCGCGTCCCATCCACGTGCTGCTGTCATCATAGACGAGTACTAAGCGTTGACTGTTAAGTCACTTAATCCAATATTTCATTTCATCTAATTTTAGTAATAAATTAATTTATTAAGATTATAAAAAAAATTTGGAAGATTCTTTTTAATTTTTTTCAATAATATCCCTTATAAAAAAATATGCAATAATTTAGAAATATATATATAGAGAGAGAGTTAATGTTTTAATGATATATTAGTATATCTTGACTCTAGAAATACTCCATCTCATTTTGGTATGGTAATAATATTAGGTGAAATTTTTATATATAAGATATTGTATGTTTTAAAGCTTTAATTAATGATTTTGTTTTAAAAAAAATCTTGATACATTGAAACTGATTAATATATTAAAATATAAATTGTTAGTCAAAAAATAAGAAATAAGTATGAGTGGAACTAGACTTTGCTTTTGATCTTATAAAACATTGTTCTTAACCCCATAATGCTAGTAATTGATCTTGACTATTAATTTAAGAGAACTAAATAATATATTTTTAATAAATAATAAATGAATATAAAAAGATAAAAAATACGAAAGGATAAGATGTTAATTTTGTAAATATATAAATAAATATATTTAATAATTATTAAATTTGAGAAAATAAAAATCATAAATACTAATGTAAATTATAAAACTTTATAAGTAATAATTAAATTTACGGTTAAAAATCATAAATACTAATGTTAAATTACAAAATTTTGAGGAAATATGATCCTTAAATTCCTAAAAAAAATTATTTGGAATCCTAATATGTCATAATTTTATCTTTTAAAAAATATCTTAATGAATTAAAAGAGCATTAACTTTAACTTTATTATGTGATACTTATTATCATACCAAATCAGTATATAAGATAACTTCTTTCAAAAACAAAACTATGTAAAGGTAAAAAAAAATATACCAAACAAAATTAATATATATATATATATATATATATATATATATATTATTTTATTTTTGATAAAATGTTGTAATCCGTGAAATTATGGTTTCTTTTTTCAATTTTTTTGGCAAAAAAGAGATCATAGAATAGCTATATAATTAATCATTAAATTGTAGATAAAATATTCTCTTAAGATACATTCTATTTGACAAAAACAATAAAGACTATATAATGTATTAACTTAAACAAAATGATATTATAGTAAATAAATTATAAGTTCACTTTTGGTTTAGTCACTTTTTTTAAAGGATTAATTTCTCATTATATTAAGGCTAAGAATAATATAACTAATTTGAAGTTAGTTAAAAGTTTGACTTAATAGTTAACTGTAATTTTGATTTATTAACTAAATAAAGTCGAACTTACGTACAAATTTAGAGTTATCAAATAATGGAGTTAAACCTAAATAAAGTACAAACCCAAAATTAAAGTCATTAAATAATGGAGTTGAACCTAAGTTAAGCATACCTCCACTTGTTTCATTGACACATGTTAATTAAGTGTTCGAGATCCATTATAGAAAGTCAAATATGCATGCTTATGGTAACAAATTAACAATCTTGATTTTGTTTGATGAGAGAAAAATGCCAATATAAAAAAAGAATGAATAACTAAGAATCCCTGTTTTATTACCAATAAATGCTATTTAGGAAAGAAAATCCGTTTTTTTCAAACGAAAATACCAAGAAAACCCCTCTTTGGTGCCAACAACGAAAAAAGATTACACTTTCAAAACGATATTAATCAAATATTCTATCTTTAAAGCAGAATAATGTTAAACTGAATATTATCTTATGAAATTAGTAAGAATAAGCTGTAACAATTGTAACAACCTAATGCCATTATTAAATTTTATAATAATAGCCATTAACCATTAACCATCAAACAAAAACTACAACTTAAAATGAAAGTTTTTCTATTAAACCAATCATTAATCCAAGAACAATCCTTACAAAAAAAAAAAAAAAATTAAAACAAGAAATTGGAAATTGCAGTGACTGTGGAAGGAATAGGAAACAGAGACAAAATCCGAACCAAACACACACTGGAACTGCACATGGATGATCTGGAACTCCCAGCATAAATATTCGAAAAAAATAATGTGAAGTTTTGGGTATTTAAGGAAAAGTAGTGACTTGAGACTTTAGCTTCAGAAAAATCTTATGACTTTGTTGTGAACGTGTTGGTCACAGAATTCTCGCCTTCTCCAAAAACGTTCTGGCGCGTAACAAACTCAACTTTTCCAGTGCCACATATATAACTCACCCTTTTTTTCCTCTCTTCTGTTTACTCATTCTCTTATCTTCTTCCGTTTTTTTCTCCTCTGCTAAACGCTTTCATTATGCCAACGATTTTGGTTACCGGAGGTGCCGGATACATCGGTAGCCACACCGTCCTCCAGCTTCTCCTCGCCGGTTACAATGTCTTCGCCGTCGACAACTTAGACAACTCCTCCGTAACCGCCATCCTCAGAGTCAAGGAACTCGCCGGAAAATTTGCAAAGAACCTTTCCTTTGTCGAGGTACCCGGGTTCGACCGTTTTCTCTTCTATTTGAAAATAATAAAAAAACTCAATTCGGATTGCTGCATGGCCCTCAGAATTTAATGGTTTTGAGTTTCTTTCGTTATTGATTTCGATTTAACGATTGTTTTTTCGATTTTCGATTCTCTGTGTTGAGTTTATGTAATTCTTTTAGATTTCTACCGGGCTTGTGTATTGTGATGGGGTCCATTGGCAGGTTAAAGCAAAAGCGTTACGATGCGCTTTATTCCAAAGTTTAGTAAATACTAAAAAAAAGACGGTGACAGGTTCGAATTATGTTTATGTGTGTTTCATAACAATATGAAACTAACTCTGTCTGTTTCTCAATTAGTGCGACAAGTAAACACTGTACTTTTGATGTGATGTGCGTTTGTTTTAATTATTGATTTGTTCTATTGCTTCCCATTATGTCTAATTTGATTATCAATAAGAATTGTATTCTGTATTTGTTTTTTTTTTTTTTATCTCTAAAGTTCAATTTTAAGCCAAATTATTGTTCTTGTTTTGTTTATTTAGACGTTCTTAATTATTGATACACGTATTGCACTTTAGTTATAGTTACTTTATTTTTGGTGCTGATTGGCTCTTCGTTAATCTTTTCCTCTGCAGTTGGACTTGCGGGACAGAGCTGCTCTCGGGAAAGTTTTTTCAACCGCAAAGTAAGGATTTGGCAGAATTTTTTGTAATTGAAAAAGGAAGAATATAACTATTGCTCATTTTGTGTCGGTGCTTCACATTCTCTTATGGTTTTACTATCTGTAAAGAATAGCTGTTTGGAATGTATTTTATCTTTTTCCTGCAGGTTTGATGCTGTCATACATTTTGCTGGGCTGAAAGCAGTAGGTGAAAGTGTGCATAAACCTTTACTCTACTTTGACAACAACTTGATTGGGACAATCATTCTATTTCAAGTCATGTCTGCTCATGGATGCAAGAAGGTATGTTCATTTTAGTTTTGATCTTTTGGGGCCTTTTTGATTGGCTTCAACTCCTTGGAAAAAATTAATTATATGGATGAATATCGTCACACTTCCATGGCATCAATTATCTTAAGATGAAGACTAAACCATTTCTTTTTATGGTCCCCTGCTATCTTTAAGTGTCTCGTGGTATTTGTTGCACAACATTTTTCTTGATGCTGCAATCTGATAATTTAACTGATTTATATTTCTCGAATGATGTCAGCTCGTGTTCTCATCTTCAGCAACTGTATATGGCTGGCCAAAGGAGGTTCCATGTACTGAAGAGTTCCCTTTGTCAGCGACAAACCCATATGGACGAACCAAGGTATGACTAGGAGATTGTTGGATAGTAAAACTGAAGATGCTCTGATAATGGCTGCTTACAGAAAGAAAAAAAAAAGTATTTTTTTTATTTTAATTATATAGTTTGTTGAATATTACTGATAGCAATATACTAAGGTTTGTCTTGGAATCTAACTAAGATATCTAATGAGAGAGAGGTTTGTTTTGCAGCTCATCATCGAAGAGATTTGTCGTGATCTCCACCGTGCAGAATCAGATTGGAAAATTATACTGTTGAGATATTTCAACCCAGTTGGTGCACATCCTAGTGGTTCTATTGGTGAGGATCCTCATGGAGTTCCGAACAATCTCATGCCCTTTGTTCAACAAGTGGCAGTCGGCAGACTACCTTCACTGACGGTTTTTGGAAACGATTATAAAACATGTGACGGCACTGGAGTATGTTCTCACTTCTTTTACTCGGTTTAGCGAACTTTTTCCTTGAAAGATTGCATGCAAAGCTCACCCCCCTCCCTATAATACAGAAAATTGAAAAGAGATACAAGTAGCCTTGAGTTGATGAGCCCACAAATCATAGAGCTCAAAGAATAAGATAAAATTTCCATAGGAATATTCCATTAATTTGATTGATATGGTAAAGATAGAAAGGGCTTATCAGAGATGTTATTCACAAAACAACTAGTAGACATTTCTAAAATCCCAACTAGCTAACAAATTTCATCTATCTAATACAATTAACAGTTGATTAATATCCTGTAACGATACACCTTTTCCCTTTGGTTTGGAATGAGTTGATGATTTTGGACATCTTGAGCTACTGCAGTCTCACTTTGGCCATTCATACAGGCATACATTCCTATTTCTTAAGATCTGCCTATGATTTCTTCAAGGATCTTACAGAATATCTTTTTTTTTTCTCAGGTTCGTGATTACATTCATGTTGTTGACTTAGCAGAAGGGCACATTGCTGCTTTGCGTAAACTGGATGATCCTAAAATTGGTATTATTCCATATTTATCATTTTCTCTAACAATTTACTCAATATGTTTGGTTTGGTAAATAAACTCTGAAAGATTGTGATTGTGAAATGATTTCTTATCTTTATAAGCCAATGATAATTTTTCGTGTTGGCCCATTTTGTTTTGCATTTTCTTTTTATACTGTTATTTTGTTAAATAATATTGCTGAAACCTTGGTCTTCGACCAAGTCAAATGCTGTCATATGATCTACGTTGCCCACTTCAGCTAATAGGATAAGGCTTTATTGTTGTCTTGATGTTACTTTGTTAAAATTTCACTGTACGTATATACAGGTTGTGAAGTTTATAACTTGGGAACAGGAAAGGGAACATCAGTTTTGGAGATGGTAAAGGCTTTTGAAAAGGCATCTGGAAAGGTAACAGACTGATAGTTTTATTTCTGTTTTTGCATCTAATATAAACCTTGGCGCAAATTTTTTGTCATTATTTTTTTTATAAATGCATTTTGGTTCTCATTTTGATTGTGATTTTTCTTTTGTCCCTGGACTTCAAATTTGACATGTTAAGTGTCTCTTAATCATTTGCATTCTGATATGATACAATGAAATGGAAGAAATGTGAAGCAAGCTTCAACTGTGCAGTTTTTGGACTGTCATAAATATGTCCTGGTGCTTCCTGATTTTTTTGAACCTCAACTACATATTTTATCTCTTTTTGAATGTTACAAATCCATGGATCAAAGGAGTAAAGATCGAACTCATAAGGGAGCATATTGATACTCATTAGTAAGAGATACATTTGAGGCTCTTTTTCACAGAGAGCTTATTCTGGATTAATTCTATAACTAAGTAACTTCCAAACTGAAACAACAACTCTGCTTCTAATTGATGATCTCTGTCACTGACTACTACAGACACAATGAGCAAACAAAATTTAGAAATCAAACATCTGCCCATCGTATGCAACAAATCTGTTAAACTTTTCTCGTGTTTAAGTAGATAAACCTAAAACATCTTGAACCAACTCTTTTATAATATATTTGGATTAAGTTTTTCTTCATTACATGACTAATTTAATTTCATAATTTATTACTATTCAGAAAATTCCACTTGCAATGGGTGGTCGTAGACCTGGAGATGCTGAAATTGTTTATGCATCAACGAAGAAAGCGGAAAGAGAACTTAATTGGACGTAAGTACTGATTTGATTCAAAGTGAACAATTGCATGACATTTTCTTGCTCATCTTAAGGCTCATTTGCCTGAACTCAACATTCATGATTTTTTTCATTGTCGTCACTATCCTTGTGAATATCACCGCCGTGATATTAAATGACTGAATAATGTCACGTCTATTTAAAAAACCTTTTTAGTTCTTTCAAACTGCAACTAATATACAATTGTTTTCATTTGTTGTAAAAAAAAAATTGGGCAAGGTTTCACGATTTGTTATTTACTTCCCCTTTTTATCTATTCTCACAAATTTGTTGTCGTTGCAGGGCCAAACATGGCATCGATGATATGTGTCGAGATCAATGGAATTGGGCCAGCAAAAACCCATATGGATACGATAGATATGGAGATTCCTCCAAGTGATGTTTATGATTGTTAGATTAAGTACATATATATTTTCTTTTGGGGTCTTTTTGAAACCTGTCACCCAATAGGCCCCTAAAGTTTTTGTTTAGCGTTTCTAAGATAGAAAATCCTTTCTTAACTATGAATTTCAATAATGTGGTAAATAAAAATAATAGTTTACATTAATGATTCTTTCGGTTCCAGCTTCAGGCTATCTATTGAATGGTCATTCTCATCATCTTCAAGAACATGGTTGTGTCCTGTTTGTAAATCTGAACCACACATTATTGAGTATGTATGACTTACGAGTCATACCTTACCTCATTATTCATAATAAAGTCTTACTTAGTATTATATGTTTTGATTTTCATGCTATTTTTTCTGATTTTCTTCTATTCCTGTCATTGGACGAGGCACTCGTAATTGTAGTAAGTAAAATAACCGAAAGCTAAAATATTTCACTCTCTGTCACACACTCATATAAGAGGAAACAGATGTTTAATTCAATTCACACACACAAAGTAAGTTACAACATCTGTCATTTATAAGCAAAATTCTCCTAAATAAATTTGAGGATAATTATTGGTTTTTCTTAATACTCCTCAATGATTATTGTCTCTGATCTTGGATCATGTCATGGAGAATTAGCTAGTTGCCTTTTAAATCCTTCAAACTTTATACCGTTGAGTCCAACAGTAAAAATATCTGCAACTTCACTTCCAGTATTCACAAATTTCATCCTTTTATCTTCCAATGACACTTTTTCACGAACAATTTCTACACGTTTTGTAAGAGCATGAAAATCTGGGTTTTCTGCCCAACGAATTTCATATCGATTGTCACCATAAAACGGTATGACATAATCAATTGGTAGCTGCAAAATTTTCAGAAATTCTTGTAGCCAAGAACATCCTTTAGCTGCCACAGCTCTTGCTTTTTGTTCTGATTCAATGGTTGACAATGACACGATTAGTTATTCCTTACTGCACCATGAACCAAGTCTTGATCCCAGACTAATTACATACCCAGTTGTGGATCCACATATGGCAAGACCACCTGGGAAATCAGTGTCACTATAACCAATCATCTTACAATTCATATTTCTTGAATAAAAGGTACCACCGTCAAATGTTCCTTTAATGTATGTTAAAGTTCGTCGAATCGTATCTAACTGAGGCTTATTGAAATTTTGCTCAAACGGCTTGTTACTCCAACATCAAAAGAAATATTTGAACTAGTTAGTTCTAGATAAATCAACCTTCCAACTATTTGCCCGTACGTACAGAAAGCCAAAGATTCCATGATTTACTTGCTAAGAAAACACGAACAATGTGATTTTGCCAATGGACTAAATGTCTCATCATACCCATGTTCTTCAGAAAGTCCATAATGGTTTCATTTGTGCGTACCTTTCATTTACGAACCCATTTGCATCAAAACAGGTTTCACATCTTTGGGTCTTGACACTAGCTCCCATATATGATTTAACTTCAATTCAATAATTTCTTCCATTATTTCTTTGCTGCTGCCTCATAATAAGTATATGTTTCCCTCAATTTTTTTCTGAAGCCACATCAGCACATATTTTGGATTTGGTTTTAGTTGTCTATGATCTTCGAAGCCGTGATTGCACAGAAACTTCTTCGGCTTCATCAAAGTGTTTTAATAATTAGGGTTATGATATTTTGAAAATTCACTCTTTTCAAACTTCTATTCAATGACTTATTTTTATATTACTATTTAAATGAGATATCATAAAATTTCTCTCTCACATGTTCTATAATAAAATAAAAATATAATAAAATATTTAATATTAATATTATTTTCATTATAATTATTTAAATTATAAATAATGATATAATATATATTTTTTATTCTAAAAGACGTTATTTATTCATTCCTATCTCGATTTTGTTACAACATCGGTTTTTATAAAAATCGACGTTAAATTATGTCATAGTAAATGTTTTCTGTATATATTATGTCATAGTAAATGTTTTCTGTAGTAATGTGGATTTCAATGATGTTAGAAGCCAAGAAACTGATGAATGGTTCTGCAGCTCCCAAGTGAGGTACTATTGGTTTCTGGTGTAATTAATCAACTCATCTTCTTCGTTCATTATAGTATTTGCCACTCCTTGTTTTTCTTTTTCATATAAAATTGTGCAACTATTGTGTGTGTAACATTCTGTTATCTCCACCTAAGCTTGTTTTAGTGTGTGTCTGTTCTGTCGTCCAAACAGTTTGTGTCGTGCGTTTCTATGTAGCTAAATGTGACAAAAAAAAGAACGGTGGATTAATGTTGAAGGGAGTATAAACTTCAAAATCAACACATCTAATTTCATTGGGTTTACTTGGCTTTTTTAGCCTTATCAACGTTAACCTTCTATATAATTTCACCATTTTCAGAAAAATTAAATATATTAACTTGAATTGGTTTCATATTATTTTTAAAAAAATATTTAGCTAAAATAATTCAAATTTCATAAATTTTAATCCTCTTATTTAGATATAACATTTTAATTACAATTAAACATATAATTTATTTTAATATTAAACATCATCCGATATTTTAAAATATTAGTTAATAATATTTTGTAATCATTGATGTTATTTTTTTTAATAAAGTTCGATGAAAAAGTTTAACTGACGTTAATACTTTTTTTATTAATTTTGAGGGTTGACTAAAATTATTTTAATTGATAAATAATATTATTATTTTTTCGAAATCTTCAATCAAGTTTTCGTCAACTTTTTCAATGTTAAAAATAATCTTTGATGGTCAGTTTTTTAACCCATTTTTAAAAAAAATACGATTAATGATCTGAATAAAAAAGAATCCCTACAAATATTAATAATATAAAAGTAGTCTTACTATCGTTAATAAAGAAAAATCAAATTTATAATTTAAAAATAATTTTGATCTATATAGACCAATAAAAAATGTAAAAAAAAAACTTGAGAAAATAAAATTTACAACAGAGAGACTGAACTAATAATGAGCCTGAAATAGTTAAATGAAACAATAAAAATACAAAACAAAATAGGATGAGCTACCCGAACATGAATTCACTTCAATGTTACAGTATATCATAAAAGAATAAATAATAAATAGAGTGATGTAAATTTTCAAAATTAACCCACTAGTTATCTACATAAGGAAAGAGGGTATTATTGTAAATTTCATATATATATATATATTACTTTTTCTTTTATAGAAAGTAGATAAAATATTACAATTGTTGTTCTTATCAAAAGAGAATATTTTTCAAGTATATGAAATAAAAGAGAGCAATTAAAAGTGCAAGGGTTAAGCTGTCTCCATTTTCAAATATATGAATTAAAATTGAACCGTTAAAATTATAGTGACAATAATGATTCACACACTAAACTAGAAAATGAATTCTACTTAATCTTACCCTCTCAATTTTACTTCCTAACAAAATGAATGTAAATAAGTTTGAATCTTAATATAAATATATAATGTATGATTGAAATTTAATCGTCTCGCCCTTTATACAAAACACTTCTCTAACTTATTTTCACAGAAGAAGCTTAAATTAATCGTCTAGCAGTTTTTCTCAAAGCTTTGGTTATATTTATTCACTCTTCTAGTGTTATTTTTTTTTTTAAATTGGGTTTTATTTTTAACAAAAACACAATGTCACAAAATATAGAGTTTTTGTCAAATTCAGTAAGATTTACAAGTGTAATTCCATGCTAAACCTTGATAAATATGGATTAATTTTCTTAACAAGAGAGTAAAATTCCATTACAGAGAGAACAGTGGAACTAGAGAGAATCTAGCGGTAGAAACAGGGACCGACTAAGCAGTAAAATGCGTTTCGAGTACATTATTATTACAGGGCCGTAAAAGCGAGTATCCCGTTGGCGTCACGTCCCTTTTCAAACCAAGTTCCACACACACGCTCCATATAAAAAAGACTGTGCGTTTCCCCTTTCGATCCCCTCAACCACAATCGACACAGCACCGAACGCGACCCTCGCGCTCTCTCTTCTCTCCGTAACCGTCACCGACGATCTAAATCTGATCCACTGAACAGATCTCATAAATCCAAATGGAGAATCTCATCTCGTTGGTGAACAAAATCCAGAGAGCTTGCACCGCCTTAGGCGACCACGGCGAAAACAGTGCACTCCCCACACTATGGGACTCTCTTCCCGCCATCGCCGTCGTCGGAGGCCAGGTCACACCTCCGATCCTCTCTCTTATGCACTTCTCTTCTCATCTCGCCTCGAATAATAACGAATCGTGCTTGTTTTTTTCGCTTTCAGAGCTCCGGCAAGTCTTCCGTCTTGGAGAGCGTTGTCGGCAAAGATTTCTTACCTCGTGGATCAGGTCATCGTTGCTCCGTTTCTCTCTCTGTCTTCCTTAAATCGATGTTTCGGATTTGAAACTCACGCGTGCGAATAGTTTTGCAGGGATTGTTACGCGGCGACCGCTCGTTTTGCAGCTTCACAAGATTGACGAGGGAAGCAGAGAGTACGCAGAATTCCTACACCTCCCTAGGAAGAGGTTCACCGACTTTGGTACTTTTCTATTCTCAAGTCACAATTCAAAACTTCTTGTTACTTTGTTATTGCTTGTAAATAAATAAATAAGTAAATGGTTGTTATGTATATGTATCTCTTCAAGGTGGATTTGATTGTTGTTGACCAATTTCTGTATATTTCTATTTGTCACTGCTATTATTTATTATTATATTTAATTTTTGTAGTTGCTGTGAGGAAGGAGATTCAAGATGAAACGGATAGAGAAACGGGACGAACGAAACAAATTTCTACTGTTCCGATTCATCTTAGTATATACTCTCCTAATGGTGTGTTGGAATTTTTTTTTTTCTTTTTTCTTTATTACCGTCCCACATTTTTATCTTCCTTTTAATGCTATAGTTAGATCTGGCAGTAACAATGCTTAGTAGATTCATGTCCTGACCTGTTTGTTTGACTTTGGGTACCTCTTGGATTTTTGCAGTTGTTAATTTGACGCTCATTGATCTTCCCGGGCTTACTAAAGTAGCTGTAGGTAAGCAACTAATTGACGTGTCTTTACTGTTGATCACCGATTGTAAGAGTTGTTCAATTTTATGATGCATATGATACTAACTGATCATTTTACCAAAAATAGAGGGTCAACCGGACAGTATTGTAAAAGACATCGAGGATATGGTTCGCTCCTACATTGAGAAGGTATGGTTCATTGTAGTGCTTTAGCTAATTGGAAATAGGTCGTTTAAGGAAGTAAAGAACAAACATTGTAAGCAAGCTTATAAATATTTACTTCCTTGCCTCAAATTGTTATATGAGTTTTACGATCATAATTTACATATCTGAAAAACTTAATTTGGAAAATTCGCTGATTGTGCAAAAACATTGCAAGTGTTTATTTTTCTTCTGACCATTAGGTTCATAGTATATAGAGATGTACATGGGTCAGGTTGGTCGCTTGGGACAAATACATCACCCAACAGAATAAAAAGAACTCGGGTTAGGTTAGGTCTGTCTTTTGCATTTTTTTTTGTTAATCCAACACAACCTACTCTTGATTAGATTTGGTTGAGTTGTGTCAATTGAGTTACAAATTCTAAAATACATTTTTTTTGTTAAAATTTGTAATTTAAAACATTTTTTATAAGATTTTTTAGAATAATTATTTTAAAGATAGGCTATATTATTTAATATTAGAATAATTGAATATGTTAAAATATATATTTGGTTCATAGGATAATTAAATAATAGTATTAGTATTGTTATTATAATTAATATTTATATTTTTTTAATAATTTTGGTCGGGTTAGGCCGAGTTTCAGATTCAACAAATAGACTATATTATTTAATATTAGAATAATTGAATAGGTTAAAATATATATTTGGTTCTTATGATAATTGAATAATAGTATTAGTGTTGTTATTATAATTAATATTAATATTTATTTAATAATTTTTGGTCGGGTTAGGCTGAGTTTCAGATTCAACAAATAGAACCAATTATCTAACAGGTAAGAGATGGAGTTCAATCGGGTTAGGATACAGTTGATCCGATCGCAAAGAAAATCCAATTCAATCTATTTGGATTAGATTGGTTTGTTGAGTTATCCAAACCATTGAACACTTTAATAGGAGACATTTATGAGAAAAAAATCCCATGGGAATGGGCTATGCTGAATTTGATATTTAATTTTGCAGCCAAACTGTATAATTTTGGCTATTTCACCAGCCAATCAAGATCTGGCAACATCTGATGCAATTAAAATTTCCCGTGAAGTGGACCCTTCAGGTAATTTCAAAATAATTATTTTTCTTTCAGCTCTGGACACTCTTCGTGTTGCATGTACCTATTGAAGTTTTTTGTTTGTTGTTTATTATTCATGACCAATGTGATAATTTGTTCAATCATAAAGCTGAATATATCTTTTAAAAATTAAAATATAATAATATTGGAACTTTTAGAGAATATTGAGTTAAAATTGATGAAAATGAAATTTATAATTGAGAATGTCTATATTGAGACTTACAATCAATTTGAAATTCCTAAAATATTTAACATGCCGTTTTTTGACATTTAAATTAATTAACTAAAATAAGGCATTAAATATAAAATCTGCAACGGTAACAAAACAGTATTTAAACTTTATTCTAAAATCTATTTTTAGATAAGGAAAATCTCAATTTTAACACTCATCTTTGAGATTGGACATGGAAATGCCAAGTTTGAGCTCTATGAACTTCAAACAGCATATCGTAAGTTCTTTAGTCATTAAGCAGGTTGCTCCTTAAATCTCATCAATTTTTACTAAATTCATGATCTTCAACTAAATTCAACTTCAACTAAAAACTATTTTCCAATCATTTCAATATTTGCAATCATAGTTTCACGTTCACCAATGACGAAACAATAATTTTTTGAAACTTCAAATCTATTTCTTAGCATTTGTGCAATATTAAAAAATTCTGCTTTGTAAAGAACATTTATGACAACTATCATACCTTTCCTTGTTTGATATTTAATTTGCCCCTTTCCTTTGGCTTGCACAATTTTGTCATTTCCTAGTTTGACTTTTCGCTAGTCAATGGAGATAAAAATTGATAGAAATTTGGTAGTCTAGTTGGTATATTTACTATCAATGAGCCAAGTATTTAGTCCATGTGAATTGAATTCTTGTGCTGTTATAAATAAATAAACGCTTGTCATCGATGTTATCTTCTTCAATCAATTTTGGCTGTTGTTTTGGTTGCTGCACAGACGATTTTCCTTCAATCTATAATTATTTCCACTTTGACCAAGTTTTGCAAAAAAATTATGGTGAAAATGATGCTTATTTTGGTACCAACAATCTTCTAAGCACGATTGGTTCTTTAGCAGCAAGAACTAGGCAACAGATTTCCTTCTTTTTTTAAGTATCTTCTCAACCCCTTTGTTGTTTTTGGAGGATTTTGAGTTTTCAAAACATTATGTTTTGCTCAAGAGGTGCCTTCAATAGCTTCATCACTTCTCATTAACACACTTTGTTCTTATGAATGAAGCTTGCTGGCTTGATTAGTAATTTTGAGTGTCTGTAAATCATAAGATTCTTCAATTGCAGAGATCTTTGCTTTAAACTTTTCAGGCATAGGAACCATGATTTTTTTTACAACCTTGTGATAGTTAATGATGCCTCACCAAGAAGCCACATTTGGTTCAGGTGTTTTCATGTCCATGGTTTTGGTGAATGTGATTTGAATGCAAAAAATTTATTACTTTATCTTTCTTCAGCTTCTTATATGAGCTTTAGAGATTTCAACTGTGCATAAAAAATGCATATGGACCATCCAACTGTGATAGTTTCCACCATTAAATATTGGAATGATAGATGAGGAAATGCTAAGTAAAGATATTTGCACCAGAACTGCATGGAAATTGAATCACTAAATAGTGTTTGCACTCAAACCTTAGTGTGCTAGCTCTCAATGAAAAAATTTCCTTGCCCTATAGGAAGCAAACTCTTGATTCCAATATGAAATTCCTATAACATATAACCTACCATTAGATTTATTTGAAATTTAAATTAACTAATTGAAACAAAACATATAAGATAGATTTGCAACTATTACAAAACATTATTCAAACTTTATTCCGAAATCAAATTTCGAACGAGGAAATAGTTTTCACCATTAATTGGATTGACAGATGAGGAAATGCTTGAAGTAAAGATATTTGGACCATAACTGCATCGAAATTGAATCACTAAATAATATTTACACTCAAACCTTAGTGTGCTAGCTCTCAGTGAAAAAAATTCCTAGCCCTGTAGTAAGCAAGCTCTTGATTCCAATTTGAAATTCCTAAAACATATAACCTGCCATTAGATTTATTTGAAATTTAAATTAACTAGTTGAAACAAAAACACATAAGATAAAATTTTTCACGATAACAAAACACTATTCAAACTTTATTCCAAAATCTTGAGTAGCATATTATTACAAACTCAATTTAGGAAATTAAAGTTTGATTAATAGGTTGATAGTTTGTGATATATATGCATATATTTAACACAATCCAATTAAAAAAGTCAAAAGTTATAACAATAAATTATGTTGGAGCGAACCCCTTTAGTTTAGCTGGGCCAAATTCTCATGATTTGGAAAGGTTCAATTGTTGTTTGTTAAAAATGTTTGATTGAAGTGATCAGCTCAGAGAAAGTAGGTTGCAGGTTTTCTAATTCTTGTTTTATTCATTTCAAATTTTTAGGGGATAGAACCATTGGAGTTTTGACAAAGATTGATCTTATGGACAAGGGTACTGATGCTGTTGATGTAAGTCAAACAACTATAATACCAATACCAATATATAATGACATGGTGATAATTCATTGCAAGATTAAGGATTCTCAGTACTAGGGAAAAGGTGTATGCAGACATTATATTTTTATGTTGTTTTTGTCAATGAAATATGTAGATTTTGATTGCTACCTCCTAAATGCTGCTCTACTAGTTTCCTTGTTTCTCAAGATTGCTTTCTTTTATTGGAACAAAGAATAATCAAAAGTTAAGCTAGAATACCAATTATCAATCAATCACCAGAATTGACTGTAAGCTTTCCTTAATCAACAAAGATAAGCTTGTTTTTAATTGAAACTGAATTTATGCTTATTCCTTGACAGAATTATTTGATTTCAATGGACCCTAGTCATATTTTCATATTGATTAGGAGGCGGATGCAATGTCTACAAGGCTTTTTACATATTAAAATATTCTTACTATGGAATTGAGCATAGTCTAATTAATTGTCACTTACCTCTGAAATTTATGACATGTCCCGAAGAATAGGCAGATGTTTTATTCTAAGCAAAAAAAAGAAAAGGTTTAATTCTTCAAAAATACTGATGTGTATGGCATATGTTTTGTCTTGCTCAGATATTAGAAGGAAGAGCATATAGGTTAAAGTTTCCCTGGATTGGTGTTGTGAATAGATCTCAACAAGACATAAACAAAAATGTTGACATGATTGCTGCGAGACGTAGAGAACGTGATTACTTCAATAGTACCCCTGAATATAAACACCTTGCACACAGAATGGGTTCCGAGCATCTGGCAAAAATGCTCTCAAAGGTATAAAAATAGAATTTGTTGCATTGTTTGACTTGAATGTATTGCTTTTGTTCTTTGTGTAACTATTGTTTTATATTTCAGCACTTGGAGACAGTAATCAAGTCCAAAATTCCTGGCATTCAATCTCTTATTAACAAAACAATAGCTGAACTTGAAGCTGAACTAACTCGTTTGGGAAAGCCTGTTGCAGCTGATGCTGGGGTAAGTTTTCTCTTCTTTGCTCAACCAGTTTTAAACTACTAATTTTCAGTTCTAAAATCCATTGTTATTTAATAAGTCCATTGGTCAAAAGGCCTTGTCCTTCCTTCTAAACTTCTGTCATTGTGCACAAGTCTGTGAATATCATTCCCACAATATTACCCAATGATTTTGATTAATTCATTCATGGTAGCTGTGTGTGGTTATGGGAAGATAGCATGACGCTCTATTTTGAGGCATTCTAACTGGGTGTTTCAAATTTTTTAATGACTCATTGCCCATCATATGCAGGGCAAGCTGTACTCAATCATGGAAATATGCCGGTCATTTGATCAAATATTTAAAGACCATCTTGATGGCGTGTATGTGCTTCATTTTCGTAGTCTACTGGGAATTTATTTGCTTCAAAATTATCTCCATGCTGCATTCATTTTTGGTTTCAAACTAACTTTAGTAATTTGCCCAATCTTCTACAGGCGGCCTGGAGGTGATAAAATTTATAATGTCTTTGACAATCAGCTCCCTGCTGCTTTAAAAAGGTTGCAGTTTGATAAGCAGCTTTCAATGGAAAATATAAGGAAGCTTATTACCGAAGCTGATGGGTATCAGCCTCATCTAATTGCTCCAGAACAAGGATACCGCCGTCTCATTGAATCTTCTTTAATAACTATTAGGGGCCCTGCTGAGGCAGCTGTTGATGCGGTATGATTTCATATCTGAATCATCTTATTTTCACCACTGACCACACCTCAATGAAAGTTTATTTGGGCTACTAAGTTTTATTGATTAAAGGGCCCTCCTTTTCCTTATTGTCCTGAGCTACAAATTAGCCTCTTTATTGATTAAATCGGTAAAAAAAATCCTTGACCTCAATTCAATCTTGTCAAAAGTTTGTTAATTGATGAATTTTCCAAAAATATTTTAATGTATTGTGTGTTTGGTCCTGATTGATTTATTTACACGGTCCACTTGAATCTTTTGGTGATTGGTTCATGCTCACCCAAATGTCATTTTAAATGCTTCCAGGTTCATTCCCTGTTGAAGGACCTGGTTCACAAAGCTATCAGTGAGACTTTGGTATGTTCCTGGCTATACATATTTAACATTTCTGTCTTATTTCTTTTAGCTATTTGATGTTCACATAGCTATTGTGAAACTTCGGTATACTCCTACCAGTACTTATTTAATATTTATGCTGTATTTCTTGCTGCTGTATTTGTGCATGACAAGTTCTCGTGTTTGTTAGTGAGCTTTCACTTGTATTCCAGTGACAAAGTTCATATTTTAATATCATTTACAACAATAACACTATCTTTATCCTAATAGGTAAGGTTAGCTGTATGGATCAGACGATGCTTTTGGGTTCATTTAAATAACAAATTTATAAGAAATTATTCATCATGGTATTCTTTTTAATAATTTCTTTATTATACTCTACCCAGTTTCCTGGTCTAGAAACCATGCAGTCTACTCTTCTCACACATGCCTTTTGTAGCTTTCTTTGCACTTGCTCCTTCATTAAGTTTTTGTCATCTTTTTCTCAATAATTGTCAAAACAATCTCATCAAATATAATCACTCATTCTGTAACATGTGTTTTTTTGTGTACACATTTGTATTAACATATTATTATATTCTACTATTCCACTCCCCCCTTTTTTCCCTGCTGCTCATTTGAAGTCCAATATTTACTACATAAAGTTTAAATAGCCGAATAGTAATATGATAGAACTTTCCGTATAATGCTTCAATTTTAGAAGTTAAAAACGTGCATTGTTTTTGGGGATTTATTTGTTCAACTAATAAAATAGGTATGCTTGGATCTGTTGCGCATTGATATGTATCCCCTTCTATATTTGCTTTGCCAATTTTCAAATCGTTAGATGAAAAACTCAACATGTAATGCATAGAGAAGAGGGCTTCAAAAGATTTGGCCACAATTATATCTCTAAACGATTTTGATCTAACAATAAACCTGCCTTTCCTTATTAGATGAATTTTGTATGGGTTTTGTTAAGCCTAATGCATCTATGTTGGAATTTCCAAAGTAGTGGAGACAATCTTCAATGTGGATCTAATGAACTTTTGCCTTTTTATGTCTTTCATAATTATTTATGATCAAACTATGATTTGGAATTTTACCGTTTTTACATTTCATATACTTGGTTTGAACCTTTTCTTTCCATTAATCCAAGTGTTATGAGGTTCAAAATTTTCCCAGCTGATACATAGTCTTGCTGATTTTTACAGGACTTGAAGCAGTATCCCGGCCTCCGGGTTGAGGTTGGGGCTGCAGCTGTTGATTCACTAGAAAGAATGAGGGATGAAAGCAAAAGAGCAACACTGCAGCTAGTGGATATGGAATGTGGCTACCTGACTGTTGATTTTTTTCGGAAGCTTCCTCAAGACGTTGATAAGGGTGGCAATCCCACACATTCAATTTTTGATAGATATAATGATTCATATCTAAGGCGAATTGGTAAGCCTTTCTATTATTTTTAGTCTCAAACTTGTGTTATATTACAGCTTTGTTCTTATAGTTTGATATGGTATGTCCATCAATATGTTTGAAATTGACCATTCACTCACTCTGTAAACAGGAACAACGATTTTGTCCTATGTCAATATGGTCTGTGCTACACTGCGGCATTCAATTCCCAAGTCCATTGTCTATTGCCAAGTGCGGGAGGCAAAACGAAGTTTACTCGATCACTTTTTCACAGACCTAGGCAAAATGGAGGTAAGAATGAATATTTTTTTCCGATGTTTGAAGTACATTTCTCTTTTAATCTTGATCAACCGAATAAGATCGAATGATCTATATTTATCCTTGTTTAAAAAATCATGTGCATTTATCGTTTAATGTTTATCATTCAAGTATGGTCGAATAGTCAATTTTTGCAGTTCTTGTTTCATACAATTATCAATAGTTCTCTCCAAAGACGTGCTAAATGCATGATTTTTGTCATGACTGATTTTAAATTTTGATCTTCCGTATATAATTTGTATTTATAGTTTTTATTTTATCTCTTTAACGGAGAGTTATCATTTGATACTACCTCTGATTGTGTTTATATATAATATGTATTAGCCTGTATTTCATTTGGTTTTTATATTGGCTAAATAAATTCAAGCATTGACTGCCTGTATAAATCTTCTTCGCAGACAAAGCGTCTGTCCTCCTTACTGAATGAGGATCCTGCAATTATGGAACGACGTAGTGCTCTTGCAAAGAGACTAGAGTTGTACCGGAGTGCACAAGCTGAAATAGATGCAGTTGCTTGGTCCAAGTAGATATTCATGTTCATCACGTTTGTATGAGAGCTAGAGCTAGTAGTATTGATATTTCCAGTTCAATATTCATAACTCATTTTTTATTGTCATCTTATCCATTTATATGGTCATATCTTAAGTAGATGAGCCGATTATGAGAATGGGAAAAATTGATTTTTTGGGTTATATAATGGGGTGATTGTAGATCTTTCATTTTTTGTAGTCTTTCCAAATCTTGACTGCTCATTTTTATTTTCGAACTGTATCGTCTACCACTCGAGCAAATATTAATGGAACAGTAAATAGGAAATCTGTGTATGCTATTATGTCACTGCTGAATTTTTACAATGCGAAAGATGGTCACCATACAAAGGCTGAATGACAGAAAAATGACACTGAAAGCGGAAAAAAAAATTATACAATAAAAAAGAGTCATGGGTGAGAGAATTCAGAATCATTTCATCTATATTTTTCTCTCTATCCTTTCATCCATCATAGAACAAGGTTGTTCGAATTCTTTTACTTATCCCCATATCTTGTTTTAAAAATCGCTCACACGTGACCTTTTTCATCATCTCAACTGTTTCAATTGCACGATTTGCTTCCACATTTGTTGCGATTCCTTTCGTATTAAGAATAACCTTGTCTCCAAGTTTTGATACATCCAAATCTTGTTCCCACAAATTGTGATACAAGATTTTGATATTTTGACTAAATGACCGGTTACAAGTAAAAGTCAACATCAATCATAGCTTGAGTTGAGAGCAATGTAATACTGGATGAAATATTTGTAGTTTGAGGAAGTTTAGTTTGTAAGCTATTCGTTCAATAATGGGAAAGAATCAAAGTTCCTCAAATTAAACAACCTAGAAACACATCCACTTCATAAGCCCATTTTCACATCTTTGACAAAAATCAGTGCATCTTTACCATAATTTAGTGGTTTTAGTCCCTTTCTAGACTAAGTTTGTCATGTCTCTATATCATAACTTGTCCCATGTCCAATATTTTTTATAGCTTTTGAAATGTCAATGTATGACATCTCGTGTAATATTGAGTACTGTAAATTTTGTGTTTTATTTACTCTTTCATTGCTTTTCTCTCCATATGTATGCAATATTTTGGGGTGAAATAAATGTGAAGAAATATATCCTTTAAAAAATAATATACTTACATCAGAAAATATTATTATATCCTATGTAATACTACTCTTACAAATTTTTATCAATTATATTGGAAAATTTACGAGAAGCTCCTTTTATATGAATTTTATAATAAATCCACATAATAATGTAATAGTCATGTGTATTGTTTTTCCTTAATATATATGTATTTGTTTGTTTTAAATTAATGAATATATATATATATATATATATATATATATATATTTTTTTTAGGGATGTCAGTTCTGATTAATTAGTCCAAAAGCCGATAAATAAGTTAGGTTAGACAAAAATTTTGTAACTTAAATTGAATTATATATATTTTGCAGATATCTATTTAGGTCATGACCTATATGGACTTAGGTCGATTAGTCCGAAAAAATTAATGAATCGTCTCTTTTATAAAATAATAATTATTTTTAAATAAAAATGAAAATAACATTATTTTATAAATATATATGTATTATAAATTAATTTGACAAAAAATAATTTATTCAAAGAATAAATATAAAAATAAATTTTTAAAAATTACTTAATCTAATTATTAAATAATGATAATAAAATATAATTTAAAATTCTTATTTTAAGATTAAATAGATACATTTTTTTATAATTTATATATTAAATCATTATATCTTAAATAAAAATTAATTTCATTCATAATTTTTAAAATTATTTTTTATTTTATTTAATATTTTTTTAATAATTTGATTTTGTATAAATAAGTTAATGTTTTTTTAAAAAATACCTATAGTCCTATGGCTTGATATAGATATATACTAGATTAAATTTTTTTATCCATTTTATAAAGTTTCGTCATTCCTAGAGATTCAAAATTTATATTTAAAAATAAATTAATATACAAACAACAAAACACGTATATGGAGTGTGTAAACCGAAAATACACTCAAACCAAATAACGACATTCCAATAACAATCCAATGAAGACATTCATACAATGACGTGATTGAGATCCCAAAAATAATCACGGATTCAATTTGAACATATATCAGGAGACATAGAACACTAACCTCGAGTAAACACGAAAACGATTTTAAACTCGAATCCAATCGGGAGAAATGTCAAATTCGTAAAAGTATAGATCAGACTATTTTTTATTTTTACTTGGTTCGTAGATTAAATTAGGTTGAATTGAACTGTTATATTGATAATATCAATGATTTCTTTTACTATTTTATAAATTTAGTAGAATTAAAAAAAGTTTTAAATTTTTGTATGATTTGTTAATGAAAATTATTTAATTATTGTAAATATTTTAATAATTTGATAGTGTTGAAAAATGTAAGAACCGTTTTAAAAAATTACTTAGTTTGGATATTCAAATGTATTGCATACCGGTATTCCTTAAGAAAGTACAATCTAATTCTATCCAAAAATAAATCTCGATTAGTAAAGAGTTTAAATTCTTTTTATACTCATAGCTTCTACATCAATATATTAATTTATCAGAGTAATTTACATAATTATTTTTTTTATACTTTTATTTAATAACCTTTATATATAAAATCCATTATTATGATAACAGAATTCAGATTCTTTGTCAAGTCATGATCAATTTCTTCTTTTTTTCCATAGACTTCTTTAATTATTTAAAAATATGTAAATAAATTATTTAAACTTTGCTTTACTAATATTTTTAAAATAAAAAAAGTGTTGTAAAACATTATTTATAAGTGAGATCTAATTAGAAGATAAGGGAGTCATTATCTCAAAATTGTGTAACTTGTGTTATCATTAATTAGAAGATGAGGGAGTCATTATCCTAAAATTGTGTAACTTGTGTTATTATTTATGATTTTATTTCTTTAAAATTTAATGATTATTTTCAAAATTTTATAATTTATATTAACATTTATTTTGATTTCCAAAAATTTGATAATGATTAAATATACCTACTTGTATACTCACAAGTCTTTTATATTCTTTTATCTTTTTATTTCTTTATTATTTATTAATAATATATTATATATTATCTCATTTTCTATTTAATAAATGTAATTAGTTTTATTTAATATAAGTGGAAACACATCTTAAAATGCAGTATCTATTTTTGGTATAATTAATTCTTTAAAAATATTTATTAAATTTTATTTTATTTTCTCCTTCTATTCGTTAAATATATTAATTTCTTTTATTATGTACCATATTTTCCTCTTTTTGTATTTTTATTATTTTTTAAATATATAAATCGTAAGTGTTTTTTTCCGAAAAAAAAACGGTTACAAAATAATCGTTTATATATATATATATATAGTTATAAATTGGAGCTAAATTAAAATTATTTTTAATCTATCTTACGATAAAAGTCATATTTAACATAACTTAGTTGAAAAACTAATAAAAAAGTTTATAAAATAATAGTTAAAAGCTGTTAAAACAACTTATCTTATTTAGAATACTCATATAAATTATAATTTTTGTTTTATTGAAAAATATATTTTTATAAAATTTTTAATTAATTTTAAACTCTGAAAATATTTTAATTATAAATAAGTTATTTTAACAATAATTATTTTACTTTTATTTGTTATACATTTTTCATATTATATAAATGTGAATTATATTTTAGATTTTCTATTCTAATTTAACAGAAATAAATTATTTATTTTAGATTTTCATATTATAATAAATTATTTTTTATCGTCATTATTTTATACAGATAAGAAAATTATACATTATGTAAAAATTAAGCATACAAAGAAGTATGTAAAATTTAACTTTTTTATCAATTTTATGACAAAATTTATTATAACTGTAATTTTAGATTAAAATATTATATTATATTAATTTAATTATTTTATAAATTTTGTGACAATGATTTTTTATTAAATATGAAATTTAGATATAATAATAATTAAAATTATATTTAAAAAAATATTGAATTCATTAACTTAAAATTACAGTAACCAACACGTTTCCTAAAATTAAAGTTATATGAGTGGATGAAGAGAAAAACATAATAGATAATATTCAAATATTGTTTAAAGAGTAAATTATATTACTCTAATGATTCTAATCCTATGACGTGGTCGACAAACCTGTATTTAACAAAATTGGCTTGTTGGGTTCCCAATGCGGTTGAAGCGGGGTTCCTCAGATTCGCGTAACGATAGAGACAAGCCGTTTTCCATCTCAATTTCCTTGGCCGAGATGCGAATATGCTGCTTCTCTTCCTCATACAAATGCCGCGAGAATTTCAAATCTTCATTTGATGCTATTCCAGAATCTCCATTTGAAATGCGCCGCAATATTCTTGTAAAATTGAATTGATTTTTCTTCTCCAACACCAAACTATTGTTATCCCTATAAATCATATTGTCAAACATGCCATGGATTTGATTTCATTGAATATCATTATGCAGGGCAGTTAATTGGTTTTCAGTTGCTGACAGATGTTGGGTACTGATCCTATTTCTCTCCTTTCTTTCAATTTCTCAAGTTACAATTAGAAGGAAACCATGGAATCTGAGAGGGAAAGTTTTGACCTCTCAGGACCTTTGCATCTAACTCATGTCGTATGGTAAGATCTATCAAACCAAATATTCCGCTTTAGTTTATTGTTTTTTAGGGTATTTGTCCACTTTTAGATTATGCTGCTTATTTCTTATTCACCATATATGATTTCTGATGTGAGTATCATTTGCCTGATTCTACCTTATGGTAGCGACGGTACTTGGTGGGGCATTTCCCAAAGTTTTAATTTTTTGTTAATAATATACATGTGTAATTGCAAATTGCCTCCACAATTTGAAATACAAATGATAGATCAATTTATAATACGACTATGCCCTCACAACATAATATGATGAAACTAATACCATGTGGATTAAAACTCTAGGTCTAGCTTGTGGCTTGGTTGGGTCCCTTTTATGTTGCAAAACATTTAGGACAAATATGGTTGATGTTGCCACAATTGCAGTCTTAGAACCCAAATCCCTTGACCATTGTGTCCTGAATCACAAATGCAGATTGTATTTTAAAACTTGTATGTGCGTAAAAGTTGGCAAATAGGTCGGTTCAGTCTACTTCAGGAAATATTTCATACATTTCATGTCATTTTTCAGACTTTTCACCATTTACTCAATGTTTTCAAGTCATATTTCAGACTTTTTCACCACTTAGTCCTTGTATTCACTAAGAAAGATGACATGAATTATGACCGTGAAAAATGACTTGGAAATTTCAAACTTTCTTGTTCACAAAATGTAGTACGTCTTTCATCAAGACCTATTTTCTTTATTAGACTGCATGTATAGTACCAGGCACTCTGTTTATTAGAAGCCTAATACACATAGCATAGTCCTTTTGCACAGAGCTTCAATATTGGAAATTCTTATGAATTCCAATAGTTGTATACTGGGATTTGTGTTTTTTGTTCCTCTATTTGAAGTATTTGGCTTATAAAAAATAGCATACCATCTAATTCAGGGATAAAGCGCATCATCGAACGTCAGTCGCTGCTAGTTTGGTCCAAGGTGTGTACATTCTAGAAAGGGACAGGCAAGAAAAACGTGAAGGTCCAAATGCCCTTGCACCACCTTGGTGGACATTCTTTCAGTTTCAGCTGCTCCGTCAACTTGTAGACGATGTTGATTCTTCCATCTTTGGTGCAATATATGAGTTCAGGCCCTCATCATCTCAGTATAATGACACTTTATATAAAAGTCCACGGTATGTGATTGCCTTTAGAGGAACTCTAACCAAATCACACTCAGTTTCACGTGATATCGAGTTGGATATCCACTTGATCAAACATGGGCTTCATCAAACTTCTCGCTCTGAAATAGCTATAAAGGCTGTTCGAAACATGGTAGCAACTGTAGGTGATTCAAATGTTTGGTTGGCTGGACACTCCCTAGGATCAGCAATGGCGATGCTCACTGGAAAAACAATGGCCAAGAATGGCATGTTTATTGAATCTTTTCTTTTCAACCCGCCATTTGTATCTGCTCCAATTGAGAGAATTAAGGATGAGAGGGTGAAACATGGGATTCGATTTGCGGGCAGTGTGATAACTGCTGGACTCACCATTGCTATGCAAGCCAAGAAGCCCAAAGATTTATCTATTGATCCATTTGCTGCTTTGACTGCTTGGGTTCCAGGTTTGTTTGTGAATCCATCTGATCATATCTGCTCAGAGTATATTGGGTACTTTGAACATAGAAGAAGAATGGAAGAGATTGGAGCAGGAGGCATTGAAAGGTTGGCAACTCAAAATTCACTTGGTGGCCTATTGATGAGTGCATTTGGGAAGGAATCTGAGCCCCTCCACCTCATTCCTTCAGCTTCGCTCACAGTAAACATTACTCCTTCGCGTGATTTTAAAGAAGCTCACGGGATTCACCAGTGGTGGAAAGCTGACTTGCAGGTAGAACACAAGCTCTACAATTACAAGTAGTGCCTGTAGATATCTATTCTGATACATTGTGTGGGGTGTTGGTTCTGGTTTTCTTGTACAGACTGATGACATTCATTAGGAGTGACTAAGGAACAGGGTAATATGAATGATTGAATTGCCTGTTTATAAAATGATAGATTAGTAGCCACTATTAGGACTGCTGTGGCTTTGACCTTGCATTGAGGAAACCTTCGCTGCTTTAACCTTTAAACTTTAACTATAGTTTACTAGAAAAAAAAAATGGTACTATACTGTTACTGTAGAAAAACAAAAAAATAATTCGCTTTGAATCAGCTTATTCTTTGTTCTTTGATGCTTACAATGTTGAATAATAGAGACGCTTTTGCTGAAAATATGTTTTCATAAAGCTTAAGGAACTTGAATTTGTAAACATTTGTACAAATGAATTTTGTACAACTCTGAAGCAAGGCATCTACCATTAGAAGCTTGGAGACAGTCAATTTCTTTTCATATCTTCCCAATAGTCAGTTGGAGATTTCATTATTTAATGTTAGTATAAATGCAATTAATCACTTGTATATTGTGAACTTTGGTGATTCTTCAAACATTTTTGTTTGTCTTTTAAGATTGATATCCAAGAATAATTCCTCAACCTAGTTAAAACACCTAATATTCTTTTCGATTGCAGTCCCTTGTGTGTTATTGCATGAGTTTTAATGCATTACAACTTTCCTCACGTCCAATTTATTTTTCTTGTTCTTCAGGTTATATTAATATATACCTATAGAGAGAGAGAGAGAGGGACATTAAAATAAATGAACCAATTTTAAAAATAATTTGTTTTTTTACAAAATTAATATTTCATGCATAATCATAAACATATTTCATATATCATCGTAAAAATTGTGAAGAAACGTTGAAAGATGACAGTATCACAACACACTTTAAACAAATTTAAGACTAATTTGTAATTTTAAACTATCCCAATTATAGTAACAACTTTTAACCGTAAGAAAAGATTGTCGAGAAAATCACACATTCTATTAAAACGAGAAGTTAAAGAAAGAATTAAAATCCAAACATAATATTTCAAAGGATTACCATCCGTTAAAAAAACTAAGCGACCCAAAACCAATGACATGATTAACCCATTAATAAAAGTTCCCACTTCAAAAGAAGAGTTATGTCCAAATCACGTAAACTAATCAAATAAATGAAGACAAATATAATGTTTATGTTAGTCAACATGCACGCTTTCCAAGCTTCACATATTACAAGAATAAGGACTAGAAGATAACTTATGGTTTTTAAAACGGTGAAAGACCAACGAGCTAGCGTTAATACTTTATTGTTTTTTTAATCTGATGACAACATCGTTGTTGCCACCGATAAAAAAGGAAAATATATAATTACTTGCCATCAAACAGCACAAATCAACTTCCCTAAAGAGAGCCGTACTTCCCGATCTTTAGAGGAATGGCGGTCCTACGCCATGCCTGCCCCTACCCATCCTCAAGACTGGCCCTTTTTTTCTCACAAAATCTGATTCACTTGATTCCAATTCCCACACCAATAGTCAAATTAGTATCACTATCAAGTATGGTATCCAACTTTACTTAACCTACAATTAATTAGCATCACAAAAGCCCAAAAAAAGCTTCCCTCTTCTCTCTCCCTCTCCATCTTCTTTTCAAACTCATCATTCCCCTCCACTTTCTTTCTCTCCCTACAAAACCCTTTACTGAACCTTTAACTTATCCCAATAAAGCAACAAACATAACCCCACTTTCTAGCCCCACCCATTCACATTACCACATAATCTTCGCATTTCTTAACCCATGTTACTTCTAATTGCGTATTGGTTTCCTCCTCTAACTCAACATTTCATAATTTCTAAAAAACAATGTCACCTTGTTACCATTCTTTTATTCTCTTCGTCTTCCATCTTTTTATTAAATTTAATCACTTAAAAATAGTATCTTTCGGATGAATAGTTTACAATTTTTTTCCTCTAGGCACCACAATCTCGTATCCGATGAACAAAATGGCAAATCTTTGCATTCCGAGAAGGAAGATTAAAAAAAGGTCTTTACAATTTTAACCGTGACACCTTGGCTACTCAATGTGACTAACAATTACAGTTAAAAAACAAAAAATTAGCAGTGAAAACCTAACACGGATCCATCAGTTACGGCAATGGCGACTCTGCAACCGGCTTTGGCGTAAACGTGATGGGTGAAGAAGTGCAACACTTTGACGCGGCCCGCCATCTCCAACTTGGACTCGATTTCCATAGTGGGCTCAATCCTAAGCCCATAGTTGAAGGCCACTCCGTCGCCGTTCGCGAGAGTGGGGCCTACCCTGGCGGGCGCCGAGAGGGGGAAGGACTGGACGGAGAAGGTGGCGGCCATGTACTGCGTCCGGCCGGCGTCGATCTCGCCGGCGGGGATGAACATGAACCCGACCTGGCTGCCGGAGTAGAGGAGCTGGAGGGAGCTGTCGTAGTGGGAGAATGCGGCACGGTTAGGGTTCCGGACGGAGGCGTATTGGGAGAACGTGAAGTTGACGGTGCCGTTAACGACAGAGAATGAGGGGAGCTGGACGGCGTTGACGGCGATCTTGGGGTCCTGGGGTTTGAACACGGTGTAGTACACAATGAGGATAACGATGATGAGAAAGATTAGAAAGATGGTGGCGACCACGCAGGAAGCGAGGTTGGTGCGCCCCGACGGCGGACGCGGCCGCTTCGGCCTCGGCGCGATGGGGGGCGGGACGGCTCCGGCCGCCGCGGCCTGCGGTGGTGGAGGGAGAGCCAGAGTGGAAGTGGGTATGCGAAGTTGTGTATGTTGAAACCAGGATGAGGATGTGGATGTGTGTGCGCATAATTTAAGGATGAGACCAAAACTAAACCCCACATGGATTAAGAAAATAAATAAATTGTTGCAAAATGCAAACACCAGTACAGTATGAAAGACAAAGATGGGTAGGATCAAAAGACTTTTCTTTTTTTCTCTCTTCTTTAACACTACTTTTAAATTTGTATAGTGGTGTATTACTAGTATTTCCACGTCTCATTAGTAAAGTATACATTTTTTTTTCCCAAATAATTTGTTTAGTAGGAGTGTGGGAGTGTAAAAATATAAACATGACTTTAGATTTCATGTGTTTATAAGAATAGAAGAGTGAAGAAGTGGACACTGTTGTTGACCATGAGCCAAAGTGTAGACTTCATGCAGTCATGGCGGTGGTCCCTTGTCCGCACTAACAACCAACTCCTCTTTCTGCAATTTCTTTTAACGTTTTGTTTAAAAAAAAAAAAAACACCTTGAATTAAATTTAACCTGCATGGTTACCCTTTACAAATGGGTAAATAAAAAACATAATTAAATTCAAAAATTATTACAATAATTAAATTTGAAATAAGGTATAAAATTCAAATTTCAACCAAATTACACTAGAGTGATTATTTTTTTATTCATTCTAAAAATAATTTTTTTTAATATAATGTTTGTAACCCTGGAAGACTATTATTGGGGGTGTCAGATACTGGTTTGACAATTGGGCACTTGTTGTACCAAAATAATTCAAGTCCAATCCAGCTGCAAGCTGTTATACATTACTTCAACATCATCATTTTTTATCACAAAATTTTATTTTGTATTGTATGCTTTGAATATGCTTAAATTAATATTTTATATAAATTGTATTTTTGTGTTAGAAACAGAAGTATACTTTTGGGTGATTATAGTTTTAGATTTTTTTTAGCTTATTTTAAATTTACTCAAAATTAAAATAAACAATAGAGTGTTAAAGGTAAATCTTATCGTCTTCAAGCTGTGTGTTACGATTATCAGAATTTTGTTATGAATCAACAACAATAAAAGACATCCTCAATTACAAGCTTCTTGTTATTGAAGCCAACAATTTGTCTGCAACTGGCCCAGGAGACATCAAATATTGATCAGTATGATCATTTCTATCTAACCACGTAGTGAGTTACGATAGTTTAAAATCAAAAGTTTAATTTTTAAAACACCCTGTTAAAAAAAATCTGAGCATTCAATTGTTATACTTAGTTTGGATTTGGATTCTTTTGAGTTAAAAATATCATAGACCAAAACTCTTAAAATTCTAGCATAGCTCCTCCCATTTCAATAATAAAAACAATAACCATACAATTTTCTACAAATTATAAAAAAATAATAATAATTAATTAATATGATTATTTAAAAAAATCATCTACGTTTCTTTATTAATCCTTGATTAACATTCAACCAAGAACAACAACTTCAGCCAGAAGAAGCCTTTCCTATGAACAATCAACGCTACAAAGAGTCATAATCAGACCACATGGCTGTCATTGTCATTATCTTTGTCACTTTTGAAGGGTAGTAGAATCATTTTGTTTTCCAAATGGTTCAAAACACAGATTTTTTCTTTTGGGGGGTGGGGGTAACATTAGAATCCAGTAAATTTCACACACAAAATGTCTGCTAGCAGAATCATTTCAATTCTTTCATGTTTTTGTTTGTTCCCTTTTCATATAGAGACGGCGAACAAGAGGATGAGAGCAATGATTAAAAAAGCATTTCATAAACCCCCAAACATGTTACATTTTTCGAGGATGAAACCTAACATGTAACATTTATTATTTACACGTGACAGATTAAGTTCTTTGTCACACCTATGATAGATGGAACCTTAGTATAATACATCTTATTTAGACCTTTGCTTTCTGTTCAGCAGGGCAATACAATCCTTAAACACAGTTCAGAGAATCCCGAAATAGACAAGAGCATAATCAGGCTAATGTCAAGAACACATCAACCCATATCACAGTTTATGCAACCTGCAGTCCATCCCAAAATGGACTCATTCACTGGATACATACAAATACACCTATAACTCAGAAAAAGAGTTTAGTTTGCTAGCTTATCAAGATGGGAATCCATGATTTGTGAGATGGCTTCAAGAAATTCTGATTCCTCCAACCCAGGAAGCATGGAATCCTGGGCTTTCCCAATAATCTCTTCAATCAGAGATGCCTTGCTCAAATTTTCCCGACACATGATGCTTCCAATTTCATAGGGAGTGAGGCCTCTCTCAACCGCTTTCTTCAGCAACATTGTGGAAATACGAAGTGTTCTAGCACTATGGAGCGGAATATCCCAACCATAACATTTCAAAAGTTCTATGTCTTTTTCAGCATTCAGAGAATTTATATATTCAACTGTCTCAGGAGAATAAGGCTGACGCGCTTGGGGCCAGTAAAGCCAATCAAATGTGCAATCTTCAAACTGCAGAAAGAATAATGAAGTTACTCCATATTCAATCTATATCAGAATAATCTTTATTTATAGAATGTGAACTTTAGTACTGTGTATCAATGCAACACACCCCGATTGCTACAATCTATGAAGGTCATCCCACCCACAATTAGCTTGCATAAAAACAAGTCACAAACAACTACCAAGTCAGCTCCTCCATATATTAATCATGTCACAAAAAGTAAATTTTTTCTCTTTGGTAGAATCACATATGAGATATGATCTGCTCTGAGGATGCCATAAAAGCACGCAAAATTAGAACAGAAATGAACAACAAGAAAGTGTAATGAGAGTGTGTTTGGGTGAGCATTTGCAAAATTGATTATGGTAAAAAAGAATTTGAAGCGAAATGGTTTATGATGATGAATGTTTTTATTATGAAATCAAACTGCTATTAAAATTCAATATAAATCTTTTATCAGCACAAAGTTATCTAAAGTTGTTTCAATTTAAATTTGATTTTGGACTCGGAATTAATTCCTCCACTAAACGTGCAAGTATTAATCTAAAATCATATATGCTAGTATTTCAGTTTGATTTTGAATGATTCATCATGAATCGAAAAAAACATGCAGTTATTAGGAAAAGAAATGCTTACTTTATCTGGTAGACAGTAACCATGATCAATAGGAATGAGCTTTATTCGGCCATCTCCCTCCTTTCTAATCAATATATTCCCAGCATGTCTGTCTGCATTGGCCAATCTTATATCAAGCACAGTAATCTTATGCACCTCCTCCACTGGGAAAGCCCAGGGTCCAAAGTCCTCACAATTACCATCATTACTAATGAACTTCTGCAGTGACCCGATCTTAACATCTTTTGAGGAGCAAGAAAATCCATTTGGGTGGTTAAACTTTTGGTGCAGGCACTGCACCATAACAGTTGGTGGAACACCAGAAAACCCTACTTCTTCACCGGACAACAAACGTGGTCCACTCTTTGGATGATCCAACAAGTACGCTGCAACTTCCCTCAAGGCTCCTTCACCAACCTTTGTCCCTTTTTTCAAACCTTCACCATTAGATGAACTTGGAAGATTTCTTGGGTTGTTCACAGCCATTGGTTCCTCATCCATGGGCTTAAAAACCGAAACATGCTCCTGACCTGTTGAATCTTGCATGAAGTAAGTACCTCCAGTGCCCTCAGAGGACCTAATAGGGTGATTTCCTCTCTTCAAACCTTCAAATGTGGAGTTAATCATATCCCAAAGGAAAGGAAAAAAACTGATCTTGGGATTAACAATAATTGGTTCCAACCAGAAACATACGTCAGGTGGCACCTTTGCTATTTGAACATATTTGTCCCTGCAATGTTTTACTCTCTCGTCTGGTGCCTTCACGGAGAGATTCAAATCCTTGTGAATCGGTGTGGTCCTAATCTTAGCTGATTTCTTAATTATCAAATGAATCACATCGTCATCACTCTTGCATATGTCATGGAAGACTCTCTCGTCATCGAGCTTCTCATCATTGCAGAAAAGCTCTTGATCATCCTCAAGATCAATGAAACCTTCCCCTTTCTTTCTAATGCGTTGCTTCAGATAACCCACATTTCGGTGTCTGTCTATGTGGAACTCAAACACCTTCCCCGAAACGGTCCGCACAACAATGAAAAGAAGATCAGAGAGGCGAAGAACCATGTGAAGAACATTGCCGTCAGCGACACCATACTCCTTGATGAGTGTGCCGTTGCGAGCTAGCTCTCTGCCACCAAAAACCAGCTTCTGCTTCTTCACCACGAAGCCTTTGCACTGCTGAATCCTCAGTTTCACCGAAGCAATGGAATCGGACCCCAGTACGCGCAGTGGGGTCACAGCGCCATCCACATTGAGGTAAATCAAGATTGCCTCACCAGAACAGTGTTCCGGTTGCCCTTCCCAATGTGCCTTCTCTTCGAAAACTGAACTCAAAGCAAACTCAGTAATTGACATTTTTCAAAGTCAATCACTTTTTTTTTTTCTTTTTTTGGCTCGGGTTCCAAATCGGGCTTACCTTATCTTACCTATTTTCTGCTTTACTCTAAAACTTGTTTTTGATGATATAATCCAATGGGACCCAAACAAAAACGAAAAAGAAACGATTTTTGAGGTGCCCAGAGGGGAATTTGTATTGTGTCGAGGGAATGGAAGACGGGATGAAAAATGCGGTTGTGGGAGGTGCGATGAAGATGACAACAACAACAACAACAACAATAACAATAATAATAACTCTCGAAGGAATGGTGGGACGAAGGGAAGCGAGCGAGAGGGGACTCTTACCGGAAGGAAAGAACCAAAGGAAGAAGTGAGATAATGAAGAGCTTAAAAGGAAAGAGTGGTTGCAGAGAGGGAGATGAATAGCGGAAGAATTGAGAGGAACAATGTGATTGTGGCATTTTCCGATATCGATGTGTGTGGTGTGTTATGTGTTATTACCACACCACACCACTGAGTGAGAGACCGAACTTTTTGGTCCGATAAACCAGTGATGATGTAGAGGAGAGGAAGAGTGTGTGAGAGATGAACGGTATTGTAGCCGTTGCCTTTTATACACTTTTGACCCAACTCCAATAACGGCAACATAACATTCCTATTCTTCCTTCCTTTTCTTTTCTCTCTAACCTACCTCTCGCCGTCAACCTTAACGGCGATTCCTTCCTCCTTCTTAGCCGGAGTCATAAAAATTTCACATTCATATTTTGTGTAGTGTAAATCAATAGCAAATTAACACTACTTACTATTCTCACTTTTCAGTTTCAAAATTTTTAGTATTTAAGATTCTTACACTAATGATAGTACTTAATTTGAGTCTTGTTCTTCTTAATGAAATTGAAATCGAAAAGTTTTTTAAAGTATATTAGTAATTATGTTCGTAGTGCATTGATGATAACTTTAAATGAATTTTTTATTTATTTTCAATTCATTAATTATTAGTGGAAAGAATTTTTAATATTTTATTACTAGAAAAGTGAATAAAATAACTATATATTATCACTTATGTTAGATGTGTAAAATTATTTTACGTTGTCAATACATATATTTACTTTTCATGATTATAAATTATTCTTAAAATATAACTTTACGTTGCTTAAAATATAAAATAATATTTTTAAGTAACTAAACTAATTTCATTGTGAGAATTAATACAATAAATTGTAGTTCCTTATATTACAGTATAAAAGTATAAAAATATGTTCTTAATCAAATAAAATCATTTTATTGCGATAATTAAAACGACAATTTGTAGCATATTATACAATACAGAAACAATTATTTAAGTATTATTATGAAATTTAATATCAAAATATATAATTCCTTACAAAAATTACTACTTTGGTCGCTGTGTATGTATACTCACATTTTGATGAAATTGCATTTTTTGAGACACTGTTTCATTTTATTTTTTTACAATCATTTTTCTTATAAAAAATATCTTAATTATTTTATAATTTTTTACATAATCAATAATAAACATTGCAACTACTTTTAAGAAAATCTCTTTATCTATCTCAAGAAGATTCACGGAGATAATTAATTAAGACGACAAACTATATAACTAATATTATCTTCTATTACATTATTTAATTAGATGAAAAAAAAACATATTAAGATGATAGTTTTTTGTAATCTTAAACATTAATTTACAAAAAACAATATTAAATTTTATATTATTAACTAAATCAATTAACTTTCTTAATTTGCCTTAATTAGTTAAGAATAAATAAATAAAAACACACCAAGCCAATATACTTCTTTGAATGAATTCACTCTACGAATATAAATTTTCTCAATAATGTTATGCATTCAACACCGGTGGTTTGTTTATTTATTTATTTTATTTGAATTTTTAACATCTAAACTCAGAAAGTCCATTTATGTGTATTTCAAATATATTAATGGGAAAATATTGTAAGTGTTTCTCAAATCTTCCATGAGAGGATTAAAATTAACATGAAATAAAAAAAAATGATAAACTTTTAGAATTTTCAATTACTTAATAAATGAGTAATATTTAAATTATGTCTATAAAAATATTATTTCTAGCTTTTTAATATTATAACTTTCGACAAATAATAAACATGATAAGAGGAAATACGTTAGAATAATTTTGTTACAGTAAACCATATTTAAAATTATTTAATTTATTTTTATTAAACCATATTTACCAGTATATTTTAAAGTAATTGTTATATAATTTAATAAAGTTATTAAGATGGTAAAACGACGTAAATATATGTATTGTTTATTAGTAAAAGATATTGGATTAGAATTTGGAAGGTGGAAACCGACATTGTAGTGCTTTATGCTTATGCATGGTATGTGACCGTTGAAGGAACAATGCATTTTGGTTACACGTGCTTAGTCATGTAAAACATTGCATTTTCATCAAACGACTGTAGACCGTACAGATGTCAGAATTTCGACCAATAGCAACACGTGGTCAGTTATTTAAAATGAAATTATAAAAAGTAAATGTAAATATGGTAGTGTTTGGCTTGGTTCATTCCTGCAATTAAAGTTCTTCTGCTTTAGCAAATACCTTCACATTCACAAAAGCACCTGACAAAGATATTGATACTTGCTTTATTTTGTCTCCACACCTACTACATTTCCTATGCACTCATTTTCCTCTGCTTTTTGCTCCCTAAAGATCCTGTTCATTGAGCAACACTTTCAATTTATAAACTAAATTTTAGGTTTACTTTTGATATAAGCAAACTAGTGTTGTGAAAATTCAGTTATGTCTATTGGAATGTGGGATTTGGTGTCCCATGACTTTGAGATCTGCATTATTGCTAATAATGCACTCTAGTAATGGAACAAAGCTGAATCAATTTTATTTGCCCCAAATAATTCAACTTTTAATATGTTTTCACTGTCATGACTCTTCCTCACATGCTTCCTCGCCCAAATCTGTTTCTCATTCTATCAATTATATTCTTTTGAACTATATGTCACATATCTTAATCACCCCTTTTCAAATTTGCAGGTAAAAATGTAATAATACCTATGCTTGGTATCATTGATTAAAATTCTTGTTTGAGTATACATTATATTTTGAGAAAAACAAATTTGGGAAGAAATTTTACTTTTTTTTTTAACTGCACACATTCCAGAAAAAAAAAGGAACTTTAAGCAGCAGCATGTTTGAAGTTCATGTAGTGACTGTTCTTTTTTACCGTTGTGGTCGGTGGGGGCAGTCGAACATGTGGTAAATGATTCATGTTGTTAACTTACATAAATCGTAACGTTATATATATATATATATATATATATATATATATATATATATATATATATATATATTGTATATGTAACTAAAAAAATTGTATCATAGATATTTTATTATATAATTATTAAACTAATTTGTGAATGATTATATATAGTATCAGTTATTTAACCAAATTTAAGACATTATTAATAAGATTCTATAAAATTAATTAGCTTAAAAACTAATTAATTAGTAGTTACGTAAAGTTATGGATGAATTTGTTGTTTCTAAGATAATTAAAATTTTGGTGATATATATATATATATATATATATTGTAACGTTAAAGATTTTTACTTGTAGTTGGCGGGAACCAATAAGGGGTGGTTTTAAGTAATGGTATTGAGGCCCAAGAGGGACCAATAATGTGACCTGAGCAATTGAGATAAAATGGGCCTGAGCTTCTTTAACGAACCGGGTTGGACCAAGTGATAGAGAAGAGTGAGAGGGATTTGAATCGTTTTTAACTTTTGTATTGAGTTCAATTGTTAATTTTATATTCAATGGTTATTAAGATGTAGTTATTCATATCTTGTTGGTATTATGATAATACTATCTATTTTTTTTAGTAATAAATATATTTTTTTTGAAAAATTATAATTTTTTATTGGTGAATAATTTATGCGATGAATTTAGCTATGTAAATATATGTTTAAAATTCAATTTGTCTTATTAATTCGTACACTTATTTTATATGTTATTACTTGAACTAATAATTAAATTTAAAGCTTATTATTTATTATTGTTTCATTTAATATTATGCTATCTTTCTTAATAAATTTTCTATTTAATTATAAAACCTGAGATGAAGTTATGTCGTAATTATATTTTTATGGTTTTAAATTTAGGATATATCTTATTTTGATCTTCAAACTAAAAAGGTATAATTTTAATGTCCTAGTTTTAAAATATACAATTATAATTTCTTAAATTCATTGTTTGGGGATTAAAAATAATTTTTTTAAATAATTAATATTTTAAATATATAGTATTTATAAACTAAAAACAAATCTTCGAGAATAAAATGAATTATTTATAAATTTGAAGAACCAAAAATAAATTAACCTCAAAATTCATAAACTAAATACAATTAATTGTAAAATTATCTAATAAATATTTTGAGACAAAAATGTAGAAGAAAAATGCCTGGAGCCGATGGAACAAATGCATGACTAGTTTTTGTCTACCAAAAACCAACAAAAAGTGCCATTCCTATTATATTGCTTTGGGCAAGATTTGAAAGAGACAGAGGCTGAAATGGCAACTACAACAACTATGACAATTTCCATGCATTGCTTTGAGCAATTGCATATATTTTGTTCAAAGGTTATCCCTTTTATTTACGCAAAATATTAATGCTGACACTGTTGAAATTGTCCTTCTAAGGAGGGACGGACTCTTGTCTTTCTCAGGGGATGAGCTCCTTCTACAGTCTTCAATGGCTAATGCTTGTTTAAAACCAGGAAACTCTATATTAAGATCCCTGCAATCACCACTAACTACTGTTTAATAACTAAAGTTCAACATTTTACTATATACATCACACACATGCTATATGATAAAATGATAGAAATATCAAATTGATATTATATGATATTAACATAAACATGAAAATTAATCTTCACAATAATATAATTAGTGACAGAGAAATGGGAATTGACCATGATTTTCTTAAAATTAATTTTCTGATTTTGTCTCTTACTATCCAAACCGAAATTTCCTTTTTTTCTTTTCTAAATTTTTTCTTTTCTAAATTTGTTGAAGTATTTTTTAAAGATAAAATCATAATAAATAAAAATTGTACTTCGCATCATCTTAATAATATTATCCTAAGATAGAAGATCGAAACACTCTTAATTATAATGAATAATTTAAGATTCTTATTTGTTGGGGGGTGACCTAAGAAAAAGAACTTAAACCATGGTGTTTCCAAAACAAGTTATTATACAAGGATAAAAAAACTATGAAAGGGAAAGAGCATATTACTTCAAATAGGGAATAGTCATATTCCTCAATATGGATGGGTTTCGACCAACTAATTCTTGCCACTCCTCTTGATCAATCCTTCCATCTCCTTTCGAGTCTGCTTCTTTAAAGGTCTGTGTAACAATACAAAAAGGGTAGAGAAGAATTTTAATCACATGTTTATGAACATATAATTAATTAATCCCCAACTAGTGGAGGGAAGTTAAAGAGAGGAAAAAGGAAAAGTGCTGTTACCTTATCAATTATGACCTCAATTATGTCATGAGACAGAACCAAATCCGATTCATTTAGTACTGCCAATATCATCTCTCTTACCTTCCATACATATTTTGAAAAATATAATTACTCTACAAGGTTGTAAATAAAATGTTCATCTGAGTTACTTCAATTCTATGCCATGTCTGATTTACAAGTTATTTCTTAAACATCTCAATATTGGCCAAGAAGATGCCTGAGAAATAGTTTAAATTCAATATACCCTTTATATTCTTTACCTCGTCACGTTCAATAAAGCCTCTTTGACATACATCATAGAGTCGAAATGCAACTGCCACATCAGACACTAAGGCTTCAATTTAAATATTGTAAAGCATGCAGACTCACACACTCTTCAGAGGAAATCTTACAGTCTGTTTTCTGTGCTTGTGGTGCTGCTGGGTGGAAGACACTTAGACCTCGAATGAACTCTCCAAATTCTATCACCCCATCATTTTTTGAGTCAAATAATTGAAATAACTGTTAACAAATTAAGTACACAGAATCACTGTCTTACTCCAAAGGGAACGCAAAATGATAGTGGCACAGATCACATATCATATCACTCTATTTTATTATTACAGTAACATGATGTATGTTTTCTAGATTTCAAAAGTTAAATTTGAAGAAACTGACCCTATCAGTAAAGAGGCTCTGTTTCTTGCAGCTTCCAAATAAGCCAAGCTGAAACTCTTCCTGCGCAAAATTCAAGATATACAACTCTGTTGATAATTAAGTGGCACAGTGTCAAATATAGTAGAAATAAAGGTAAATTACACAAGTTTCTTGAATTTTTTTCTTCAAATTTCTGGCGATACTTGTGTGTAACGTGTGGCGAACAGTTATTCTTTTAATTATTTGAAATATCTAATAAGTGTTTCAAACAAACTCCTTAAATGGTTTGAAGCAGAATATATTCAAACAGAACATATGCTATATTATACATACTTTGCTGATAACACCATCGTCCACCATGGAGCTGCTTAATTTCTTGAACAGATCATACAATGCTTCAATTTCAGAACTTTTAACTGCACGAATACAGCCAGAAGAATAAGAAAGTGGTCAATCAAAGCTGAAAATCAACGTTTGGCCATGAATGAAATGTTAGAATATAAAAGTAGAAAGAAGGGTTACAATAGGTTTGGGAAGCAAGAAGTGCTGGATCTTCATGATCAAGTCGCCGTTTGGTGCAACAACACCCCATCAATTACACTTCTTTCTTTGTGTTTCTAGACTCTGCGTGGGAATGAGGATTTGATACATAGTTAAGCTAGTATATAATGCATGCACCACATCGTACTGTAAATGTTCTATTCTATTCTCCATCGAACAGTAGGAATATTTTTGCATTAACAATAAATAAAAAAGTAAGGACTAGGACAGGATCTCTTTTTCATATAGGAACTTATTCTTAGAATACTAAATGATCAATTCAAGTATGAATTATAGTCACATAAACCATACCTTGATAGACAAAGTAAAGGTGTTATGAAAGAGATCAATCTTCATTAAAAATGAAGGTACAGAGATTTAAGATTCACTCTTTTTTTTTTTTTAATGAAGAAATAATATTTTAAGACCTACAACTTAATTTATTCTTTTTTTCTTTAACTTTGTAAAAGTATAATAAGTAAATAAAGATCTTAACCAAAGATATTACGGAAACCACTATATTTAGCTATCTATTTTGTATCAGAAGTTTTCTGGTTACGAATAACAATGTTCAAGAACCTACCATTGACCCCAGAAGGAAATCCTGCCAAATTCATTTGGTCCTCTTCAGGAAAAGTGTTTGATTAAATTCTTCGTTGAAAAAAGAGTAGGAGTGAAGAATGGATGAAGGGTTTTTGGTTTTGTCGTAAAGTTTGTACTTTGGCATATTACGTGTTTATAAGCTTGGGAGAAATGAGTGGTATGCAGGTTGAGGCAATGGTGCAGTGTCTGTATTCTCCGTTTGTTTATGCTGAGGAATTTGTTCGATGCACGTGCAGGAGAGGTGATGATGTGCCCTTGAATGCCACCCAATCCAGTAAGAAAGTGCGAATCGAATTCCAATTTCTATGTTCCAAAACAAGCATTCTCCGCAGACGCAACGAAGATTTATTCTATTTGTATGCAATAGCTACACTATTTATAGACAATATTTGATTGTCAAATGTCAAGCTCGATCACGTTAAAAGTTGGTCTTATCGCAATGTCAATTGTCAAATGTCAAATTTCAAATCGCAATGTTACGTCCACTTGCGTTCCTCTAGACTGAACCGCAACTTTTAACAGCCGCTCACTTCATATTGTTTGAATTTATTCCATGGCCTCTTTCTGCACTTCTTCCAGAGAGAAATGCTAATAAATCACTTGCCAATACACTCTTTTAGTTTCACTCTATAGTTTTATCAATAATTAAAAAATTAAAAAATTCAAAAAATAGTATTTGAGAGTGAATCGAATATTCAATCCGATCTACAAGTGTATGCTCTAGTAAAATTGTGTCATTAAATTTTAGAATAATCTTTAAAAATTAAAAAAATTATAATTTGATCACTTCTTTATTAATAAAACAATTTTCATTTATTACCTTCAATAAATGTATCACAATGATCTTAGTTAATACCATACGCTGAATTTTAAAAAACTAGTTTGGACCAACCTTTCACGATTGGTGGGTTAAAAACACTAACCACCTTAACTAATAATAATAAAAAAGAACAACTACGTGAAATAACTATAATTTTAGTCTATCTTGTAAATAGTTGATCCCACTTATTTAACATAAAAATATTGGTCTAATCAATATGAAATTAAATTTATTTAAAATTATTTTTATATATTTAAAAAAAACATAACAGTGAAAATTAAGACTCTATATTTTAAAATTAAATATTTCACATTAACATAATATACAAATAATTAAATATTTAAAATATTACACTAAATCATTCTTCAATCCCCGTCACCTTCAAAATTTCTAAGTTTTAACATTATTTTTTTTATCAAAATTTTCAATGTTAATAAATTTAATTTAATATTATCTTATAATTAGATGAATTTTTAAAATTTTTAATGGATAAATAAATCACTCAATTCACTACTAATTTAATTCAAGTGAATTTTGTGGTATTCAATTCAAATTAATCAAATTAGGCATCTTTAATAAAACAACTCACATTAGTTGCTTCTTACTTTAAAATATGTAAAGAATAATCTATGATGTCATATCATTTTAAAAGTAATTTAAGATTGATTTTAGTCCATTATAAATTTTCTTAATAAATTTTAAAAAATTTATTATCCCTCTTATTCTCTCATTATTTATTTTTATTTGTTTATTTGTGTAAGTTGTTTTATGAAACAACTATAAAAAAAATTTAACCATTTATCATGATTCTTTTAATGAAAAACTACTTCAAATAAATAATACTTAATTTAAATATCTCAATAAACAACTTCTATTGAATATATTCTTATAGGTAAAACAAATCTTAATTTATTAATTATAAAATTATGTTATATCCAACTCAACTTATTATAATAAGTTACTTGGTTCACGAGTTTGGATGTTTTTATCACTTTAGTATTCTTGTGATACATAAGTTTGATCTTAATATGCATGTAAGCATTTTACTAATTTTTATTTCAAATACCCTTTTTCCACAAAATCAACACTAACTTGTAATTTTTCTTCTCATAATCAATACTAAAGTAAAAATAAAAAATAAAAAATAAAAATTGAAACATCTTTAAATTAAAGCATCAACTTTCAAACATATTCATTTATTTGTGTAGGAAGTTTCCGGATCATCCATTGGCAATTTAAGTCTAACTAGGTTCACAAGAGTAGTTTTTAAGAGTTACACTATGATACCCAGAGAAATCTAAGGATTTTGGTGTAGTTGTTTTTTGGGACAACAATTGGATGAGTTTGGCCACACTAACAAAGAGACAGAGAGAGTTTCTCAATATCAGCATGAAAATCTTTCCAAGAGTACTATAGAATTTTTCTTTCTTTTATTGCAGCTGGGAACACTAGAGTAGTTAATGGTGTTTTCAACATTTATACAGTATATTGAGGTAGCAATTATGTGGTAAGTAGTGTAGCTAGTCTTCCACCTCAGAGTGCAAAATAAAGCTGGGAAATGCCATAGTTATATCCCTGATAAACAGAATCATTCAAGTATAATTTTTTAAATAGACTTGAACAGTACAAAAAATAAGTGTCAAAGTTTCATTGATCAGAGAAGTAACTCACTTTAGATAGGGTAGAGTCATGATCTTCAGAAGAGAAGGATTTTTTGTCACGTAATCTCTCCACTCTTCGTTATCTATCTTTCCATCTCCTTTTGAATCAACCTCCTTCATTGTCTGAAAATATTAAGTCAAGAAAATAACCAATAAGGGAAAAGAATTGGAATAGCGGATTGAGGAAAAGGAGAGAAACTGGAGAACTGATGCACGGTTTGCATGGTGACTTTACAACCTTGTCCACAATTGCTTCAGCAACATCATCGGTAACTGTAAGATCTGATTCAGTGAGAGTAGCTAACACCATTTCCTTCAACTTTAGTGTATCATCATGCACAAAAGGGAATGCATAAATAATAAGAACGAAACATAAACTATAAAAGTGGTTATAAATAATGATGTAAACAAAGTAAACACCAAAAAAATTTATCACTGTCAACACAGTGTTTCCTACATTCTTAAAAAGAGAATGAAAGACAGTGGAAAGCTTAGAGGGTACTCACCCCTTGACGCTCAATGTATCCACTCTGTCTAAGGTCAAACAATCTAAATGCAACTGTTAGAAAAAAAAAATAAAAATTGGCACTGTCAAGCCCTCGTCAACTCAACAGGTAGAGCACTCTGCTCAACTTACGTAACCAAAAAATCATAAAGTCAAATGACTTTTGATTTATGCAATAAACAAATGAGTTCGTACATTCAATTTTCTTCTCTTCAGATGCATTTGGATGAAAGATGCTCAGTGAGCGAACAAATTCACCAAAACCGATCACTCCATCACGCTTGGTGTCAAACATATCAAATACCTGCATTTTGCCGATAAAAATCATAACATGTTCACCATTAGCTTTTGGCAAGTTGTGGAGTCATGTCTTCATGTCTTCATTTAATATGCACAGGATCACACACATAAAGGAGTTAATTTGATACACAAATTAATCTTTCAGATATTTGGCGATCAATTAAAAAACTTGTGAATATTTTTATCCATCACTAGAATTATATAAACAGAAATGTGATTTTGTAAAAAAACAAAATAAAATAATAGAATGAAATAACAAATTGACTATATGTGAATGAATTGAAACAGAAGTTATATTATTTTATAGTCACTTTTTTATTTTATAACTTCTGTTTTCTCTTTTTACCTCACTCCTTGTAACAGGAATAAAGTTTCTTAAATTGTAAGCAACACTAAGCATCGCCTATTAGTACAATTTGGAAAAGTAACTTTATGGTACTATTCACAATTTTCTTGGATTATACATGTTGGACCCCCTAACAGGATGTGAGAAAATAAGTAAGACAAGGACGCACCCTGTCTGCAAATAGATTCTTCTTGCGACTATTATTAAAAAGTGCAAGATGGAACTCCTCCTGCAGGTAAAAATTTTCAAGAATTTAACTTTCGTTCTATCAAAATGCTAATAAATTATGATGGTGGTAGTGGGAAAGCAGGGTAATATTAGCTCATTTAGTTAACGAGGAAAAAAATGTGGAATCCCCATTACTAGTATTAGCTTAAATGGAAATACCTTGTGAATGACGCCATCATCAATAATTGCACTACTTAGTTTCTTAAACGTGCAAAGCAAAGCCTCGATCTCATTCACAGTAACTGTCGGTAAAAGACATTTGAGAGTAAACTATAAGAAATCTCACATTTATATCCCCACAAAATGTTTGGCATAAGTAATTCATGAGTGCATAACATATGCTGCCGAAGTTATGGTCTACGACCTACAAGTTTTGGATTTGGAATGAGAATGCATACTTGACAACTTGTAAAAACAAAAACTAACAATTCAAATGTAATCCTATGTTTACAGCATGAGCTATATACTAGTTAGGTCTGTTGACAAGTGGCATGCAAAAACTACAACATCAAGGCAATAGCCAGATTGATAATGATAGCAAAGTCCATTTCATGAAAAATCCAAGAAAGAGGATTCAAAATATAAATCGAGTGAAAGATGTTTTTTCTACTTACAGGATGTTTCCGAAGCAAGAATGGTGGATAGTTCTAGCTTATTCTTTGGTCTAGCTTTCTTCAAGCCAAAGCAGCTCATAGATATAGACATAAGTTCAGTTTAAGGATTACAGGACATATATAACTCTATCGAACACAGCACTGTTAAACAGAAAGCTCTGCCACATCAAAGAGAAAAACGTAATAGTTCAAGATTAATCTCTAGCAGACATTGCTGCTGTGGCATAAGTCTTTTTCAACCAATTGATGCAAACTCTAGTTGGAGTTTGTGTAATTTAGGAAAGATTTTAAGTTCAAATATTGTTACCCTAATAGTATAAAAAAGACGAGTTATTATCATGCATCCATTTCTGTTCTGTTTTATTACTTTTATATTTCTCTCTTCATCTCCTCCTGTCACATGATCTATCACTTTTCCACTCTTTATTTTGTCATTTCTATCTTTCTCTTCTCATCTGTGCACCCCAAAAAGGGAGATGCAACTTGATCATTTTCTAAAAAATAGTGTGAATTTTATACCTTCGATCAGTTTTTCTCCTTTAGATACTTGTTGGTTTGTAAACAATCGAGTCTCTGCTGCTACACTCTTTGGAAAAAATGAAAGAAAGAAAAAGGAAAGGGATCTAGATTCAAGAGAATATACAATCAAATTAACTCTCAGTTTAGCGCATGAATACTATGACGGTACCTTCTCTATCAATGGTTCAGCAAAATACAAATCAAGTCAGAATGTTAGCGAATTTCTGAATCCAATTCAAAAACGTCAAGCAATAAAAGAAAAAGAAAATCCAAGAATTTGACAAATTTTGACTCGTCATTGAATTTAATTTTTTTGATATTATTGAATGCCAATGGATGAATGATTATCCGAAAGAAAGAAGAAATAAAAAGTCAACAAAGAGCGTTATGATTCGGTGATCCAGTATTAGTTATAACCGTCCTCAGATATTGAAACATAACATTATTCAAACATCTTAGAGTTTATATCTAGACAAAGAATAATAAAAACATGGACCAATACATGGCATTAAAACGACTTACAGAAAGCAGAAGAAGATGGTTATGTCCGTCAAAGGTACGGAAATATTCACGGGTACACCCAGGCCAGCTTCATTCGCATGATCGCTCTTCGTGTTTCCTTTTAATTGATGTGTAGGTCACTGCGTCATTTACTTTGTATATATATTCTCATGTTTATGATATTCAACATACACTGCATAAATTATTCTAAAATGGGCTTCACAGACACGTAATGTCATATTAAATTGAAAAATAATTTTAGATGTTTGTTAGACCCAAAATAGGTTCACACCGTATTTTGAAACCTAACATATAAATAAACATGTTTTAGACCTGTATTTTGATGAGTAGAGCTGTATATCTTAAAATTATAGAATATATTTACTATTATTTTAAAAAGACTAGTTTATTTCGATGCACTTCTGCTACCTATATAAATAGCATCTATTGAGCAGAAATTATATACATAAAAAACACTCGTTTAGATACAATAACATGTAAGTTTTTTCTTTTAAATTTTTTTCTTAAGATTATATTCTTTTAAATTACTTTGGTATTCATAAAATTCAAAAATATTTATTGCACTCTATTGATTTTACTGATTATTATCATATGTTCTCTTCACTATCACTTTAAAGTGTTTTTAAACTATTTTGTATTTGAGGTATGTATTATACTTTTATATTAATCTTATTTTTATTTCACTGATGTTCTATACTCTTATTCTACTTATCAGCTTATTCATGTCATCAAGTTATTTAAACGTTTTCAAAATTATTACAAAATTATCCCAGGAAGAAACCAATTTGAAATATATTTTTCATTTATACTTTTGGAATATATATAATTACTAGTTATTTTTTAAAAAAATGAAATACAACTTATTTTATAATACTTTGGAATTTAATTCCCAGAATGATGTTGCACTATGTTCTGTAAATTATGCTCTAGAATTTAAAAACTTCATATCTACGTTTCATAAATTAGTTTTTTCAAAAATGGTATCAAAACACAAAAAGTAATAAATAGAATCCCAAACTTTTAGTTGTAGTGAATCTTGTTTTGTTGGATAAAAAAAGGATTGGTTGTTACGCAGTGATAATTAATACAAAATTATAGTTAATTTGGTTTTTAAGAAAATTAATATTGAATTTAATAAATTGATCATAAATTACAATAATTTATGCTTGTAATAATTAGGTTATAGTGTAGAACTATGTTTTGCGTAACTTATTTAAAAAAGATAACGCATGGGCTATATGTTGGGCCTAAATGAACTCTTACCCATTATAATTAATGGCCCAGAGTACAAAAAAACAAAAAATTGTTCGAGGGCTGAGAGAGAGCGCTCAATGCTCACTCACGTTGCTCACGTGATATCAAAGACGTCGTCGACAACGTATCCAGCTTTTCAATTTTCAATGCGAAACGTTTCGGAGCCAGATCGGATGAATTGAACCCGGGCGAAGTTACACACCGCGGTTTCTCTTCGCCCGATTCCGTTTATAAACCATTCTCTTTAAATAATTTCACAGGCAATTAATTGATTATTCATCAGTAGAACTCTACTATCTATCGTGTCATTGTTCCTTCTCATGCCATTCCTTTTCCTCTTTCTCCTTACAACTTCCGAGTCTCTATTCTATTCTTCTTCTTGATCCTGCAACTTTCACAAATTGAATTGTGGCCGTTTCTTTAATTGACGCAAAGATCACCGTGAATTAGTATCTTGCTTTGAGTTAGCTTCTCGATGGAGGCGGATTTCGTGACGAATGATATGCTCACATTCACACACGATGCTTTTGATTCCCACGATAATGTAAGCATGGTGATTTTCGTCTTCACTTGTAATTACTGTGCTATTCGATTTTTTCAATTTGGATATGAAGTGTTGCTAAAACCCTCGTTTACGCTTATTTTTCTAGTTTTGATAATTTCATGTCATTTTGAATTTTTAATTTCATTATGTTGTTTGGATGATACACATATTTGCCTAAGATAGAGTCTTGCATAGCAACTGATTGGTCAGTTTTGGTATTTGTTTCACCTGAACACACGATATTTCTTAATTAGCAGAGTGATGTGGCTATTGAAGGGGAAAGATGTGGAATATGTATGGATATGGTTATTGACCGGGGAGTTCTGGATTGCTGTCAGCACTGGTATGTATCTTTTTGCCTACTTCTCGAAGGCTTAAAATATATGTTTTCTCTCTTAAAAATGGTCATATCTTAATCTTGTTGGTTTGGTAGTGTCAATTTGTTTATGGATTGTGCCTTGCACCTCATCTCCAGTGTTTGCCGATGTAGGTTTCATTGTTCATTCTGCATGGTGAAGAAATAAGAGAATAACTTAAATGAAAAAAAATACTGATGATGATATGTACTGGTAAAAGTCTGATTGTATGACAGGAAACAACATTGCTGTGTTTGATTCAATTTATTGAGAGGTTTAAACAAAATATCCCTCAGAAATTATCCAAACTATTCATGCTGATGAGTACAAGTAATTGTTGGAGTTGGTTTTGATTGAATAGTAAAGCTGATCTTATTTTAATTATAATAACATCAAGAGCTTTTTCCCCCTTGGTAAATTTTTATGTTAAGAATGATAAAAGGATAACTTACACTCTTCTCCACTAAGAGATGCTTACACTTCGTTCCTCTTTGTATTTAAGACTTACACTTCCTGCTCTTAGGAGATGAATATACTACACTTTTGTTTCAATGTAAATGAACTTTTTAGTGGTGGTGACTGGTAAACGCTGAGCAGCTATGGATGAGCCTTACTGAGATAATTTTCCAATTTTCTACTTCATTTTAAATGGTTAGTAAGCCATTAGACTAAATCGAAATACATTACTGGTGTGATCTGAGTGTGGGAATGCTACGCCTGCAACTAGGGGATTGTGCAATCATGTAACAGAGAGCCCAAAGAGGATTAATAAAGATAGACTCTTTGTATGGAATAATTAGGTTGGGAAATAGGTATTTCTTGAAGACTCCTTGTATGTAACAGAAAGCCCAATGCTTCTTTCCTTCATTATTCTGTTCCATTGTGTTATGCAATCGACAGTCCACATCTCTCACTCTGATGTGGTTCTTTTGGGCCTATTTTACTGTATATACAACAATAAAGCCTTATAGGTGAGATTTGCTACATGGATCACATGGAGTCATTCTAATCACTTAAAGACCATCTTAACCGATTCATCGAATGTCCTTCTTGGCCTCCTTCTTCTCTTCACCGAAACCTTACACTCTACTCTTCTCATCATGTCTCCCTTGGCCATTTTTATATATGGGCAAATCACCTTAATCTACTTTCTGTCATATTTTCATCTATCAGTGCTAAACAATCACTCGTCATCCATAAATTTGTGTCTTATCTTTCCTTGTATGTCTACACGTCCATCTCAACACTCTATGACAGAGATCTTTTTCTCCTGTTATCCTTAATACCCAATAGTCACTACCATAGAGTAAAATTGGATGTATAACAATACAATAAAACTTGCCCTTGAGTTTTGTAGGTATATTCTATTGATTTTCTAAATAGAGAAGCAGTTATGTATATGTTGAAGAGCTAGTTTCTGAACTGATTTTTAACTGGAAATATTGAAGAATGAAGTAGTTCGATATAAAGAACTGTATTTTTTTTTATTTTTTTCAATTTAACATGAAGAATAAGATTTTAAACCAGTTCTTGAACCTTTTTTGGTAGAAACACAACAACTCTTTTTTTTTTTTTTTTGTAGAACTCAACCAGCTATGTTCAAAACTGGTTTACTGAATTACAAATATGTTCAGTTCAGTTTATTCTCACGATTCATGAAACCCAATCAATTTGGTTCTGTTTAATGGAATATGGAATTATATGTCCAGTTTAATTTGATTCAGGCCTAGTTATTTTTAGGAAATATGGACATGGGTGGCATTGGTTAACTTGTGTTAAACTGCTTATACTCACTCATCATGATTGTTTTTGTTCTGGTGTGTGCTTTCTTCTTTGTTGGAAAAATTATGAATGTGGTATTGTAATATGGGGATTTTCATGGGCATAAGTTCCATGATGAAAGGGATTTCTTAGATGCACAGACATTCTTTCTATACTAGCCGGTAAAATATATTGTTTTTCTATCATAGTATGTTACTCTTTTTGTGAGAATTTTTCGATGGTGTAAACTTCAGGTTCTTTTCATTATGTATTAAGTATTTTCCCATTGATGGTATACTATCTTAGCAAAGACATTAAGGCTGCTGATATACCTTTAACCCCTCCAATTTACTCAGTGCAATTCTTTATATTGAAGCGTGTCATATGACCTTTGGGAAGAAAAATCTTCTGGTTGGATGTGTATGTTTAAAGGGATTGTTTTCATGCATGTAGGAGAGCATCTATTAGTTTTCATAATAATTTTGTAATGTTAAATTTTAATTCTATACCTTCATTTAGGCCCATTAAATGTTGGTTTTCTTTCCTTCATTTTTCAGTGTGTATATTGAAATATGAATCTGATATTTTAGCTCGGTTCATTTATTTCACAGGTTCTGCTTTGTATGCATTGACAACTGGGCTACCATCACTAATCTTTGCCCACTCTGCCAGAATGAGTTTCAGTTAATCACTTGTGTTCCAGTGAGTGATATAAAATTGCGGAATGCTGCTTTATCTTCATTGATTTAGTATAACTCTTCAGGTTACAATTGAATTTGCTCACTTTATTAATTATGTTATTGACATTGTAATTCGTTGCTTTGATAAATATTGCTAGGAAAACATAAGTTTTTAATTATTCTGAAAATTTATGTTTTTAATGCATCTAATACCTTGAAAATACTAGTAAAATTTGGTGTGTGGCTAAACATGTGAAACTCATGACTTTGAAGGTATATGATACCATTGGAAACAACAAAGTTGAAGATGATTCATTCCTCAGGAAAGTTTCCTTCCATTATTTGTGTGTTGACATATTTTCATTGTTTGTTTATATCCAGATATATTAAACTTAGGATTTTCAGAATTGGCATTTTAGTTGAAAGTCATGAATTTTGCACAATTCAATCGATGCATCATTGTGATTGAATTTTAACTAAATACTTAAAAAATTTCATTACTGAATTTTAAGTAAATACTCCAGTGTTTTATTACTCAATTTTGAGTTGATACTTTACAGTTGATCATCTTTCTGATTTAAAAAAATTATATAATCTTTTCACTGTTTTCCTTCATGAATGCAGAGATGATGATGACTGGTCCATTGAAGGGAAGAATAACACGCTATCATTTCCTTCATACTACATTGATGAGAATGTAATTGTTTTCCATATAATATAATTTTAGAATTCCAGGCAAAAAATCTTGACCTTTGGTTAGTTAATATTAATGGCAACTTGCTTCTACTATTTCTTGTATTTTTGCACGAGCAAATATCATCCATGAAAAAAATATTTTGGTTCATACCATTAGTTGATTTCTAGTGTTTTCTAAATCTCACTACTCTCTCTAGAGTCATATTGTACATAGAAATTTTGGCATTTAGATCCTAAGCACTGGTGTAACCTGTGGTTTGTTTCAGAATATACATTGGCCTTATAACTAAATTAAACTACCACAAAAGGCTTTTCCTAGTAGGTTAGGTAAGCTACATGGAATACAGGACACAATTGAATGATAAGTACCACAGGGAGTTGGGAGCCCACCATCAAAAGCTAGCTATTAAGGGGGAGGACCAAACACTTAAATACTATATCGAACATTCAACACTACTTGACTTAGGCACCTGATAATACCCAAGTTCCTATCATAGCACCATCCTTAAGAGTCGACATCTCCACAACTTTCACTCTTCAACACTTGAAGTTTTATAAATAGTTCCCAATTAAGAATGAGATCATTATTCAAAACCAACTCATTCCTCCCATCTTCATTATCATCATCAACTTGTCTCACTAACTACTCATTGCACTCATCAATGTTATTGAGATCAATAGTATCAATTCATTTCTAATATTGTATACCTGAACAAGTCAATGGTTATACTTGATGCAAACCAATCATTGAATTTTTTATATTCAAGCCTATTTATCTTTTTTGAATGAATTTGCATTATGAATAAATAAAATGTTAATTAATTTATTCTTACTTTCTATGAAAAATAATAATGAAATGAACTATGAACAATAATTATTATTTGCTCAAATACTCTCAATTTGCATTCAAATCAAGATGAGCTATATGTCAAGCATAAAATCTAGATTTCTAGCTTTGCAAGCTTGGAGTTGCGTGACCATAAATTTTCACCATTGAGCTATAAAAACAAAGAAAGTTACTTAAAAATTTTAACATTCTTACTTGTCTTTTTGAAATTTTATGCATAACATTAATCCTTATGTATTTCATCATTTTGTAGGCAGTTATTTGCTTGGATGGTGATGACTGCAAGGTTCGCAATGGGTTGGCTACTATGGAAGGAGATTCTGATCTCGATACATCAATAGCCTGTGATTCATGTGATTTATGGTAAACTTAAATCAACGGATTAGGTTAATAAGTTTAAGATGTCATTGATTAAAATTTTAGTAGGTTATTGTCTTCTAGAAATATGATGTTGGGTTTGAATTGGTCAGCTATGTGTAATTCATGCTTGCCTAGGCCTTAAATCTCATCTTTATGGGGGTTTGGCTGAAAATAATGTTTCTTTTATAAAGTGCATTTAGGCCTAACTCAACAATATAAAACTGACCTGCAAATGAGGTTTGCAATCACTCATATACTATAATTTGATCATATATCTAGCTGATGTGAGATTTTCAACACATACTCTCACGTCCAATACTATTGGACTTGGTTTGTGAATAATATTGTGAGTGACCATTTTAATGACATTAGGATAGGCTATGATACCATCTTCCAAAGTGGTTTAAGCCTAAGTCAACCTTACAAAACTAATTTGTTAGGTGTGGTTTGCCCTCACTTATATATTATCTTTAGTCGATGTAAGACTTGAGTTTTTCCAAAAGTTTGACCATATCTTAAGTTGAAATAAAACTTTCAATAGTTTCTTAGCTCATCAAAGTATTTATGGATAAGTTCATAAGAAACACTGATAGAAACATTGTAAAGTCTAATAGGTGGATTAGAAATTTGATGGAAGTCAAGGGTGTAGTCTGGCATGAGCTTACTTTCGGGATACTGTGGATGTCTTGTTAGATTTTATACGGTTTAGGTGACTGCCTTATCAAAGCATGACCATCAATGATATATGAGCTAGACAATAACTATAATTTATAATATAGTAGAAAAGAGATTGTGTAAGTTTTGTTGTCACCCTCTTTAATGGGTGGGTAGTGAAATCAATTAATGAATATATCATTACTGAATTTTATAAACAGTACCGCATCATTTTTCCTTTATGACAGGTATCATGCATTCTGTGTGGGATTTGATACTGAAAGTACGTCAGACAGTACATGGTTATGCCCCAGGTAAATTGTTTTACTGCTTATTTTGTTGGGTATTTTCTTTCTTCTAATTGCTTTTTCTCCTCCTTTAATCTCAAAATTCGATCTGGTTTGAATTTTTAATATGCATGTACATATTGTCTACTAGCTTATAAATAGTAATATAGAATTTGATATGTTCTAGCTATTATAGAACATATTGATATAAAATATGGTTAGATAATTAATAGTCTAAACAAAACTTATAAATTATTTATGATGTGGTTAACTATGAAAATAATGTATTTCATCTGTTAACCAAATTGAACTATCAAGGGGCTTTTTTAACAAAAACCCTCGGTAAATCTTCCTTCACATGAATTATTAAATGGTTTGCTGACAGTATTTGTTATCTTCTTTACATCCTTTACTATTCTAATTCAGGGTTTTGTTTTAGATGTGTAGTAGATGATGTTTCTAAAGGAACATCTAATTCCATTGAGAGGACAACCGTGGACTGTAATGCAGACAATAGTAACAGTGAATGCCATGCTGAAGATTCCTTTTCAGGAAAAGTTTCTGTGTCTGTTGCTGATACAGGAGAGACAGCTGTTGTTGTCTCAATGGTTGACAGAGCAAAGTGGGTTCCAGCAACAAGTGAGAAAAGCCTATTGCCTTTTGAAGTTGGTGGGGATCCAATGACTGAGTCATGTATTTTGATATCTGACACAAATAATCAGGAAAGTGGGGAAGTGAGGACAAATTCATTACCAATCATGGAGGAAGAAGAACTGGAACTGTCTTTATCAAACAATTTATCCTGTAGCCTAACTTCTATGTCTTCAGTGCATAATGATTTAAAGAAAAGTGCCAGTGGGGCAAGGGATGAACCCAGTGGCTTTGATGGAACCAAGTTATTCGATGAGTCCCATTCCAAAACTAGTCCATACAGAATTGAATCTGATATGGGTCTCCATCTTGGTTTGTCAGTGGGCTCTTTTTTATCTGGTAAACCATACTACTGTATACCATTAGGTTTTTGTATGCTTGAAAAGTATCTATTGTAAACTAGACTGATTGTCATAATCTTAATGTGCTTATAGTTGATAATGCAGACAAGAATGAGCTAATAGATCAAGCAACTGACGTCCCGGGCATGACTTCAGACAAATGTTTTTTGAAAGGTTCACCATTCTTAAAAATATGATTTCTTTATTTTAATCCACAATTGGTCTGTGAGACACCATTGATAGATGATAGGCTTCAAAGTATTTATACCATATAATGTTGATAATAAAATATTCTCAGGAGATGAAATTGAAGCCAATGCTTGTAAGGACAATGTCGGAGTGGCTTGTGGAAAGAGAAAGCATGCTGATATCAGGTAACCATTCATTGAAATTGTGTCGTATTAAATGGGTAGTGCTTTGTGGTCATTGTTCTAGAGAGAGACAGAGAGCGGATGTAAGCATTTTTCCATGTAGTGTACTGTATTACTCCAACTCGGACATGGCTAAAGTAAAAAATTAGGATAATGGTAGTGTGGTACACTTCTATACAACATACATACATAACCAACATAAAAGATCTAAAATAAAAAAACAATTTTGGTATATTCTTGTATAAGTATCTTTCTATGATAATGAGTCTCACCAAACATATTAAGAGACATTAATTTTTAATACTTAATATTACAATTTGAAGTAACCTTTTATGAATGTTGAAGAAATATGATTTTTTATAATACTTCCTTTAAACGTCCATCTATATGGAAATGTTGACTTAGATGTTGGAGCCATACAGAGGTGTCAAATTAAGTGTTCAGGTCAATAAAAAATTTAGGCAAATGTCAAATGCGTAATGTTTGACATGTGGCATTTTGATGGTATGGCAAATGTCTTACACTCTTAACACCACAAGAAAAGTGTCTATATTGGATAGGTTATACTAGAAGGATGGCTTAAAAGGGGAAAAAAATTGTTTAGTTATCCGTCTATCATTGTGCAATCAACTTCTTAATTAATGGGAATCAATCACCTAGAATCAAGCTCCTAGTGAATCACCCTTGATTTTAGGAGTTGATACTTCATTTTAACCCATAGGATTTTCGTTAATGCTTACCTATATTCTAAACATATACCAATATTAACTACATTTTGTTCCTCGCCACAACTTGCTTATTTTCTTTTGGCTAGGGGAGGGTGAATGGTTTATAAATGATGTTAAGATGCCACATCGACTGGAGATATGATCAAATTATAATATATAAGTAGGTGAAAACTCACCTAAAAGCTGGTTTTGTGAGGTTGAGTTAATCTTAAAGTTTATTTTTTAAGATGGTATTAGAGCCTATTTTAGTGAGGTTGTTAAGCCTATTATGCCATGTCACCTGCCATCGAACCATGCAAAAATATCTATTTTCACACTCGGGATGTCCAATCCTCGACATCAGGGGTTGTATTAGAGATCCCATATTGATAGAAAGTAAACTTTAAAGCATAACTTAATTGCACAAAACTGGCTTGTAAGGTGAGGCCACACAAACTCATCTTTTTGTGCCCAAATCATGTGATTCACACTTAACCAACTGAGCTATATGGTTTTAATTATGGCCATAGATATTAGAATGGACTGGGCCTAACTCAGTTGTAAAAGTAGCTCTAGAGGAGAGGATCGCTCAAATCCTACAAGGACTATTTTTTATTATATTTCAAGTTAAAATAGTACTTATTAATATTATAGATAGTAAGTTGTATATTATTCTAAAACATGTGTTGTAGTTGAATTGTATAGGGGCCACTTTTTGCATGATGTCCACCTTTGGAAGTATGTAGTCGTTGGCATAAAATATCATCATAAAAGTGGTGCTGCTTGTTGCAAATACAATAATGAACAGTATGGATATGTTCTAATAACCACAATTAAAAAAAGAAATAGGAGCAGGTGGCTAGATATTTTTCATACTCATATCATATGTGCTATTAAAACTGCATTAATTATATTGAAATAAATTGTTTAATTGTTATTTGTTTTATGTGAACCAAATGAGGAGTTCAAAATTTGACCTTCTTTTCTTTGTTCTTTTTCCCTTGATTTTTTCCTTGTTGTCACAGTAATGAGCAAGTTCATATAAAGGCTGAGGATGGAGATGCCACGCCTGAACTACTGGATGAAGCTGTGCAAAAGAAAATTAAAGCCACTGATAGTCAAATGAGCATTACTAATGACTCCGCCAATGCTCATCTTTCAGAAAATGCTCTGAAAGACCCTGCTTTAAAACATTCTCCAACAAAGCCAACTGTTGCATCAGATATAATGAATATAGTTATAGGGACTAATCGGAGGCTTTCCAAGGGACATACTGATACTAATGCTTGTGACAAGTCATCTGAAAACAAAGGAAATATGGCTGGGTTGAGGGTTAAAAAGATCATGAAAAGAAATTCCGAGGATAGAGAATCATCCTTGGTAGTTCAAAATCTAAGGAAGGAAATTAGAGAAGCTGTCCGTAACAAATCCTCTATAAACTTTGAGGATAACCATTTTGATCCCAAGCTTCTTGAAGCATTTAGGGCTGCTATAACAGGGCCTAAAACTGAACTTGTAAACAAGTTATCCCCTGCAGCTATAAAGGCAAAGAAGTCAATGTTGCAGAAGGGAAAAGTGCGTGAAAATTTAACAAAGAAAATTTTTGGGAGTTCCAGTGGAAGGAGAAAGCGTGCATGGGATAGGGACTGTGAAATTGAGTTTTGGAAATATCGTTGCATGAGAGCTACAAAGCCTGAAAAGATTGAAACTTTAAAATCAGTTCTTGATCTACTAAGAAAAGGTTCAGATGGTTCAGAATTAAAGCAAGCTTCTGATTGTCAAACCAAAAATCCTATTCTTTCCAGGTTATATTTAGCAGATACATCTGTTTTTCCCCGGAAAGAGGATGTCAAACCTCTCGCTGTGCTTAAAACTGTTGCTAAATCTGAAGAAACTAAACAAAACAACCCATCAGAGAAAGTACCAAATCTATCTGTTGATAACAGTACTGTTAAAGCAACCAATGTAAACAATATCTCATCAACGATCAGTTTTGTTTCATCTGAAAAAAAAGTAGACAAGAAGAGTGTACAAGGTCCAGTTGGTGATAGTTTAACTTCTGGTAAAGTACGTTTAAACAATCACTCAGAAAGGACACCAGTTTTGTCAGCTGGTGCAAAAACTAGCACAAAGGAGTTAGGCCTTAAATCTGGTTGCATGAAGAGTGATAAAAGAAAATGGGCCTTGGAGGTCCTTGCGAGGAAAACAGCTACCACCAGCGGAAACACAGCAAATGGAAATCAGGAAGAAAATGCAATTTTCAAAGGAAATTATCCTTTACTTGTATGTAAATTATCAGAGCTGATTAGTTTTTTATGCCTTGCTTTATTTACTTTTGTCATTGGTATCAGATATTGTTTATGGATGTTCACTGTTCTTTCTGTTATTTTGTGAGTAGGCCCAATTGCCAATTGATATGAGACCAGCATTAGCACCTTGTCGACACAATAAAATTCCTATATCAGTTAGGCAGGTATGCTGTACCTTTCTTTTCCTCATTTGAAGTTACACGTGTTAGATTGATGCATTTTTAATGAAGGCACCGATTCCTGATGTTTCAATTCCTTAGGAGGGTCATTCTTTTCTGCTTACTTTGGAACTAAAATTTATCATTTAGTTATCTGCCATTTTCGAATGTTAAACAAAACATCTGCTTGCCAGTGGTTTACCATTAAATTCCATCCCACTCTTCGTCCATTTTCATTGTTAACATCACTTTATGAGTGATATAATATAACTTCAAGTTTCTCACCAGAAAACGTGATAGAATCTTAAAATCTTTTTTAATAGTTGATTGTTCCATAGATAAAAGCCATGGTTGACTGGTTGCCAGTTTTCAGGGTTGTTATTAAATCTGGTGGATACCATACAAATTTAGAATAATTTAATCTTGTTCCTCTTTTGGCATGTTAGTGGAGTTGAATCTTTAGTATTGGAGCATGACTATTTCCAAAACATCGATTCAAGCTGCCTTGTTTGTGTATGCAATTCTGTTAGATTTCTTCTCTCATACTCTGCATTTTTGTGCAGACACAACTTTACCGTCTGACAGAGCGCTTATTGAGGAACACAAACCTGTCTGTGATCTGCAGAACTGGCATTACAGAATTAGCTGTTGCAGATGCAATTAATATTGAAAAAGAGGTTGCTGACAGATCAAACAGCAAGCTTGTGTATTTGAACCTTTGTTCACAAGAGCTTTTGCATCACACAAATAACACAAAGTCCGGTGTAGCCACAGATACAAGTCCACCAGCTACATCAACAATGCTTACTGATCAACAATCAGAATTAAATACTGATGATCTGTCAGCTGACCCTGCAGTTGAAACAGCCTTGAAAAATGCTGGTCTTCTGTCTGATTCCCCACCTAGCAGTTCACATGAGAACAGAGAAACATGTAATGATGACATGTCGGGGCCTGATAATATATTTGAACTGGATTCTCATCCTGATCTGGATATATATGGTGATTTTGAGTATGATTTGGAAAACGAAGATTATATTGGTGCTAGTGTAACAAATGTCTCAAATCCAAAACCGGAGCAAAATGAGTCAAAAGTGAAACTTGTTTTCTCCACCATGAGCGTGAAAAAGTCAGATATAGCTTTGGATTGTGCAGACTGTGAGGGGTCTGAAAGAAATAAAGTGCCAGGAGATGCATCTTGCTCACCAAGTTGTCACAATGATGCAGTTCTTAGGGCTAGGGCTTCTACAATTGATCCGGAGACAGACCAGCTTTCTGTTTCTTCTGAGCTCCTATCTTTTGGGAGTGCTATTGAGCCTCTTGACTCAGAATTTGAAGAACTATTATATGGCCCAGACAAAGAACCACTTATAAAAGAATTTCAGGCTGGTGAATCAAGATCATTACATGGAGATGGCAAGACAGAAACTCAAAGCGTGGCCAATGACTGCCAAAATGATGAAAAACATGTTTTGGATAATGCAGTAAAAGCTTCTTCAGAAGAACAGGGGAATGAGAATCTCACAGAAAAAGTTTCTCATACTACCATCACCAACCAATCTTCTAATATATCTGAGGCTGGTGAACATTTCGAACGGAAGGAAGAAAACTCTGATATCACTGCTAAGCAGACTGATTCGTTAAATCTTGTAACTAAAAAGGTATGCAAAATTAATTTTCCCATCCAACTTATTTCTTTAATATTAGAAAAAAAAAATCGCAATGTATTTATCATTTTTTGTTTTCTATCATTTCTATACTTTCCTACATAATTCTCATATTTCTGTAATAATACTGGAATTTGTACAGGTTGAAGCTTACATCAAGGAGCACATGAGACCACTGTGCAAGAGTGGTGTAATCACGGCTGACCAATACAGGTGGGCTGTTGCAAAAACGACTGAGAAGGTTATGAAGTATCACTGCAAAGCAAAGAATGCGAATTTTCTCATAAAGGAAGGTGAGAAAGTAAAGAAACTTGCAGAGCAGTATGCTGAAGCAGCCCAACAGAACAGAAAAAATTGATTCATACGGTATCACTTCATCCTCAACAAGTTTTTTTTTTAGTTCTTTCCCGTCATCCGCCATTGTTTATTATGGTGCTAATACTTGCTTATTAAGAATTTTGCTCTATTGAGCCAGCAGCAGTGAATACGTCAGATTTTAGCCTCACCTCGTCATATATTTGTGAATTGAATTGAGCACACAATGGAGATTTATGTTTAATGAAATTAATTTCACAAAAATAATTTGGTTAAAATTGCATTTGAAATTAAGTGATTTATGTTATGTTTTTATTCTACGTGCAATTTACTTGAATTCAACAATTAATTTTGAATATAAAATCAATTTTTCAACATGGGATTAAAAATACTAATATTTTCATAAGATTTTATTAGCTGGTATTTTAACGTGATTTTGCATATTATAACATGAATATAAACACATTTTTTACTCTGAACCAGAGAGTCCGACGTAGAGGATAAATTTTCAAATATTAGTGATTATGTTTGATTTGATTACTAATTGGTAATTTGTTTTCACATTGAATCATTTGCCTCTGCGCCATTATCGTTTAACAACGACTACTCCGTCGAGTTTCAATGCCTATGAATTTCACATTTGCTTATTTTTTACGCAATAAAGTAAATTATTACAAAATATCCTATAATAATTGAGTGGGACACAAGCATAACATGACATCAACTTCTGAAATGATTTAATCTATGCTAACAAAGTTTATTAAAATGTGGCTAATTTTTCAAGCAAAAATAGAAATTATTAATCTTTTTCAATTATTTGAAGTTTATGCAGGTCAAAGCTTACCAATGATTAAAACAAATCATTAATGAATATGAGAATCGGCAGTACGAAGCAGAGCATATTCGTGATTCAGATGAGCTATAGGTGAGGTGCAGAGATGTAGATCGGAATGGTAAAGGATACAATGCAAGTCGAATGGAGGAATAACAAAGGCACGGAGTAGAAACCAAAGAATATATTATTTTGGAATCAAAATACGAGAGGTTTCTTCTTAATAACAGGAATACAATATGTTTGGATTCTCGTAATTCTTCTTTATAATAGAGATGTGCGTCAACGGTGTAATCAATGAGTTTTCAAGCATGCATTAGGGCCGTAAAGAGTGCCTTGTTTACATTTGAGATGCACTCAATTAGATGAAGCGCAATTTCCATATTATTTAAAATCGATATGGTGCCATTTGTAGCTCAAATAAATATTTCTGTTTTTTATTCTTAATTTTAAGGACTCAAAATAGTTAGATATTGATACCTTTTTTGCAAATTTACTTTAAGTAGTGATTGCTTCCGTCACTTTCTTCATCTGATAACTTTTAAACATTTTAGAAAAGTGAATTGATCGATATTCAATTTAATCTTAAAACTATAATATAAAATCTACTTTAATTATAATGATATAATTTCTTCATTATACATAATATTAGAATTAATATATCATTTTAGCAAATCATCAATTTACACTCATATTCACATACATGAGACGAAGTGTGGTAAAGAAGTGTACTTCAATTTTTTTATATCAAATAGGCAAATAGTGTGTTTACAGTCTACATTAGCTATTTCTAAAACTAGTTTAAAACTTGAATAAATTAATTTAAAATGAGATTACTTTGAAAATCTAACAAACACGGTACAATCCGTACTATTTTCTTTAAACGTCATACTAAATTTTTGAAAAGTATTATATTTATTTTCCCCGTGTTCACTCGAAATCTTCAACTTTTCTCTTATTTTTTATTATACTGTTCATCACACTCATCATTTTTTCTCGTTTTTTATTTCTTTCGATCTCTCATGCCCTTCAAGATCTGTAGAGGATAGAAAATAAGAGAAGTAAATGAAGTTGAAATAGTTGGGACGAGGAAACACGTAAATATATATATATATATAAAAAAAGTTATTATATTAGATATTATTAATTATATTCTTGGAATAAAAAATTATAATGTCTTTTTATGATGATAATCAACTATGAAATATTTATAATTGATTATGTCTGTGTGTTTCTTTTATGCTTATTATTATAATAGTAAATAATTAAAAATAATAATGATAATAGTAAGTTTATTAATAATAATAATAAAAGAATACTGTCCGAATTTTTTTTTAATTACATAATTTTTCACATATCTTTTACTTTTTTTTCCTCTTAATATATATATATATATATATATATATATATATGTTTATTTATTTATTTTTTCTTTCCAATTTGCTAAAGTGAGAATAGATTATCAAATATAAAGCATATTAGCAAAAGCTCCTGTTCCTCTTTTATCTGAACTAGAAACTAGAAATAAGACAAGTAGAGGGTGAGTGAAAGCTCTATCCGATTGGGTGAAGAACTCAAACCAAAACAGCACCAGTTGCAGATTACCATTTCCATTTCAATCTCGTCTCCTTTTCACCTGCACTTCTCAAGTTGCACAAAACCTTAGTTTCCATAAACCCTTTTCATGCATTCCTCAACCCATTTATGAATTCATCATAACGATGAACATTCTCTCCTCGCCCCACTTTCACATCACCAAATCCCGCTACCCCCACCGCCATGGAACACCGAAGCAAACTCAGAGGCGCATTCCGACCCAGCTTCTTCTTCTACGTAGGTCACCCACAGTGCTCTGCAAATCCTCCGCCGCGAGTGGCGAACCCGGTTCGGATGATTTCGTCAGCCGGGTTCTGAAGGAGAACCCGAGCCAATTGCAATCCAAGTACCTAATTGGCGACAAGTTATATACTTTGAAAGAAAAGGAGAGTTTGGGGAAAGTATCCAATTTGGGTATTTTCGATGTGCTGAAGAGGTTGAACCCGATGAAGCCTCAGAGCAACAGTGAAAGCGAGGTTTCGGGAGAGAGAGGCTCTGTGTATTTGAAAGACTTGCTTAAGGAGTATAGAGGGAATCTTTATGTTCCTGAACAAATTTTTGGCTCAGAATTATCAGAGGAAGAAGAGTTTAACAGGAAACTAAACGAGTTGCCCAAAATGAGCGTTGAGGGGTTCAGAAAGGCTTTGAGTAAGGACAAAGTCAAGTTGATAACTTCAAAGGGAGGGGGAGGAGCTTATAGGGATTTTGTGGTGGAGTTAAAGGAAATTCCTGGTGATAAAAGCTTGCACACAACCAAATGGTAGAAAATGATGGGATTGTATTGTTAGCTATGCAGCTTGTTGAAACTGTCACTGCAGTGTTGTGACAGATTGTGATTGTATGTGGTTTTGCAGGGTTCTTACGCTGGGTAAAGGGGATGCTCAAGCGGTTTTGGCGGACTACACTGGACCGCGATACGAAATAGAGAGGAGGCATGCTATGGTTGTTAATCTTTTTCTTGTTCACGCATGAATGATTTTCATGAGATTAAACTATTCACGTAGTCCCTAGTCTTCATTATAAGTTTTATTGCTGATAAGAGAAAACTACAAGTTTTAGTTCCTTCACGTACATAAAAGTTACTTTTTCGTCCCTGTTGCAAACATTGCAAGAGACTTTTTGGCTATATTAACTGCTACAAATGAATTGGTGGTGGTGATAAACCACTACAGAAAAAGTTGTGTAGGGACTAATACTTATATTTTCCCAGAGACTAAAACATAGCATAACATCAACTATAGGGAGCAAATGAATAGTTTAACCTTTGGTCAATTAGCTTTGTTTGTTTTACATTTTGTTTTCTTTTTCTTATTTATGCATGCTCTCTTACCTAGTTTGTAGTCAGACTCGGGGGGGGGGGGGTTACAAGTCATTTGGGAAGATGCATGAATTAGATCCTTGTGGTTGATCATAGTTTCATTGTTCTTTTAACTCTGGAATTATTTTGCTGCAGTCTTGGGTGGGGAAAACTCCAGAGTACCCTCATCCTGTTGCATCTTCCATATCTAGCAGAGTAATGGTGGAGCTTGCGGTGGTGTCAATCTTCATGGGTTTAGCAGCTACGCTAGTTGGCAGTTTCCTTGCAGCAGCATTGTTTGTGGCCACCAGTTTTGTATTTGTGGTGGCTGCCTATGTTGTGTGGCCTATAGCCAAACCGTTCCTCAAGCTTTTTCTTGGCCTTGCATTAGCAATTTTGGAGAGGATTTGGGATAATATTGTTGATTTTTTCGGTTATGGTGGCATTTTCTCTAAGATATCTGAGTTTTACACTTTTGGTGGAATATCTGCCAGCCTTGAGGCATTGAAACCAATTATGATTGTAGTTTTGACTATGGTTCTTCTTGTTCGTTTCACTCTTTCAAGAAGACCTAAAAACTTCAGGAAGTGGGTAGGTGACTAAGTAATCCACTAATTATGCATGAATCATTGAAACAATTTTGTTCCTTGGATTTGCTTCATTAGCATGCTCTAAGAGATGTTTCTTTGATATACAGGATCTTTGGCAGGGAATAGATTTCTCACGATCTAAAGCTGAAGCCCGTGTTGATGTGTGCTAAAACCTAAATTTATTTTTGTCTCTACTCTTGAAAAAAAATGAATGTTATTTTTGGTTTCCTTTTTTTTTCTGTTACTCACTTATTCCTATTTCTGGCTTTGGAAAAACATCGTTATAGGGTTCCACAGGAGTCAAGTTTTGTGATGTGGCTGGAATTGATGAGGCAGTTGAGGAACTTCAAGAGGTTATCTTTTTACACATGTCTGATTCCAATTATGGATGTGTAACTTAGTTTCTTGTTTCCTTTGCTGGTGCCCAAGCTGAAGCCATTTGCTGTATGACAACAATGAAAGAAGAGTTATAACCAAAAATAAATAAATGAAATTTTTGTTGAAAATTTGGTTGATTTTCCTTCATGATCTCTGCGTGTAGACATTTTATTACTTTTCCACATATATATGTTGAAGTACTTTTCCTTGAACATGAAGTAAAAGTTTCTTGACTCATTGAACTTTTTTGCTTGCAATATTTGTGTGCTAGTTTGTGAAGATTCGTACTTATTTTAATTTACTTCCTATGTTTGAAGATTATTTTTATGATTTTGTGCATAAGACCATGTCTAATTTCAACTTGTACCCCACTATTTTATTTGGGCCTCCAATTTTTTTGGCAGAATATCTACTAAGATGCTATTAATTTTATCATGTCATAAGCCTGGAAAGCTGGCCATTGCCCCCTTTAGCTCATTTAACACTTCTAGATTGTTAAGGTTCCAACATAAAACCAATTGGCAATATGTGGAGTAGCCTAAACCATACCAAATGATATGAGGTAGGCGATGTGGGACTTTCAACACACCCCCTCCAACGAAGCCTGCCGGACCAGGCAAAGGGTACTTTTGACCCAACTAAAGGGCAACTTTTGACCCTTGACAATAACCGGAAAGATGTTAGGCTTTGACTCTGATACCATGTTAAGGTTCCAACATAAAACCAATTGGCAATATGTGGAGTAGCCTAACATGTATTTAAACCATACCAAATGATATGAGGTAGGCGATGTGGGACTTTCAACATAGATCAATAAAATATATCACTTTAACATTCTGGATGTCACCACAAATATTAGAGTTTCAACTTGTTATACAGCTATGCGCAACTGCAAACAGCCCATAATGCCTTAATGCATAAGCAACTGCATTTAGAAAACAAGGGAGAAATTAGGCATGTGATTCACATTGATTAATAGACAATTTTCCATTAACTATTTTGCATAATATAACTTTATCCTTCTCAGTATTTATTTCCTGAACTATTCCTTGCCATAAATATGTATCTCTCTTCTAATTCATTCTTATTTTTATTTTCTGCATTATGTTCCTATGTCTTATTTTAATTGTCTCTGCGTAATCTATCATATTGGATGAAAACTTATGAGTTATTTATGGTTCTATTTAGTTGGTGAGATACCTCAAAAACCCTGAGTTGTTTGATAAAATGGGAATCAAACCTCCGCACGGTGTTCTTCTTGAGGGTCCTCCTGGATGTGGAAAGGTCAGATACGTGTTTCCCGGGAATGTTTAATGTAAGATTCTGTCATGTCTGGCAAATATTTAAGTTTTGTCATGCTTTTGCAGACCTTGGTAGCCAAGGCTATAGCTGGTGAAGCTGGTGTTCCATTTTACCAAATGGCTGGATCAGAATTTGTGGAAGTTTTAGTTGGTGTTGGTTCTGCACGTATTAGGGATTTATTTAAAAGAGCCAAGGTAATCTTACATCTGTTTTTTCTTTCTGATATTTAATTTTAAAATCACTTATTTGCTGTAAATTTACTCAAGTTCGAGTCCTGCTTTCATGCTCCTCCAGATGATGTAAAGTGAACGTAAAAAGCAGTGCTTACTTACTGTTTTTTCACATGGTCCTTCTGTGCATGTCAATCATGAGGTGACAAGTTAGTTAAGGGTGTTGGTCACTTGATGAAACAGTATATCTTCATGCTTTTTGGTTTGTTCAATCAAATCTGTTCAATGTTTTCAAGGACTTTGGATTTTATGACTATTTTCAATATTTTTGTCTTTTATATATTGTTCATTTGTTCAATAAAAGTTTGCTAACTTTTATGTGTTTCAGTTCCTTGCTCTCTAAATATAGAAATAACGTTAAGAAGAATATCCAGTCCACTTGTGTTTTATTTGGTAAATTCATTACCTTTTGTTATGGGGAACCAAGATATTACTCAACATGAGATATGACTGAGTATAGAGCTTTATCTCAGTTAATTTTTAAAAATACAGATATAGATTGTGGAAATTTCATGTTTCTATTGGAAAGCTAGTGATCGGTGTGTACTTATATGTTTGTTTCTCTTTGTTGCAGGTAAACAAGCCATCAGTTGTATTCATAGATGAAATTGATGCATTGGCAACTAAGTAAGGCTATATGGATTAGTATTGAGTTTATTGCTTGACAGATTGTATAAAGTTGTGGATTATTTGCATGTGTATGGTGTGTTCACTTATTTAATAGAGAATGAATTTATATTATCCATTTATACAACCTTAGATTAAACGAAATCTCAATTAAGTAATTTAGCAGCTCTAGAATCATACTGGAACATACTATACATTGAACCCACGGTCAATTTTGCCTTGTGAGGTTCCTGATAAGTCTGTATAAGAGCATATTAGGTAATTATTAGTGGTGCTACATTGCATGCATTGTTGATCAATTGGTTGGTCTAATCTAGTTATTGATTCTCACATCTGCTGTTCTTACTTACAAATAGAATGCTCGGAGGACGTGGCATTTGGTTTCTTTTGTTGTAATATTTTTAAATTCATACTTACAGGCATTACCATAACTATTTTGGTACATACCATAACTATTGATGGGCATGGGATACTTCTTGGAAGTTCTCTTTTGTTCATGATTGGTGATTGGTATTCTTCTGTTCTTGAATGATGGAATTTCTGTATGTGGAACTAAGGGTCTGAATTTTAGCCATTTTAAGTTTAATACAAAAGCACATTGTAATTGAAAAAAATTATAATTATTATTTTTGTTGTTTGAGAATAAAACTACAAAAGCTTCTCTTAAAAGCTATGAATTGTAGATTTCAAAAGAAAAATCAGTTTTTTTTTTCTTTTTTAATGCGTACACAAATGGATCTTACTATAAAAGTAATTGCCATGCTATGCTGGTCATGTTGCTTGGTTCCATATCTGTCAGTTGACTTCCGGAGTCCCCTATGCATCCACCCTGCCTGATTGTGAAATCTATGCTTGATTGATTAGGCGTCAAGGTATTTTCAAGGAGTCCACAGATCACCTGTATAATGCAGCCACCCAGGAAAGGGAAACTACATTGAACCAATTGCTGATAGAGCTTGATGGTTTTGATACTGGAAAGGGTGTCATATTTCTAGCTGCCACAAATCGTAAGGATTTGTTAGACCCAGCACTTCTTCGTCCAGGTCGCTTTGATCGCAAGGTTGCTTTCTTAAGCTGAGTTAGTAAATATTGTATATATAAGAGGGGCAAATTCAGAGAGAATGAGTATAAGAGTTTGCCTATTTCCTGTTTTCAAACTGTTTTCTGTTTTTAAAGGCAAAAGAGCAAGAAAACTTGTCTAACAATGTAGTTTTCAAAAAGTGATTCAAAAAAAGAATCCCTTTTTCAAAATTTAAATAAAAAATCAGAACATCTGAGTTGTTTTGACATTTTACTGTCAGTTTTCCATTTCCCATATTCCTTCATGGCACTTGTAACTTCTTTCGCCATTTATACTGTCTATAATTGAGTTTTTGAAAATTGTTTTATAGGACAATTTTAAAAATAAAAATAAAAATAAAAACACAATTAAATACACCCTAAACTCTTTTCATTTTTGCTATTAAATGCTTTGTTTAGAACCAATCTTTTGGTGCAAATAACGGCAGACCACTTTTATTAGTAGTTCTTTCAAGTTTCAATGCTAATATACTGTTAATGTTCATTGAGTTTTTATTCTGTAGATCAGGATTCGCCCTCCTAGTGCCAAAGGAAGGCATGATATTTTGAAAATCCATGCTAGCAAAGTAAAAATGTCAGAGTCTGTCGATTTATCCAGCTATGCACAGAACCTACCTGGTATGGAATCCTGTTTTACTAATTGAATTTTTCATTCTGATATCTGAACATACATCTTAATTTCAGGATGGTCTGGGGCAAGATTGGCACAATTAGTCCAAGAGGCTGCTCTTGTGGCTGTGAGGAAACAACACAACTCAATTCTTCAGTCAGATATGGATGATGCAGTTGACAGACTTACAGTGGGCCCTAAACGTGTTGGAATAGAATTAGGTTACCAGGGACAGTGTCGTAGAGCTACTACTGAAGTGGGAGTTGCGTTAACTTCTCATCTGCTGCGGCGATATGAGCATGCAATAGTTGAATGCTGTGATCGCATCTCAATAGTACCCCGTGGTCAGGTCCTTGTTCTGCTTCCTTCACTTTATTATCCTCTACTGTCTTCTAGAAATATTGTGTCAATCTTTTACAATTTCTTGTTTGAGGAATTACAAGTACCATATCTGATACAATCTGCAACACATAACTGTAACCTGAGAGAATCTGGTACAGAAAAGCATGAAAATTCAAGCATGGGAATTAGAAAGAACAAATAACTGTGTATAGAGTTAGAATTTGTGTTAAAAGATGTGCCAGTCAAGGTGATGGTAGAAAATGTAGCACTAGATAGAAATGAAAGTAGCAGAAACATCTTTTTGGACCCTATCTGAAATACGTGCAACTTTATTTCCATTTGTATGAGGCTACCATATTCTATGCGTGATACAACTCCTGATTGACTGGTTGGTTTTTAGTTAAAAATTTACTATTTAAGGGCTGTTTGTTTCTATAATTTTAACTCACAAAAACCACTTCCTTCTGACAGACATTATCTCAATTGGTGTTTCATCGACTTGATGATGAATCATATATGTTTGAACGTCGACCTCAATTGCTTCATCGCCTTCAGGTATGTAAATGTACTCGAGTATATTAGTTTCCTTTTTCTTGTTCAAATTATTTTTGTTTGAACCCTTGTCGGCAAACAGGTTCTGCTTGGAGGTAGAGCTGCTGAAGAGATCATCTATGGACGTGACACGTCAAAAGCCTCAGTTGATTACCTAGCAGATGCATCCTGGCTTGCACGCAAAATATTGACCATGTTAGCATGATAGCGTGTATTTTTATACCTAATAATTTCTTCTTATTTTCTTCTGTTACATAAGCTCCTTTTCCCCCTCTCTACTTGCAGATGGAACTTGGAGAATCCAATGGTCATACATGGAGAACCACCACCTTGGAGGAAGTCAGTTAAATTTGTTGGACCAAGGCTGGATTTTGAAGGGTCTCTTTATGATGACTACAACTTGATTGAACCACCTCTAAACTTTAAGATGGATGATCAAGTTGCACAAAGGACTGAAGAGTTGATACGTGACATGTACCGGAAGACGTTGTCTCTCCTTAGGAGGCACCATGCAGCTTTGCTTAAAACCATTAAGGTAACTTCGAGTGACATCTTAAAATGAGTTATATTTAATATGTAAATTGCATAACTAGAGCTCTATGACCGAAAGGTTATTTCTGTTAACAATATCTGCAAATATCTCAAGAGAGCAGATATTATACCAGCTTGACACCACTGCAATGAAAATGGTCTATTTAGCATTCTGTGCCTTACTTTTGTGTGGCAAATTATCTGACCGCAGGTACTTCTCGATCACGAGGAGATCAGTGGTGAGGAAATAGAGTTCATTTTAAACAAATACCCTCCACAAACCCCGTTATATCTTTTGGAGGAGGAATATGCTGTCGACCTTCCATTCACCAAAGAACAAGTGCATGATTTGGAGTATGCCTTAAAAACTCAGTCGAACGAAGAAATCGTGTGAGTTCTTCCTCAATCCTTATCAAAAACCAAGAATTTGTTCCTGGGTTCCTGGCCCAATCAGTGTTTCAGATTTGGTGGGTGCACTTTGGCCAGATTCATTCCAAGGAAGGACTATTTCAAAGCTGACATTTTTCACTGGGAACAAAACTATATGTATTTTGTTAAGCCATAAAATTTTGATCATGAAATTGTAGGAAACGCGATTCATTATGTTCCAATCAAACATAGTCACTTCATTTGAAAAATGAAATTATAAATTAATTTTAATTATATTATTATTATTATTATTATTATTATTATTAAAATTAAATTTATTTTTTCTCCAACAATTTCAAACAAAGATACACGAAGATAAATGATTAAAACAACATCTAACTCTTTTTACCGTTTAGAAAAATAAAAATCTAAACTAAAATATATAAAAAAACTATTATGACATCATGCAAACAATAGAAGCAATTTGTTGAAGTCAAATTTCCCACATTGTAAAAAGAGATAAGAAGATGATGCTTTAAATTAATTCGTTCCTAAAACTAATTTTGTTTTCTTTCAAAATGCACGGAAAAGCAACATGTATCATAATGAGTTTACCTATATTCTTAATTCAATTCCATAAAATTACTTATAATATCTTAAAATTTATCATTATCATATATTTATAAAAATGTATGATTATCACACATTTATATAAATTATAAATAGAGAGATATTAATTTTAATTCATGAGAATTTTTAATATATATTTTTTAGTCTTTTTTTTATTTTTTTAATCTATCTTTTTGTCTTTTTTTTTTCTCACATTAATAGTGAGAAAATCTTATGCTAGGGACAAAGTTTTTACTTATCAATTTCAAAAAATAATTCTTAATATTATCCACTAAGTTGGAGAACTCCTCGTAATATCCACTAATTTTGAATCTTTCCATAACATGAGTCACATAATTGAATTAATTTATTTATTAATTCTAATATTCTCCGTGACTCGTGGTTTAATACATAAATCATAATGCACATTAAAGGACCTTACATAAATTGGTTCTGGTCATTATTCATAATTAAAGATATAGAAACAAGAGTCATGGAGGTTGCATTCCCTTTCAAGTACTACTATATTATCTATTTCTTCTTAATACAACTTTATAATGAGAAGTTCATAATGAATTCAAACATAATGTCATTTTCAATAACATAATTTGTTTTTTTCCATATACATAAAGAAGAAAATATAAATTTTAAAAACTTATACATTAAAGAGCTCGAGTGTCATATAAGGTTTAATAATAACATTAACATTTGACATTCATTAGTAGACATAATGTTCATATTCTCTACATGGCTAACAAACAATTTAGCAATAACTCTTTTGTTAAAGGGTCAGCAACCATAAAGATCAGTGCTAATATGTTTTATTGATACTTTACATTTCTGAACTTCCTTTTTTAAGGGAAAATATTTTAATTTCATATGTTTAACACCTTTAGAATACTTTATTGATACAAAATTATCACAATAAGTTTTTAGTTGCTTGACAAGTTGTCGACTACTCCAAGTCTTGAAATAAAATTCTGCAACCAATTATTTTGCAACTAATTAACCTAAACTGTGGTCTCAAAACATGTCACGAATTCAACTTCCTTAGTGGATGCAACAATGACTAGTTGTTTTGCACTTTTTCATGAAATCGCTCATCTGACTAAAATATAAACATAACCAAATGTAGTATTTTTTTGTATCCATATAACCGGTAAACTCTGAATTTGTATATCTAATCACCTCAAGGTGATTAGATTTCTTATAAGCATGTGATTCTTTATTCCTTGTAAGTATCTTAAGACTTTATTTACAGCTTCTGATGATCCAGTCCAAGATTACTCTGATATCTACCTAACATACCAACTGTAAAGTTAATATCTGGCCTTATGTCTAAGGGATATTTTTCATCTATTTTCGTTGCAAATCATTCTTTGGACATTGCATAAGACTAAATTTGTCTCTTGTCTATATTAGAACTGGAGATGTTGGACATTTATCCATTTTGAATATCTTTAAAACTTTATTAATATATGTTTTCTGAGACAAACCTAACAGTCTTTTTGATCTATCATGAAATATTTTTATTCTTATCACATAGTATGTCTCACTCATATCTTTCATTTCAAAATTGTTAGAGAAACTTCTTAGTCTCGTCAACATACAGAATCATAAATATAAACTTGATCCCGCTAACCTTCAGATATATACACCGATCAACAGTATTTTCCTTAAATCCAAATGATAGAATAATATTGTTGAACTTAAGATACCATTGTTGAGAAACTTGTTTAAGTCTATATATTGATTTTTTAAGTTTACACACCATGTGTTCCTTTTCTTCTTCAATGAACCTCACTAATTAGTCTATATGAACATCTTCCTCTAAATCTCCATTCAAAAAGACAATTTTAACATCCATTTGATGCAATTGAAGATTATAATAAACTACTAATGTCATGATAATTCTAAAAGAATATTTCTTAGAAAGAGAAAAAAATGATTCCTTATAGATAATATCATCTGTTTAGTAAAACCTTTAACAACAAGTCGAGTCTTGTAACGTTCGATATTGCCATGAGAGTCACGCTTAGTCTTAAAGACTCATTTACATCCAACTCTCTTGCATCCTTTTGGCAATACCACAAAGTCTCATATACCATTTTGTACCATTGATTAAGTTCATCTTTCATAACATTTAACCACTTATCAGAACTATCACCATTAATGGCTTATGAAAATGAAACTGGATCATTATCAATACTTAAGTCATTTTCTGATTCTTGTAGATAAACTACATAATTATTCGAAATAGCAGACTTTCTTTCTTTATGAGATCCTCTTAAAATTATTTCTTATGGTTATTCTACTATCGGCTCATTATTCATCTCGGGATCATTAATTTGTTGTTCTTCTTGATTGTTGTGTGGTTCTACAACATGAGGAATAATAACTTTTGAAGAAGAAGTACTAGTTATAGGAACTTGTATTCTAACTCCCTTAATCTCCACATCTTGTGAAGCTTCACTCCCACTAGTTTCACCATTCTCAATGAACCAAACATTTTCAGTTTCAACAATTCTTGTAGTATGGGTAAGACAGTAAAACATATATCCTTTTGATTTTTCTGGATAACCAATGACATATCCATCAATTTTCTGTTCTTACGGATTTATATTCTTACTTCTGTCTGATAACCCCAAACATATAGGTGTCTCAAACTGGGTTTCCTACTTGTTCATAACTCAAAAGAAGTTTTTTGAACAACTTTACTAGGAACCATATTCAACAAATACATGGTAGTCCTCAAAGCATACATCCACAATGATACAAGTAAACATAAATTACTTAAGATGATCTTAACCATATCCATTAAGGTTCAATTATGTCTTTCTGTTTGTTGTGGTATACATGACATTGTATATTGAACACAAATACTAGTTTTTCAAGGAACTTAACAAATGGATCAGGGTGTTGTCCACTTTTATCATATCTTCCATAATACTCACCACCTATATCTGACTGGACAATTTTTACATTTCTATCTAATTGTCTCTCCACTTCATTTATATAAACTTCCAAGACATTCACTATGTGAGATTTCTCATGCAATAAATAAACATGTCCATAATGCAATAAATCGTCAATAAAGGCGATGAAGTACTTCTCTTTCTTGAAAGAATTCACATCAAATGGACCACATATACCAGTGTGTATGATTTCAAGAAGATGAAAGCATCTTGTGACTCCTTTCTTTGTGTGTTTTGTTTGCTTTCCTTTAATACAATCCATACACACATTTAGATCAGTAAAATCTAAATCTGGAAGGATATTCAAATTCAATTTATATAAACCATCATAGAGTGTGTTAGATCCAATCATAGAAATACGCTTAAACAAACTGAAACAATCATTCCCAAACTTAATAGACTATCCAACAACATCAAACTTAGATAAAAAAAAAAAAAAACTAAATTCCTAGTGATATTAGGTAGACAAAAAGTATTTGTCAAGTCTAAGTAAAATCTAGTATTAAGGATCAAACGAAAAGTCCCGACAACTTCCACTAGAACATTCACTCTATTCCCCATGAAGATGAACTTCTCATTTGAGTTTATGGTTCAGGTTGAAATGAATCTCTGCATCACATTAGAAACATGAGTCGTACATTTAGAATCAATCCACCAAGTATTATGGAGAACTTCAGTTAAGTTTGATTCAAAACATACGTAAATATTATGTTCACCTTTCTTTTTTAACCAAGTTTTACGCTTTAGGCAGTTCTTCTAGAAATGTCTAGACTTCCCGCGACATTTGTCAATTTTCTTCTGGATTTTAGTAGAAGACTTGTCAATCTTTGATAGTCTTTTACCATTTTCATGTTTCTTAACAACTTTCTATTCAACTCCTTAATTTCTCACATAATGAACAAATTGACTTCCTAAGTTCTTGAGTCCGGTCTCCTCCTGAACTAACACATTGTCTAGTTTGTGCACATTTCATTTGTCTTTCATGATGTTATACTTCATCTTGAATAGATCATACTCAGATGGTAACGAGTTCAAAATGGAACTACACAAGAAAATTTGCATCCACTGTCATTCCAAGATACTTGAGTCTTGCTGCGATGTTTGTCATCCCGGTTATGTGTTCATGCATAGTACCAGAACTATCAAACTTTATAGTGGTCAAGGTACTCATTAATGTCCCAGTAAGGGGCTTATTAATAGTTTCGGAATGCTCTTCCACAATTTCATAATTTTTTTCACATTCTCAGTTTTGGAAAGAACAAACTTAATGTTATTTGCTATGCTCATTCATATAAACATCAAGCTAAATTTATTTTACCTTTCCCAAGCTCTATAGTGAGGAAAATTTAACCCATTAAAAATTAGAAATTTGACCCATTAAAGATATAATAATAGATAGTGTAATTAACACATGTTTAACATTAATGTTTTGAGTCATAAATTTAAATATAAAATACATATTCAAACTCATAAACATTTTATGCATACTAACATTCCTTTATGCATAATGATGTTAATCATACTCCGATCATATTCGGATCATAAATTTTATGCATAATAATATTAATCATATTATACATTAATGATAATTAAAATATGCATCAACTAGAATCACCGATACCTTTGACTATATAAATATTCACAGAAAATTATCTATCATCATATCTATTAATTATAAGAACAATTGATCAACTTTTGGATAATCCAGAAATACCTTATAATAATAAACTTTAATTAGCCCATAAATCAATTATTTATAATTTAGTATCGAGTAATTGAAATAAAATTATTATTAATTTAAAGTCAAATAATTTTAAAACTTTGGTCATTTTGGTGACTAACAAAATTCATCACTCTTGATTTCAAATAAATATATACCATTAATTATTATTAACCATATATAACATTTTCCATTATTATTATTATTATCATTATTATTATTATTATTATTATTATATCAAAACATTAACATTAATTACACATATACTCAATCAAGTCAAACAATATTTCAAATCAAAATATATGATTTTGAATCCATTCGGGTCATAGGGGATTATTTTTCCAATTCTATGCCTTTTAACTTATAACCATTTAGTTTTCAATTAAAAATATATTATTCATATAATAAAATTAAAATATTAATTGCAACTCACCTAAATTAATTTATAATGTGCAAGAGGGGAAAAATATTCTTAATTTCATCATAACTAGTGTAACATAAAATTACACCAAAAAAAATAAAATTCCTAAATTTCATAATTAGGATTTATAAAATTAGAAAAAACATGATTTGGGAAACATCATAAAAGGAGAATCACAAATTTAACAACTAGACTCTTATACCACATGTGAGTACTTATAGTTTTCATACATTCCTAATTAAATTTTAAAAAACTATTTCATAAGATTTTAAAATTTATAATTCTCAGATATTCACATAAATTATAAGAGAAGAAATACTAACCTTAATCTATGAAAGGTCCAATAAATGTACATTTTTTTAGTCTTTTTATTTTTTAATTTCTTTTTCTCAATCTATCTCTTTATTTTTTTCATTCTTCTCTCACACTTTTTAATGATTAATAATGAGAAAATTTTATGATAAATACAACATTTGCTTTCTTTATATAGTCAATTTCTATTAAATTGATTACCATCAAATTCAAAAGATAATCCCTCATATTATCTATTAAATTGAATAACTCCTAGTATTATCTAATAAGTTGAATAACTTCTTATATTATATACAAATTTTGAAACTTCCCAATAATAACATAATTAAATTAATCTATTTATTAATTCTAACATATTTTCCTATTTCATTTAGTAGTTTTCTATAAAATTTAAATTTAATTTTTATGTAATGTCTAATAATAAATATTCATATCAACAAGTCATTGATATAATTGTTATAAAACTTTGTCTTCTCAGGAATAGAAAAAATAAAATTGGAAACGAAGATTCATATATGTTTTATGACTAAGTACAGTTGCATCTCAATATTTTAAGACTGAGAAGTTGCATAGAGCGAGTGAATATTATGAACGTTTATGAACATCCAACTAATTTATATTAGTTTAAGTTTTAAAATAAAAGATATACAAGGGATTCATGCACTCTTACATTTATATATTAAGTAATAAGTGAAAATTATAATTGAAATTATTTTGATATGAAGAAGTAAATTGATGCGTTGTTACAGCAATAGCGATATTACAGCACAACACAGGTTGGTCTCTCTTGCTCAAGTTGGTGGTTCGAACTTGTGAGTGAGTGAGTGAGCGAGTCTGAGTCAGATTAACAGCACCAGTAACCTCTTCTAACGCTCACGGGTTTCGCTCTCTCTTCCAACCAAACCTCTTTCCTTCTCTCTTCAAATCCTCCAAACGCAGCTAGGGTTTGGAATTGGGAACGAAACTCAAGGCCACAACGTCACTCCACTCGCTGCAACAACAACATCAACAACAAAACGGACTATATAAAAACACTTCAATTAGGGTTTCATGTTCTTTAAGTGTCAAGTTTTGATGACTTATGAATGGAGATTTTCTCTGTCTTGTCCGAACCGTCCCTCGTCACCGTCGCCGTGACCGCGCTCTGTTTTCTCCTCGCGCTATTCTCTCTCCTCCGATCGTTCTCCCTTCCCCGGAGATTCACGCCGCCGAGGAAGCACCACTGCGATTGCGCCTCCGATTCCGGCTCCTTGTCCGCCGCAGGCACCGTGTCCTACCTCAACGGCGCCGCCGAAATGCTCGAGCCCAGTCCAGTTCCGGCTCCGGTGGTCTTGGCGGAGCGGCGGACGGGTTCGTCCATGATGGAGGAACTGGTTCCGGAGATTACGACGCACGCGCTCAGTTACTTGGATTATCCCAGTCTCTGTCGCCTCTCCATGACCAATTCTTTGATGCGAAAGGCTGCGAATGATGATAACGCTTGGAAGGCCTTGTATCACAAGGTGAATTACTGAATTCTAATTCTCGTGATTCTCTTTTTGTTCGAGTACTATCTTGTGCTAAGTAGTAATAATTTAGGATTTTCAGTTCTTTTAAGCTTTGTTCTGTGTTTGAAGACTAATTATAGATAATGCTGCATGCTTTGGGGCATTATATTGGTGTTGCTTGCCTTTTTGTCCCTAATTGCATGTTTTGTATTTGTTATTGGTTATTGGAGGAGAAGTGTGAGTTGAATCATGTAAGGAGTTCTCTTTTAAAGGTTTCTATGCAAAGCAAGGTTATCAATGGTGGATGGCAGAATATGGTTAAAGGCCGAACACCATACAAACATCCCATTGTGGCCTAAGGCGCCATTATAGTTGGTGTCCTTTCACGAATTGGCTTAAAGGAGGGTTTGAATAAACGGCACACTTCATAGACTATAACAACAGGCTTAAAGGAGGGTTTGAATAAACGGCACACTTCATAGACTATAACAACATTGACTATAACAACGGTACTATATCGGTTTTTAACACCATCGGTTTAAAACTTTAAGGCTTTTTATAAAACAAGAACTATATCAGTTATTTAACAACATGGATGCAAATCTTCAAGGCTTTCTAGAAAACCATAAGGCAGCCACACTCGAAAGGTTATGTAACAACATAAATGCAAAGCTTCAAGGCTTCCTAGAAAACAAGAAGGCAGTGGCACTATAATCCTTATTTAACAAACAAGGATGCAAAATTTTGAGGATTCCTAGGGAACAAGAAGGTGCAGCACTATAACATTTATTTAATAACATGGATGAACAGCTTTTAGGCTTCCTAGAAAACAAGAAGGCTGCTGCACTAATGGTTATTTAATATCATGATGCAAAATTTGAAGTCTTCCTAGAAATGAAGAGGGTGGCGACACTAAAACAGTTATTTAACAACATCAATGCAAAACATTAAGGCTTACTAGAAAACAGGTGATGCAGTAAGGTGTGTAGTCATACAGCTGTTTGTAACAATTACCGATGGAAGAAATCATTGTTATATAAGAAAAGCTGTTACTCATGTCCAGTTGGACGGAAGAAGAAACAGACAAGAGGCGCTACCTATCTTGTCAATACTTTAGATGAGCTGATGAGTGGATTGGTCGATTGCAATGTTGTTAAAGTAGCCATTATAATGCTAATGTGTTGTGGAATTCCTTGAATCCACAATCCCATTGACAAAAGCTGCATCCTCTTGTCATCTCCGTCGGGCTACTTGAACTTTTGAGTTAATATTGTGCTATTTGATGCAATTAATTTTTTTCTGCATCAAACTTATTTTTCTACACCTATATAATTGATATATTTATATATCATAATTTTCTAACCGTTATATGATATAGCAGATTATTGGCTTTCCCCCATTTCCTACTATACACAGTTGTTAACACTTGTATTGGGTTGGGATTTCAACTTGCCTCCATCTCGTCCTATATCCAAATCATTCTCCCTTCAAATTTTTGGGGTTTATCTGGAGAGAGGAATGGATTTGTCTGTTAGGTTGTGTGTTACTTCTTTATGTGAGTTAGGGGTGTCAAATCATTCTCCGGCTCATACGGGCTCACTTATCACGGTTAGGTTAAAAATGAGTCAGCTCAACCTGACTTGTTTTATAGTGAGTCAAAAATTTTACAATCTGCATCGATCCATCACAAGTTGGTGGGTTAGGTGGGTTGATCCACTTAAAGGTATCTTTTTATTAATTATTTTTTATCTTTTTAAATTATTAAAATAGGTAGGTTAGGTGGGTTCACTTACTAAAAGTGGATTGACTTGCTAAAATAATTTTTTTCTTCATGGATTTATATTAACACATGAATAGAAAAGACTAGGATATTAAAGATTGGAAAAAAGTGGTCAACCCACCATCAACAGGTTCAAATCTGTTTAACTCACAGGATAAGTGATCCAGACTCGCTTTAACCCACTATTAAAAGTTTTTAAATTTTTTCAACTCAACCCGGCTCGAACCCGTCTCATCACGGTTGGCTCATGGATTGAGACTCATATTGCCATGAATAGTAAGTATGCTTTAATTAGTCCTATATGAGAATACGCGTGATTACTTTCATTGGATTGTTTAGATGAATTCCATCATTCTCATTTTGTTCTATGTATCTTCGGTTATAACCTTTCTAAATTTCTGTTGTTAGGACTTCACATTGGAACAAGATAGTATCACACCCACTAATGGGTGGAAGGCGTACTATGCTGCAACAAGAGCAATTGTGAATATTAATACAGAATTCTTCAACATTGTAAGAGATAAGTCTCTTCCATCAATGAGTCGTTTTTGGCTGAATGCAGATTATGTGAAGTGCATACATGCTTCAGGAGAACTCTTTTCTGGGTATGAATTTTTGTTTCTTTACATTTTGCAAGAGTATGTTCGTTTTGGACTTGGTGTTCATGTTTAGTACTTACTGCAACATGCATGATATATGATGTTGTGATACTCGAAAAGATTGTGAAAATATTGTTTATCTGGTCTGAATGATATATCAAACTGCCAAAAGTTCATGGATGTTTATATTTGGCATGGGTAATTGAATTTCATTTTTAATGATAATAATTTAAATCTGGCCTAGTGGTATCATATTTAGATCAGAAAATGAGAGGATATATTATCTTGTACCTATGAAAAATTGCACTCCTTAGCACTCATTTATGGGATAAGTGCTGGAGAGATCTAATCTAGCATGTGGCAATATGGTAGTGCAAAATTCCTGTTACTGTTCTTTTAGCTTGGATATTTTATCTGAATCCTCGAGCTATACTAGTATCAGGCCCATAATAATACAGGTTTTTGGATTACTGTAGAGCTTGAGATTCCAGATATACAGCCATTTTGAACAAAACAGATTATTTTTTACCTTGGAAAAAAACCGTTTATTCCATATATAATTCTTTTCAAAGTTCTTACAAGCCTGTGAAATTATGTATCCAATTTTTATTTTCACCGTAATCCAATTTCTGTAATACATTCAGTAACACAATTGTCCATTCTACAGGTTTAATGCAGTAATGCAGAGTTGGCAACTAGTATTCAACTGGGAGCAAGGATTGAATTTTCAGGTTAGAGATGTTCGCGCTCGCGTCTTGGCAGACATGGCTTGGGTTACCATGAAAACATATGTTGACATGGATACAGGGCCATTCAATGTGACCAATGTTTTTGAGTTCCATAATGGACGGTGGTATATGGTTCATCATCACAGTTCTGTGATGAATGGGGATGTGGACCATCATATAGTGCATGGATAAATAGTGAGAGATGATACATTGTTATGTCTGATACTGGGTACAAAAGGTGGTTTTATTTGCAGAAGCAAGTTGCTTGAAATTTTCGTGATTTCTTTGGAAGATTCTTCTTTAGTTTCCAATTTTAGTTTCATTTTTATACTGTATATAAGACAGGAAGTCGCAATGGCGCCAGAAAAGAGTTATAAGTACAGTAAATGGATAAAAGTAAACCCAAAAAGATGGGCAGAATGGGGTTACCTGTGAATGATACGTTGGGTCAGGACGATCATACTTGCAGGCATCCAATCTTTAGATGAGAATTGTGAAAAGCAAGGCCGAGCAGTCTTCGGGGCGAGAGCAAATGCACAAGCATTCTCTATTTTTGTCGTGCAACTTAGTCGTAGTGTGCATCTTTTCCCTGTGAGTTGATTTCTGAATCATGTGCTAACAAAATCATGATTTTATTGTAAAGCATGATTATGAGAGATTCAAAAGTACTGCTTTTTCTTAAACCCCCGACAAGGCCACGATAACATGTGATATAACAGCATTTGGATGTCAAAAAAGGACCAAAATTATAATTTTGAGAACGTACGTAAAATTTTCTAAAGCAATCTTACCAGATTAAAGCAATATAACAATCAAAGTAAAATCACGGGCTAAGGAATATTGATGAATTTCTAAATTGTTAAATATGTTAGTTTTTGTTAATTTAAGATAAAGGTTTTCGTAAATTGCTAATATTGAGTACGACTTGTAAATCTGTTTTAGCAAGAGTTTCGGAATAGAAATTTCGCTGCCAAACTTGAACAATATTACCGGTGAGAGAAGCGAGTAACAATTTTTGAAGTGGCTACCTCGATACGTTAGTACATAGCAGCCTCACATTTGACAGAGGTGAGGCTCTGAAAAGGAAGTCAAAGTAAAGTAGTGGTGCACGGTATCCGCACCAGAGAGCGCCAGAGGAGAGAGAATGACAATATCTGTTTTCTCAGTTCCGACGCCTCAGTTGTGCATCTACAAAAACTCATGGCCAGCTGCAATTTACCCGTCTCTTTCTTATTCTTCTTCTAAGTTAACTGTTCCACTGTGCTCTCCTTCCCCTCCTACTTCTGTTATCGAAGAGGGTGCTTCTCCTGCACCAGACGATATTCCCGTTGTTGATCGCTCAGAATTCACGAGGTATAATAGTTTTGCGTCATCCTTCCATAAGTAGTTCTCATGTGTCTTATTGCATAAGAAAAAAAGAGTGTGTAGATCTTCTTCTTTTTTTCTGGCCAGAGAGACCAACTAATTTGAGGTGTTTTTCACAGCGGTTGTACTGCATGTGGAAGAGAAGAAATAGAGAAAGGATGCAATGGTGAAGGAAGGATTCAGGGTGGGATTGCAACAGTACCGGGGTTTGGGTGGTGGCCTATAAAGGCTTACAGGCCATGCCCTGCATTTGTAGCATCTGGGGGTAGGTACAGGCGGCAAGGACAAAGCATGGACGAGGTTGTCTCTGGAAGTGGTAAAACACCCACAGTAAGAACTGCCAGTGACTCGAAGACAAGGTACATGTAATTTTCCTTCTTTTCAGGAGCTTCTTATTCTCTAATATCTAGCTACTATGGTATGTTCTCCTGATGATAAATGGGCTACCAATCTCCTATCTTACATCTTCTAGTCCTTCGTATAATTTATGATTCATAAAACCTTCAATAAGACTATTATACATGCTTTAAATAAATTTTCAGCATTCATCTCCAAAGTAAGGACAACATCACTATGTGTTGTATTTCGCTTCCAGGGATTCTAATATCACTTTTTTGATGGCTCTTTGATGAGTACCCTTTGTACTTGGTAAGGATCTAATGGGTCCTCATCACTCTCCTTTCATCCTTTTGAGAAGAGTACCAATAAGAAGTGAAAATGTTAAGATGATGTACGGATAAGGTCGAGAATAGTTGTATAACACGAGATATTGACGTGGCACTTATTGAGAAAAAGATTACTCTATCAACTAAGTTGGTTTGAACATGCATAAAGAAGACCGATATAAGCACCCATAAAGAAGAGTACGTCGTTTAAAGACTTGTGAAAAAGGATAGGAGAAAACCATTGTTAAGGGATCTAATGGTGTATATTAATTGTCGAAATTGACGTTTTTGAATAATCGCGTGCTCATCTAGCACGATAAAATGTGTTTATGAGAAGTATATCAAAAACTACAACCAAATTTGTCACAATCTTTTTCTGTTAGGATAAAATTAATAATTGGTTGAAGAATGTTTATTTGGTGTTAGAACGTTTTTTATAGTTTGGTGTTAGAACGTTTTTTATAGTTAGATAGTTTTTGAACGTTTAAAAAGTGATGTTATTGAGGACCATTTATTGTAGAAAGTTTTAGATTCTTGAGAGTTATTGTTTTGATTTCAAGAGTGTGTTCTTGGGAGTGGTTAAATACACAGTTGTAATCCTGATTTCAATATAACAAAGAAGAATCAATAGTATTCAATCTTCAAGAATTCTTTGTTATCAAAACTCTTAGGAGAGCTAGGCTTTGAGTTGTTGAGTGTCAAAAAAAAGTATTTTTAGTGAGAAATGGTTGGTCTGACAAATGTTGTTGTTGTGCCCTGATTGATGAAGGAGGTTGGTTATGATAGATGGAGTGTTCAGATTTAAGGTTCTCCTCAAAGCCCAAAGTTGTTGGGAAGTAGTAAAGAAGGTTTTGAAGATCCATAAATGATGAAAGGTTTGGCGACCTCTGCACTCAAAACGTTGAAGAAGGAACGTTCAAAAGATAGTGCATCTTTGTTTACGTTGTTTCGAGCTGTAGAAGATTCCAACTTCGAGAAAATTGCAGAATCTACATCTGCAAACGAAGCATGGTTGACGTTGGAGACAACACACGAGGGAGATGATCGGATCAAACATATTCAATCACAAACAATGTATGGTGAATTTGAAGGCATGAGGATGAAGGAGTCAGAAGAAGTTTTCGAATACATCACGTGTGTCAAAACCATGGTGAATCAGCTCAATCGGGATGGAGAGGAGATATTCGAAAATTGTGTTGTACGAAAGATTTTGATATCGTTGACCAATGATTTTGAAAACAAAGTATGTGTCATAGAAGAATCAAGGGACTTGACCAAGCTCACGATTCAAGAGCTGGCCAGTTCACTTGGATCCCATGAGTATCGAAGGAAAAAGATGAAGGAGGAGACGACTGTAAAAGTGTTGCAGATCAAGGCAAAAGAGAAGGCACTATATTCTCAGAATAATAAAAGTAGAGGATGAGGGCGCAACGGTCGAGGTCGAGGTGACGAAAAGGAAGAAGGAGTTCAACAAAATTGACGAGGTAGATGATGTGATCGAAGAGGAGGTCAGTCAACGAACTATTCGAACAATGAGTGCTTCAAGTGTGGCAAGCATGACCACTACGTGAAGAATTGTTACTCGGACAAATGTTTCAATTGTGGAAAGGTAGAGCATTTTGCGAAAGAATGCCAAAAGGTCGAAGAGACCTATCTTACAGAAGAGACAAAAGCTGAAAAAGCAATATTGTTGATAGTCGATCTTAACAAGGGTATTAGCAGTGATGGAGCTCGGGAAGATACCAATCACAAGTTGGTATGCTATCTGGATACGGGTGCGAGTAATCACATGTGTAGGGACGAACATCTATTTAGCAAATTGGAGAAATATGAGGGTGATCATGTGTCTTTTGGAGATGGCTTAGAGGTCTCGGTAAAAGACTGAGACACTGTTTGTTTCTTGCAGAAGGATGACCTAGTCGGGTTGATCCAAAATGTATTTTATGTTCTAGATCTAAAGAGTAATCTTTTGAGTGTGGTACAGCTGATGGAGATAGGATACTCAATTTTCATGAAAATCCAAGTACTACAATTGAAGGACAAGTTTGGAAGGTTGATTGCTCAAGTAGAGATGGGGAAGAATAAAATGTACAAGTTGTAGCTTAGAAGCATTCGAAGAGGGGTCTGAGATCAAAAGTAGAGGACACATTGAAGGAACATTACCGATCTGATCACATGCATTTTTGTGGTTTAACCGAGTTGATTCATGATGATAATCATGATATTGCTTGAGTTAGTGATGCAAGTGAAAGAGATCGAGTAGGGCGAGCTGATCGGAAGGAGAGAAGGAGGTCGTGCGTGATGAAAAATGGCAAGCTGAAAAAGATGATAGAGCCTCAGTTGCTACACCACCTGTGGTAACAAGTTCAGAATCTGAGGAGGAAGAAATAATTGAGTCGGTGAAGTTGAAGAAAAATATGAAAAGCATGGTGCTCGGATTGCCTAGTATGAAAGGGAAAGTTTGCAAAGAAGTGATCGGTAAAAAGGCGAGGATTCTACTTCAGAATAATGCTGAGTATAGAGAGAAATCCGAGTTAAGTCCGAATAGTGAATTCCAAAGTGACTATATTCGAGCTCTTATTGACGAGAAGATCCAAGTTGATATTAAAGAGAAGATCTAAGCTGTTATGGATGAGAAAAGTCGAGTTAGAAAACACAATGATACGTTGGTGATGACCAAATTACCAATGCTCAACCTATTGATGTGAAGCAGGTATTTAAGAAATATGAGAAATATGACCGAGTTGTTGGAGTGAAGTAAGTGGATGTCAAGTTGGCACTTTTGGATGAAGTGCTCAAGGAGAAGGTGAATGATGAACAACCACTTGGATACGTAAAGAAAGACAAGGAGGAGTCGGGAATATGTTTGTCCAAGAAGCGTATGCAAAGGAGATTCTGAATAAGTTCAAGATGACCAATTGCAATTCGGTATCAACCTCCATGGAACCATGGATGAAGAGGTCGGACAATTACCGACTTGTAGGGTACCTGGACAGTGACTGGTGTGGAGATGTGGATTATTGAGATAAAGGATGGAAGGAACTCGAGGTACTCGGGAAGATGACAAGTCGGCTAGTAGGAAGCTTGAAAGTTTGGAGCCCAGGATGTTTTGAAGGCCAAGAAGTTTTGAAGTAAAGCAAGTTGGTAATCGGGAGATCGGCCTAGCCGATCTAGCAAATTGTCGAGTTGAGAGGTTGGTGTCAAGCCGATCATATGTTTTGAAGCTTAAAAAATTTTGAAGTTAGTCAGGAGTTGGGAGGTCGGTATCACGCTGATCTCAAGTGTTCTTAGATGCAAAGAATTAATTTTAGGGGGGGGTTTGTAAGGATAAAATTAATAATTAGTTGAAGAACGTTTCTTTGGTGTTAGAACATTTCTGATAGTTAGATAGTTTTTGAATGTTTAGAAAGTAGTGTTATTGAAAACCATTATAGTAGAACGTTTTAGATTATAGAAAGTTATTGTTTGGTTTCTAGAGTGTTCTTGGAAGTGTTTAAATACACCATTATAATCCTAATTTCAACATAATAAAGAAGAATCAATAATATTCAGTCTTCATAAATTCTTTGTTATCATTTTCATACTCACTGTAAATCTTTCTTTGTCTACGTCTTATTCTAACCACTTGATCAGTTCCTCTAATTGGGACTTCTATTGAACTTCCTCTCATGTGTCCATAGTCCAAACCATCATAGGTGTGACTTTACTTAGTTTGAGTCCTATGATTTACCACAGTTTGTATTGTATGGTAGATCGAAGATACCTAACTATTTGGTTTAATTTCCAATTTTCACCTTCAAGCCAGTGCTAGCGCACTTCTTACTGAACTTTTCTTCCTTCTTGTACTCTCATTTTATGCCTACTTAAGCAGAAATAGTGTGATTTCAAAGCTTCTTCTCATAGCTCTAGTTTACATTTATTTCTTCTACGGACTTTCCCATTAGAACTGTACTATTTGCCTAAGCCATTCATTGAAGTACTAGCTTCAAGTTATGTTGAATAAGAATGTCCAAAGCCTAAGTTAAAAAATATAAGGGTCTGAAACCCTTTTGAGATGAGTATCTCTTCAATAAGTACAAGGATGTTTTGATGTAGTTTCAGTCTTTAGTTTGATAATCGAATGCCTCACATCTTGATTTGGCACGTCTAGTTGGAACTGGGTCACGGGTGCTTGGCGTAGTTGAGTAGAAGTTCTTTGTGATATTGTGAATGTGTTAGACCTGCTCGCTACTTTGGTTTCACAGAAGCATACATTCTTACTTTGTATCTGTTTCCACATTAGTTCTGGTTGATTGTACATGATTTGAAGTTTATACAGATAATTGAAAAGCTTGGGAATAAATATTTGTCACCAAGTGTCTTCTTTGCTTTGTTTCCATTCTGTAGTCCAAGGAAAGTAGTCCAGAGCAGAAACTAGAGTATGTGAATTAGTTAGCCTAAATTACCGTTCAAACTTGTGTATTAATCATGTAGAATGAGTTAAGGTGACATTCTGTTCTAAAATCTGAGCTCTATACTTTACCGTGATTTTCTGATCTTTCTCGTGCCTCTCTGTATCTCCTAACTTGTGCTGTACAATTATGTCAAATTTTACAGTAATAAAAAGGAAAGTCTGAAGAAATCCAATAGGTAAATGTTTGGGAGGACTATTCGACTTTAAGGTGACAAAAGCAATAGCTACAAGGAAGAGGGGGGTAAATAAACGTTGGTGACGTTCTGGTCTGCTTCAAATGTTAATTTCAATATTGTGTAAGAATTATGGACATCAATGTAACAGAGGAGAAAGGAATGTAAAAAATTAATAATATTATATTGTTTGGATTGGTAAAATTCAGATGAAAAATAATAAAATTATTAAACTAATACTATCTCATAACGATGATGAAGAACCATTTCCTTATATTACTATTGGAGTAAGTTCTCTTATTTTAATTATAAAATTAATTGTACCGAAGGTAAATGGGTGGAGTGTAGTGAAAATAAGATGTAAATGAGGAGGGGGAGAGGAAAGTGAGGTCAGATTGGTGCGATTTGATATGGCAGGGGATCGAAAATGAAGGATGAGAAGAGAAGAAGGTGGGGATTTTAATTTAGCCTACCTTCAAATATTACAAGCCCTTCATAAATAAATTAAGCATAATGCTTATAAAATAATTCAATGCATGTCTATAACGTGGTAATAATATAATGAAAAATCAAATTGTAATATTAATTATTTATAGGTTAACATGTTTTTCTTGTTTTACTTGTAAGTTTCAGTTTTATCTTTTAATTCTTTAAAAAACATTTTTGAAATCGATCAATATGTTTCTTTTTAAATAGTTATTGTTTTCTATTTTAGAACAAGATTTTAAAACTGTATTTAACCGGTTAAAAAGTGAAATTATTCTATGATATTCTTTTACAGGAAAATTAGATTATCCAACTTGTTCTATTAGATAAACTTCTAGAAGATTTTTAAGAATAAAAAAATTTGAAGGCCATCATGCAAAATTATTTTTTATTAAAATAATTTGTACTTTTAACTCTCTTTTTTTTCTATCACAGAAGGTTAGTTGACTAAAATACAAAACTAACTTTAAAATAGTGCAAACAACATAAATTATCCGAAGTTTTTTTAACTTAAACCTAATAAAATAGGGTAACCAGAAAAATGTTAAAAACTATATGAAAACAATAATTGAGTAAATCAACGTTTAATGACTTACTTTTACTCTCTTATAAAATAATTTATATTTTATTAATTAGTAAAAAAGTCTCTTATTTACTGCTTTTTTCTATGGAAGTTATTTTTTCTTTGGAAGTTATTTTATCAATTTGGTCCATCATTTTAATACGATCTAATCATTTTGAAGTGGATTGGATAAGATGAATGGTTTATATTTAATCTTTCCAAAATATTATATCAAATATCTCGTTTTTAATTCACCTGATATGTTTGGTTCAAAATTGTATTTCGGATATGTTCTAATTTTAAAGTGGTGTGAATTATATCAGTTTTCCATTTTTAATTTATTTATTTCTACAAAATATTATATAATAAATATAAAAAGTAACATATCAAATATTTTATTTATATATCATTGTGTAACTAATTACACTATAACTTTTTTAAAAAATATATTATATCAAAAAAACATTGCGTGATTTAGTAATTATACATTCGTATTAATTCCAATGGTAAGTAAGACATGATGATTAGTTAATATATTTTTCATATATATAAATTATTTGAAATTTTTATAATGAAAATATAAATATAAATTAACAATATTACAAATTTAGGAAGAAATTATTATTATACATATTATATTATATTATATTTGGATTGATTAATTAAATTCTATCAATTTTAAAAACATTTTATCAGTTCAATTCTACTTTTTCCATTCCGTATATATTTGCTTTAGCAGAATATAAAGTGACACAACTCAACACTGACACTCACCTACACAACCGATTTCAATCTATCTCCGAGATCAATTTCTATTAGATTGTTTGTGTCAGAGAAATCAGCAGAGTGCAAAATGGACGATTCTGAAACCAAACAACGAATTGAGGAAACTGTTCGCAGGATTTTGCAGGAGTCGAATATGGACGAGGTTACGGAGTCCAAGATTCGAAAGCAGGCTTCCGAGCAACTTGGTCTCAACCTGTCTCAGCCTCATTTCAAGGCCTTTGTGAAACAGGTCGTGGGGGCTTTTCTCGAAGAGAAGTTACAAGAACAAGAAGCACAGCAGCCACAAGAAGAAGAAATTGACGAGGAAGAAGTGGAAGAAGAACAAGAAGTTTCCAAGGGCAAGGAGTACGATGATGAGGGCGATCTCATCATCTGCAAGGTTTGTTTGATCTTTCTTTCCTCTGAAATCCTTTTGGTCATTTTATAGGTGGCAATTGGAAAAGGGTTCCTCAGGTTAATGTTCTTCGTTTTTTGGTTTCAGCTTTCAGATAAGAGAAGGGTGACCATTCAGGATTTCAGAGGGAAAACATTGGTCTCCATTCGCGAGTACTATAAAAAGGATGGGAAGGAACTTCCTACTTCCAAAGGTTGCTCGAGTTATATGTTTCCTTTAACCTATTTTTCGATTCTCCTGATTCTTTTTGTAAAGGAATTTCGGTTTTGGATTGTGGGGACCGGGAAGTTTTTATTTTTCTCATGTTTTTCGAAATAGGGGGTGGTCGGGGGTTTTGTATTAAGTTTTTTAATCATGTACTAATCCTTGTAGTTAACTTTAAGCTAATTAGCAGACAAGAAAAATCCTTTGTGATCTTCAGTGTCATGTTTCTTGACACATCTTTCCCTAGTGGTTCAGGTTTAGTGTATGACTTATAGGTGTAGACATCATATGGTATCTCAGGCCATTTATTTGGGACTATTTGTATTATGTATATTGACTTCGTGCTGTGTAATGTTTCATGCATTCCTTCCTTATAGAATGCATTGAAAATCAAAGGCATTAACCATGTCTATAGCCTATAATATATGGATGCGGAGGTTGAAACTTGGTTATGGATTAAGATTAACATTGAAATAGTATGAATGTAGGATCGAAATGTGTTGTATTATATAAGAAACAGTTGGACCAAAATGGGTTGGGGTTTCCTCTCTCAGCGTTACTCCTTTCTGTTAATTGGACCAGTCTATATATATTCCTTGCACGGATCGTTAAAATGTCTTCAATTGAAACTACCTATCTTCCCTTTAAGTTTAGTATCATAATTCGTTGGACTACAAAAATTTAAGTTGGAAGCCTCAGTGCTGCAGTTGACATGCCAAAATTAAAGTCCCTATGCATATTTGAGCCCCTCTAGTATTGCATTCCTGTGTGATGTGAAACTAACCCTTTTGTGTAGTGAGGCTATTCTGCATTTGATTTTGTCAACTTGATACTTGCTAGTTGTAATACCTCTTTGTGGATTGATAAACAGGACCTTTTACAAAGAACCATTGTAGTTTTTATCATGTATAGAAAAATGGAAATTCTGTATCTGCGTTAATTATATGTTCTTAGTTCTCCATAAAGTTTTTCTTTTCTTATCTAATCTAGAACTAGAACTATGAAATGAAAGTAAGATTTGTGGCTACTGTTTCAGACAAGGGTGCTGAGTGTAGCAATTTGGCCTTTTTTTTTCATCATCTGTTTCCTTACATAACTCATGATGCTGATCAAGATCTATAACTGAAGGTTGTTTACTAATTCTAACTTGCTTTGTCTTTCAGGAATAAGTTTGACCGAGGAGCAGTGGTCAGCCTTTAAAAAAAATCTGCCTGCCATCGAAAAAGCCATCAAGAAAATGGAGTCTCGTTGATACAAGGGTGAAAGGATGTCCACATCCATACCTCACTCATCAAGAATATACTAAGTAGCTTTCCTTGTTTCTTTTTGGTGAATATCCTGCACCGTAGTGCCCTTTTTGATACTATGGACCATTTTATTTAAGGAGTTGGAGTCAATGTGAATCATGTACTATTTAACTGTTTTGCAACCTGAATGCGTACAGCCATTTCAGGGAGATTCCGGATCAAAGTTAACATGAAAGTACTTTAAAATGAACACATTATTCTGTTATTTCCTACTATATCTTTTTACTCTGTTTCTTACGTGAATGCTTGGATTACCCCTGTTATCCTTTCAAAATTACTTTCAACTTAAAAGTAACAGAAGGCATGCTTCTCTTAACGTATGTTTCAACCCAAAAGTATACAAAAAATATGTTCCACCTAACGTACTAATATACGTTAAACACCTACCGGAAATTCTAATTCGAATATGGCTGAAGTTGCTCGGCATTTCCTAGACACAGGCTTGTTTCCTGTTAGTAATTAGATTTTTTGCGATGCTTTTGGGTTTAATTTGGTAATATCCTGCAAAAACATTGGATTAGGGTACAAACTGCTGATAATAATGGACGCGTATATTACTGTGTCCCAGGGGAAAACATTATTAGGAAGGTAGTAGTAGTAAATGGATTCTCTGCTGTCAGAGAGAGTGAGAGAGAAATCATAATCCTTATTTATTTAGTTTTTAAAACTTCCCAAGTTCAATGGAATTATATAGGAAAAAAAAAACTTTACATACATCGAATTGTTCATGGACCATGTCGTCTAGACTGCATTCAGACATGTGACCCAACTGGTCTTGTCAACCAGCACATGGTCCTCATACACCTCAACTATGTCTTCAAACCAGACTATTAAAAAAAATAATTACTTTCGTTGTGGGTATGGAGATTGGGAAAAATGGTTCTGCAGAAAAAGTTTTTCATGGAAAATTGAACTTCTTCTGAAACAATTTGATATATACCACTGCATTTAGGCTCAAACTTTAACCACTTTTCATGCCATCCTTAGAAAACCTCGGAAGACATCTACAATAACTGGACTTTACATTATAGAGGCAACATGGATGAGAGTATTGTGGCTAATCCATAGTATCTATCCAATTCCTTAAAAAACATTAAATTCTCTCGAATCTAGACCCAAATTGATTTTTGTTGTTCTAGTCCTGAGGATGATTAATCACAGTCTTGTGACCCATTCCTGTGTTAAATAAGATGCAGAAACAAAAATCTGGAAATACTATCAAACTGGAAAATGTTTAATAATCCTTACAACCATATCATTCATTAAAATTTGGACTGGTTGTCCAAATATATAAATCATGGATCTATTTGTCATGGAAAACCTAACACACTCCATCCATAGATTATACTTCTAACTAGAAACCCTTTCCCTAGCAAGGCCCCAAACACAAATTTGACCCTGCAGTGGCAGTGTCTTTGGCAATTTTCCCACTGAAGAGTGTTGTCTTCCACCCCACTTTCCAAGTGCTCATGGTTGGACTCCTTGAAGGACTAGTAGCAGAGCATGCAGTTGCAGCCATCCTCATCTTCTCAATCAGAGCTTCAGTATTCACCTGCTCTGACAAAATCTCCTCCAGTTGCCTCGGGTCAATCACCAACTTCACTCTCCACACGCCGTTCTTAGCCGATGGCAGCACTTCAAGCGCTGACCCATTTGACAAATTCTCAACATAATCACAAGCTGCTGACTTACACACTTCCTCTGATCTTTGAAAACCTTCCACATGTTCTTCAACTCCAACGTTGCCACAACAACCTTTTTGTTCCTCCCTCACCTTCAACGGAAGAAGATAATAAAAAAAACCATAGCTTAAGCTCTCTTGCTCTGGCAAAGGTTCTGAAGCATGACCCTGTCGGAAAATACCATAACCAGGGTAATGTTGAAGCACTTGAGCCACAGTTTTAGGAGCTTTGAACTGCAAAATGGAACCAGTGTCACACATAACCCGAATAGTGTGGTGACACTCCCCAGTGGTACCCTTCATGGAACAATTCCCCATTTGGTTGATTTCAGTGAAGGTTTCAATGTTGTGGTGGTTCGAGTTCAATGTTCAATGTTTCTCCACTCCAAGCTTATATATTTAAGTTTGAAAATTGTTGTGTGAAGAAAACTTGTCCTCATGGTGTCACCCCACGTTACTGTCCTACTTGGACTTTGTTTATTTTTATTGATGTAATTTTCTTAGCGGCGCGCATGTGAAATTGGACCGTTGGGAACTGCTTTGACAAGTGTTGTATCTGAGATGACCCATCCAAAGGGAAAACAACAGAATGAGAGGGGATTCTCAAATTTAATACTTTTGAGAATCAAACCCTTGAGAAGCAGATTTATTTCAAATATCCGTTCCAGAGCCTCTGCATCAGTGTCTGCTTTGTGCTGCTCCTTCTACACATTCATTTCCAATAATAATCTACCCCTCATGTTTTCCTGTTTCTTCCAATGTTTTCCATTTTTCCATTGAAAAGTGTTTGAATGCGTTTGTTGCTTCCCAAAATCTATTGGGTCATGCTAAATTCCATTGTATAAACTCCAAAACGTAAAATATTGAATTTGAAGAAAAAGTAATGGAATGGTTTAAATTGGAGATCTGTTAAAATATTGAATGATTTGTATGAACATCACTTCCAAATCCTAGGATGCTACTAATTGGTCTTTTTTTTAATAAAGGGGATTGATTTTTCTCATTTTTATCAAAATGGGTGATTTCAAGACTTGCGTATACGTTATAAGTATGAAATACAGTTTCAGTATATCTTTTTTTAAAATTAAAATTGTGACACGCAGTATAATTTTAGTTATATCTAATCTTTTTTTTTAATTAATAATTTATACTTAAAAATTAATTATAAGTTATTAATAATATATACATAATACTTAATAAATATATCAATGTCCTTCAAATACCTACCTATTAACTGTTCCGATGTTTAACCGGTAAAGGCATGCTTGTACAACTTTTGTTAGAACGTGTAAAAGATATTTTAACGTTAAATTAATAAATACGTGAACAAGAGATGTATAATAAGAGTATGAACTGTTTTAGTGGTACATCAATGTACAGCGTGAACAGTATATCTATAATAATATACTCATACATCTACGGTGTATATATATATATATATATATATATATATATGTATGTATATATGTATATAATTACTTCATAAACTCAATTTTAAGAATATTTTTAATAAGAATTACTTCGATGTTTAAATAAAATATTAATTACTTAAATTAAAGCAAATGAGGAAAGAAATATCAGAAAAAATTATAATGAATTGGTTAAAAATATATAATATCATAAATTCATGATTTACATTTTTCCAGATTGAAGATGCCTTTAATTATTTTAATAATTTCTTAAAAAACGGACTCATTTTAGTCAAATAGGAGAGAAATGAACCCTTTTAATTAAAAAAAAAAAAAAAAAAAAACAACGTACTGATTGAATAAAAAGTATAAAAGTTGAATTTTTAGTTGGAACCGAAGAAAATTCCCATAGTATTGTTTGGACATGAAGCAGTTTTGGATAAAGAGGTGGAGGATTTTTTCTGAAATGTGAAGGATGATAGGTCGTAGGTTCAATGCATAGGCAATGGGGCATGAAAGAGTATAAATGAAATATTAGAAGATGCTTTCACTTCACGGGACCTTCCTTTTTTGTCTATTTGGTCCGTGACATTTCTCCCTCCCTCATCACAATTTGCCAGGATTTTCGGGCATGCCAATGCCATTGGGATCATAACATTTTACTTCAAAATATTATCTTCTTTTCTAATTCTTTCTAAACATTCTATGAATTTGGGAGGTGCAAGTGTGCATGAACCTAAAATCTTCCCATTTATTAATGCCACAATATACTTGTAGAGGAATCATACATTTTGTCTTGAATTTCAGAAATTTTAATAAACATATTTAAAGTTGTTTTATAAAAAAAGATTGAAATTGTTACAGCACATGTTAAGGAGAGTTAAATCATAAACCTTAAACCAAATCATATGAGTCAATTTACTCCTTCTCCACGTCCAATAATTGAACAAGACCAATTGACTTTAGTGAATTTCCTTGAAATTTTAATTTATCACGTTTTGTGGCAAAGTAATAGGTTGATTGAAAAAAAAGGTGGACTAATTGATAGACTATAAAATTAAGTTTAAAAATAATAATCTATATTATTTTCTTGCTAACATTTTATATTTATCTAAAATTTCTAATAATATTTTAACAAGATGATATATAAAAATACTAGTAATACTATAACTATTAAGTAATAAATTTTGAAAATAGAAAGTAAAGTGGCTACCACATTAATTAATTCACTTCACCCATTCTCAACCTGTTTTCTTCACGAACAAGATGAAGACAATTTAAAATAACTTGAAAATCTCAACCTCCCTCACAAAAAGAAAGGTAATAGGGTCATGGATATATTCATCTAAAAATAAAATATTAATTTTTTTGTTTAAAAATATAATTTTTCTCTTTTCATAAAATAGGTTTTTGATTGACTCTTTTAAAAAAATTGGAAATAATTTTTTTTAAAATTTAAGAAAAGTCAACCCAACATTCTTTCATAACCCAACATTTTTTAAAAATTGTATATTTCTATATCTATTTGTCTAAAAAAATTTCTGAATTTTTTTGATTTAAAATATGTTTTGGAAATCACTAGTTTCATCTACTAATAAGAGTGATAATGTTTTATTATCAAGAAAATACGGGGTGTACGGAAATCAAGGGAAAAAAATGTGCTATATGGTTTTGTCACGACTTTGGTTATAGCAAAGTCCAAGAACATATTTGGGCTGGGCTGGGCTGGGCTTTATGAAAAAAAAATTGGGAAACGAAAACATTCTAAAACGTTGGCATTATGCGGGATATTAGTTTGTGTAGGTGTTGTGGTCGAAACGAGAATCCATAGCCACAAAGCGTGAGTGGTGGCATACACAAATTAAAAAACTCGTTGTTGGTGGTGGCGATATCTCGCAGGTCCACGTAAAAAACACAGAGCCACACGTTTATCGTAAGGCCCTTATATCTCTTACACACTCTCTCGCTTTCCATAATTTTGTCGATTATAAACTTAACCACATGGATAATCACTCTCCAAAGCCACATAAATGTTATGTCACTATGCCGTATTATCCTTATCATTTTGTATCACATTTCTCATCTTAATTCTTAACTAACTATTCCATATCCCTATGAAGCTCTTTCTCTCAAATCATACTAAAGAAAGTGTCACCTAAAATAAACTCTCTTCATTTACAAACAAATGCAAATGATATATAAATATTGGAGCCTTTGTAATTATAAATCATCCTTAATGCAACTAGATCACATCAATGGAATATTCATAAAAACAGGGGAATATATATAATTATTAAAATGGTTATTTATAATGTGAATTATTTTGTCATGCATGCATACTTGAAGAAAAACAAAGTTACTTTAGTGTATTTGAAATAATTATATATTTATCGTTTGTCTTATACATTGTGATATTTTTTATGAATAAAATAAAAGACATGCATTTAAATGAATTATTGATAAGTTGAAAGGGAAAGAAAAGAAGGTAAACTAAGTGGTGAAAAGATTGAAGTAGTTAGTCCTATATATGTATTGGGAACTGTATATATCGTATGTACCTTATCAATATATCATCAAGCGAGTGAACAAAAGCAAGTAAGGAAGGGAAATGGGGTGTGCTTCCTCCAAGGGTTTGGATGCCGCGGCGGTGCCTTACCGACCGGCACCGACCAGCTTCGCCGTGTTCGACATCAACGCCATCGAGGAGCCATGGCTGAAGCATCTGAACAACACAACCACCACCCCACATCCCCAAGACAAAACCCCTCTCCCCGCCCCTATCCTCCACAAACTCAACATGCTCGACGCCACCGACGCCCCTCAATCATGGGACGAGGTCAGCAAAACACTCCAAGACCTCAAACCCGTCATCACCAAACCACCTTCCACCACACCACCCCAACAACCTCAACCACCACAAAAGACTAACTCCTTCCACACACTGGAAGAGTTAGACGCCAAGTTAAAGCCCGAGGCCGAAGCCGTAAAGCCCGCTGCAGTAAAGCCCGCTGCTGAGGCCAAAGTGAACATAAACGCGGCGCGAGGGAGCAAGTTGAAGGACAACGTGTTCATAGTGCGGGACAGGTTAGAGAGAGAGAAGGAGGAGAAGGAGTCGGCGTTCGAGCAGCTTCGGCGGGATCCACTGAGCGCGTTCCCCGAGAAGTGTCCGCCGGGGGGGAGCGACACGGTGGTGGTGTACACGACGTCGTTGGGGGGCGTGAGAAAGACGTTCGAGGACTGCAACAGGGTGCGGGACGTACTGGAGGCGCACCGCGTGGTCTTCGACGAGCGCGACGTGTCGCTGCACGGGGATTTTCTCCGCGAGGTGAAGGAGCTGGGCGGCGAGGGGGTGGCGCTGCCGCGGGTGTTCGTGAAGGGGAGGTACGTGGGGGGGTTGGAGGAGTTGGTTGAGCTGAACGAGACGGGTCGACTCGGGAGGATACTGAGGGCCACACGTGTGGAGAGGGGGCTTGGGAGGCAAGCGTGCGGAGGGTGTGGTGGGGCCAGGTTTGTGCCTTGTTTGGAGTGTGGTGGAAGTTGCAAGGTTGTGGTGAATGGGGTTGACAAAGAGAGGTGTCCCAAGTGTAACGAGAATGGCTTAGTTCATTGCCCTTCTTGCATTTGACTTCCTTTTCCCTCCATGCCATGTCCATATCTATATATATGTACTGTTTTATATTATTCAACATGTTTCTGGTGCTAAGATCATACATATTTGCCATTAGATTTTGAGCTTCTCAATTTGTACTTACCTTGCTATATTGTTTCTCTGTGTTTCTCTGCTAAGTGCTTCCTTTTTTTATCACTTTTTTCAGTGCCTTCTTATTCCTGTCAGTTTTGATTAACCATGCAAATTTGGACTAAGTTATATATTCTATCCTTATAGAAGTTGAAATGTGAAAACAAATCATTCTTTCTTCCAATCAAAACGAAAACTAAACTTAAAAAGAAAACCGAACTTTAAAGTAAACTTTTTTAATACTATTCTGGGTAATTAGATTGTATATTATAATAATTTATTATCGTGTTTCATGAAATGGATAATATGAACAAGTATTTTAGAGTATTTTGAATTGGTTGTTCAGACTGTATTATTAATCACTAGCGCATAATATATATTGGTGATTCAGAAATTCATAACATATAATATATATTTTAAGTTTTGAATTAAATAATCTAAAATATATAAACTGTTATGTTTTTCAAATTCTGGATTTATAAATCTTAAAAACTGGAATGGATCCTGAGTTCATAGTATAAAAATGTAGAAGGTGATGCAGTGCAGTAGAAGAAGGATGAAGTGGTTGTTGCTGAAGCCAAAATGGGTGGCGCAAAAGGACTTATGCAGAAGCAAGTGTCACTATTACCATGCTACCAGAATAAACACCTGTCCATCCCATGAGGCCTTGCATCTTCTATCTGAAAAATTCTTCCACTTATGAAATTTTTGGATTTACAGGTCTTCAAATTTTTAAATATTTAAAATTAGGAATTTAAAATTAAACATTATATATTATAAATTTACTAATTTCAAATATTTTTCAGGAATTCACATGTATGTAGAGATTAAAAAAAAATACTATGTAAAAAGGAAAAGTCTTAGGCTAATTATTTATGCACCGCAGTGCTTTTTCCACTTATTTATCTAACATAATAATATTATCTTTAACGTAGATATCGGAAAAGTTTATTTTAAAAAAATTATTTTTTTTGGTAAAGATCAAATATTCAGGTTTTTATATTTAATTATGATATTTATCTCATAATTATTAAGGAATTAGTAATATAATCTTTCAGTATTATCTAATTGTTCACATTTTAAGTGTTAAAAAGTAGATTAGTCAACTTTATGTAATTATGTGTGAAAATGTAAGTAATAAGGAAAGAGTAATTTTGGACTTAAAGTAATAAGGGGGTTCTCATAAGTAAGTGAAAATTAGGTAGAGATAATCATTTTTAGGAAACAAAAATCACTTAAAGATTTTGAACCCACTAAGCAGGTTTATGCGAGAGAGCAAATCTTTTTAAAAGAGTAAAAGTGCTTAGCAGTCAAGAATCCGCTAAGTAGAGAAAAGTCTTTAGGAAGAAGAAACTTTATTTCACTGAGCGAACTAATAAGTGTGAAGTGGATGAATTAAAAGATTGCAAAATTCCTTGGATATAAATAGAATAACCGAAAAGAAAAAGAGGAATGTGTGGGTATGAGAAGAAAAAGAGAATACACCTCTAAGAACCAGGGTTAGAGAACAGAGACTCACTAAATTTTAGCTCTTATTCTTGTATATTTAGGATTTCTCTTCTCATGTGTTACTAATTTTTATGTTGTTGGATTGGATGTACCTATTTAACTTTTTTGTAACTCTATTGCTATATATAGAAAGAGAGAGTATTGATTTGGTTGTGTTTTAAGGTTTGGATTTAGAAGAATATAAGTTTATGATTATAGGAATAAATGTTCATTGAAAATTGATTTATAACCTTAATTGTTAAGAACAAAAGTTGAGATTTTAGATTGTTGGATCTTTCGAGGAGGAATTTACTGGAAGATACAACACCAATGAGATATGAGTTCTACCCACATAAAGATTAATATCACTCTTAACCCAAAATTTTAAAAAGGCATTGAGTTATGAGTCATACCTCCTTATATGTTGATCAACTTCTAAATTAAAACTTGTTGCCAAGTCAGGTACAACTCTAATTGAAGACATTTTAACCAAAGATGAAAATATTTCTTCAAAATCAATATAATACCTTTCTTCATACTAAATCTTTTCACCACCAACCTTACTTTATATCTTAGCTGTGAGTTATTCTCCTCTAGTTTCAGTTTGAACACCCATTTATTTCTAAATGTTCTCTCATGATTTAGAATGAATAGCATAATTAATAATAAAATATGGTGCATGCCCTCTCATGCAAAATTGCCTAAAACATTTTCGGGTGAGACATTAAGAACTGCAGTAGACTTGATCAATCTATTTTTATCCATTCCTTTTAATGGTGATGTCCATTCCTTTTAATGGTGATGTCCCTGAAAGTGTGTGGAAAGAGAAATATATTTTTTATAATCATTTAAGGGTATTTTGATTGCAAGGTATTTGTCCACGTCCATAGAGATGAAAGATCTAAGCTTGATGGGAAGTCTAAACCATGTATTTTTTTAAGTTATGATTGTGATGATTTTGGTTACATATTTGGGGATTCGATTAATAAAAAGATTATTAGAAGTCGAGATGTTGTTTTCTTAAAAATCAAACAATTAAAAATATTGACAAGAAAGAAAAGTTAAAACATATTGCTGAAGTACATTGATGTTGAGTCTAAACCTCCTACCAAGTATTATTAATCATGAGGTTTTATTATTAATTATGTGATTCATTCTAAATTGACTTAGTCCACTTATTAAGAAAAAAAACTAACAAATTTTTAAAAATGTTTTAAAACTAGTTTTTTTTAATATTCCAAAAAAATAATTGTACAATATTTATGAAAAATTTATGATAATATATTTTTAGAAAATATAATAAAAAAAATAAATTTTAGATTATATATTTTTGAATTATTTTTTATTATATTTTCTTAAAATATATTCTTATTCAATAATTCAAAATTTATTTATGTAGTGTGTTTTCATCATTTTTTTTGCATTGTGTTTTTCTGAATGCATTTTTCAAAAAATATAATCCGAAAATAAATTCTAAATTACCTTGTCCAAAATTCATTTATACATTGTGTTTTTTAAAAATTATTCTAAATTCAACTATTTGAAATACTACAAATACAAATTAAATACGTTTTTTTTATGAGATTTTTTGATACATAATATGTTATACCATTGCAGAGTAAATTATCAACAAATTTATATCTCCTAAAATGAAAATGATACTGGAATGAAGGTGTTGGTGCAAGTGCTGGTTGCGGGAAAGAGAAAATTTGACATATTTTAACATTTTACTTATATTATGGGAGTGCACAATAAATTATTAAGTTGCGAGAAGAAACAACCAAATCTTAGGATGATGTTGTGATCGGGTAAAGTTGGGTCAACATATATCTTAAGGGATTTTCTTTCTATACCTCTATTATTTACAGCCACACCTCCATAAGCATAGTGCTCTAACTCAAATTATATTTAAATTGAGTAAATTTGAGTTTATTTAGTTATATTTAAAAAAAAATATTTAATATATATTTTCTAAGAAACAGTAAAATTAAAATATAAACAATTCACCTAATTCACTCTAAAATAGATTATATAGTATTCAATTATGAACCAATTCAAAATGATTAAAATATAATTAAGAAAACCAAAATGATTAATATATATATTTCAATACCAATTTTATCCAATCCCGGAACACTCTAAATAAAAGATGACAACCAAAAGACCTTTGTAGAAAAGTGGTAAATAAAACTAATTATAAATTATTTTGCAAGAGAATAAACACAATGTAATTAATCTATAGATTTACTCAACTATTGTTTTAATATATTACATAAACTAAAAGAATTAGGATAAATTATGTTATTTGCATTATTTTTAAGTAAGTTTTGTATTTTAGTTAATTAACTTTTTAAAATAAAAACATTAAAAGTAAAAAATACGTTAATAATATTTTTATGATGATCTTCAAAATTTTCTTTATTCTTCAAAAATCTTGTGTAAGTTTGTCGAGTAAGATAAGTTGGATTATCTGATTTTTTTAATCAGATTTAAAATTTTATTTTAAAATAGAAAACAATAATTATTTAAAAAGAATTGTATTGATCAATTTTTAAAATCATGTATCTGATGAATCTCATTTTATTCCCTTTTTTGCTCTTAAGTAGTAATTTTTTATTTTTCAATCTCGAAATTTTCCTAACAATATAATCCTGATTTCTCAATTAACTTTTTTAATTATTTAATCTATTTATTATAGATTAAAACAATGCCATGCCTAAGTTGCTTAACTATCTTTCTAAACTATATGGGTTTAGATAATTATCCATTCCATTTTATAAATTTTTTAAAATAAAAAAATATTTTATTAATATATATATATATATATATATATATTATAAATTAATTTAATAAAAAATATTCTTAATTTAAGAATAAATATAAAATGAAATCTCTAACATCTATTAATATGATGTTTAAAATAAATTATTAATTTATATTAATAAATCATAAAAAAATAATGATGATAATAAAAATTTATTTTTAATTTTTATCTTAAAATTAAATAAATTCCTTATCTTATAATTTATATATTAAATTTTATATTTAAAATAAAAATTAATTTTTTTAAAGTAATTTAAATTTTAAAAATATATTTTTAATTAATTATTTTTATATAAATATATTAATATTTTTTTAATTTTCAATCGAATCAAAATTGATCCATTAATACTTTAACCTAATACGGATCATCTTAGATAAAATAAGTATGATTGGTTAAAAAATATAAGTTATACTAAAAATTATACTAACTCATCAAAAAAATTTACTTTATCTTAAAAGTCAAATTACACCACACTATTAAATTTTTTTATTTAATTTAAACTAAATCAGGCTAAGTCGCATATTTTCACTGCTCTCTAACTTTTTTAACACCAATTTTCTCTCTTATATATATATATATATATATATAAACTCAAATAATTCGTTTAGATATTTCCTTTTCCATCTATCATTGATGACTTTTTACTTGAACTATTTTTTTCTCCCAAAGGTGGTCAAATATTACCTTAATGTCCTATTCCTTCTTAATTGCATGAAAGTGTGTAATTAACATGACACATGTTTATTTAATACACTTAAAATTTATAAAAAAATTAAATATATAAATTTGATTGAAATTAAAATTTATAGAAAACAAATAAATATAGAAATTATAATGTATATTTATAATAAATAGTTGTTGAATTCACAATAGAAGAAGAACACACTTTTGATGTTCAAATCTTGTTAAAAATTTCATTCTAGAAAATATGTAATAAATAAATAAATTACATAATGACACAAAGTTATTTTTCTAAAATCAATACACATGAACTATTTATATATTTTTGTACTATTAATAAATATGTTTTTGTTTATCCACGTAAGAATCAGAGTAACCGTCGTGGCCAGTTATTCGTGTTGCCAAATTGACAAATAAAAATTAAATAATGTATTATAAAAAATAAATTTTACAAAATAACTTAAAATTGTAATTGACTTGTGAATTAATGAGAAGGAATTTCTGTTCTTTTAATAAATAAATAAATAAACTAACTTTTTTACTAATTTTTTTTATACATAAACCACAAACTTTAAACTATGCTTGGCTTTGGGGTTTAGTTCAGATAAAAAACAATTATTCAAATATTCTTCCATTATTTTATGAGTCTGACGTAACTTCAAAGTTATCTTCTGTTTTGTTTCATATTTATATATATTGGCCTTTCGTTCAAATCATGAAACCCGTGAGTCTTGACTTATTGACATGTGTTAGGAAATGAAGCATATTCATATTCTCACACAAGCTAGGTCTCACGCACTTTTCCGACGAAAAATATCACCTAACTCTATTACTAGTCCAATTCCCTGGTCAATGTTAAAGCTCGACCAAGTCTCAGAGATTCTGCAATGGCTGATTATAGGACAACCAAAACAAATTTCATATCTCATTTCTAACTATTGAGTCTCACATGAACAATTAAGATTTGAGTCATTGTGAAAGTAGAAAGCATGTCAACATTTAAAGCACACATATGTATCATGTATAGATATTAAATAACCCTTATGATGAATATGAACCACCATGGCTTCACATTTTTCCACCGTTCTGTTCTCAGCTCAACAACACATCACAAGCTACAACTTATAGGCTTCCATTTGTCGCCAATTTGCAGTTTTGTACAAGAACCAATATGCAAAAATAACTCATTCTTATTCTATTCTCTTAATATGTAAGTGTAGTAATGAACCATCTTCTCTACAAAAGCACTAGTAGTAATACATATATATAGGTTGCTGAATATGCGAGCGTCCTCCGCTATATTCTCATTTTTGTTTTATCTTTCAGACTCCGTATTCTTAAGTCCATAACACATAATATCTTCCAAACCAATCCAAATGTATAATATCTTTTGTCTCTGTGAGTGATGTTCTTGTATTCTTTGCTATTTTTGTCCTTTTATGCGGCCAGAGCCTTGAAAGTATCGTTGAAGGTATCTTGGTCAGCAAAAATATCCAGCAGAGACAAGGCCTATCAACAAAAATGGGGAAGGGTTTAGTGGATAAAGATAAAGATAAAGATAAATGGTAATCTTCTTCCAAAGGGTATCAATATTGAGTAAGATAAAAGAAAAAATACCTCGGGCACGTTCAGCTCAAGACGAAACTTGGGACCATCATAGTGGTGAAGGATTGGTCTGAAGGAATCCTCCTCCAGTGGTTCACATGTTTTCCTAGTAATCACTCTTACCTGTAATCATCATTTATGCAGTGTTTAAGCCTTCACAGATTATATAAATCATAGAGATGTAATTAAGAAAGACCAATACGCTACAATCATTGATATGACTTTTTAGAATTATAATTTTAATACTCAACGAACTTAACACATCATTGTCATGACTAGAACATTATAAGTAAAAAATATTCATTGTTGGAATAGAGATGTTACCTGAGCAGGGAAACGAGATTCACCAGGGCATTTCTTATCCTCCCAAGCCGTTGGATCAATATTAGTTCCTCCAAAACTTGCAGCCTGAACAAACCCCACCCCATGTTATGAATTTTAAAAATAAAAAATCCAAAATAGGATTCAAAATATGAAGCTGTTAAATGTTAATCTAATGGCCAGATCCTTAATGTAATGCAATTTGGGCTCCAGAACAAGCTGTCTAATTAAATTAAATAGAAGATGATAAATAGGTAACATTTAACACACCTCAAAGATTCCATGGAGTTGGTGAGTGGAATAGTTGTAAAGGAAAAGGGGCAACCCTGGAGTTATGGCCCGAACAGAATCTCTGTATCTTGGAGGCAGACCTGAAGACACAAATATTTTCAGATAAAATGAATTTAATCAGCACCAATAAGGTATAAAAGTATATATGGTCCTCACTTTAATAGCTACCAGCATAAACTTTCCCACAAAAATGATTCATCAAGAACATTTATGTACTAAGGTGTGAAAAAAAGAAAAAAGGACGGGACAAAATTCTTATCATAATGATAATTTTGCAGTTCAATGATTCAATTCCAGCCTTAGACCATGTGAATAAAAAATCTAAAGTATATAACATCACAAACAACATAAAATTTGCATAATTGAGAAATAAGAGAAGGAAAGGAAAGAAAGAAACGTACCGAAGAGTTGCCTCTTGAGATTTTCAGCCATGGTGTCATTGTTGCAAACGAAGATGTAGCCCCCAATGGTTTCATTCCTGGGAAGAGACTCCGAAGGTGGCAGTGTTTTGAATCTCTTGTCGGCAGAAGCCTTGGAATCCTTGTTGTTATCATTGTTGCCGCTGTTGTTGTTGTTATCGTGTTTCTTGTTGGGGTTGTTGTTTTTCTTAGAAGATTTGGGAAGATGAAGAAACTCATCTTCACCCTTGCCTTTGTGGCCCTTTGGATTGATATTGAGGTTAATGTTGTTGTTAAGATTGGCAAAGGCAGGTTTGGAGTAAATTCCCTTGTTGAACCCTCCATTGAGACCCACCCCACCATCCAAACCAACACCCAAAATACTGTTGTTGTTGTAAGTCATGGCAAGAAGAGATCCATTCATGTTATCGTTGTAATCACAAGCAGGCTCCTTTGACTTGAAAGAGTTTATCTCACCACCCACTTTGATGTCAAAATTAATCCTTTCATCACGCCTCTTGGACACGTAATTGTTGCTCCAAATCGAATCGTTCAGAGAGAGGTTTGCCAAGTTGGATGTCTGCAAACGCAGCTGGTCACTGAATTGCCGAAAAGACTGATTATTCTCCATGATTTGGTGCAAAAATAACTTCAAAACTAGCTACTTTGAGTACAAGTATCAGGTCTATGTATAGCAAATATGTTGTATTGCCTAATTGGGAACAGGAACAGGAACAGGAACAAGTGGAGAAAGGGAACGAGAAAATTTTGTGAAGGAGTCACGAGTGTTGGTATAAATAAGCCGGGAGAGGGTGGAGATTAAGAAACTGAAAGAGGTTAATGAGATGAAATGAAACTTCGTGGAAAGTTACAGGGTTGCGTGTGTAATTGTCAAATGTGAAAGGAAAATTGTTTTCGGTGTCGTCTCTTTTTTTCCGTTTAATTTAAATTAGGTGGGGTGGTATTAGCGAGTGATGAGTGATGATGATGCCAAAACGCGTACACGTGACAAGTTGGAGAAGAGAGAGAGGGAGAGAAAGTGGAAGGTGGCAGTTGGGTTTGATTTTGTATGCTACGTTCTAGAAGGTGTTAGAGTCGTCCTAACTTTAGTTTGAGTTCACACCAAGAAATTGTTTTACTATTCTGTAAAATGTTATGAAATAAACAGATAAATTAAACTACGTTATCTAATTGGATAAAATAAAAACATCACTTCCAAGTTAATGGTCGAAAGAATAATGTGTGCTTTGTCGTTTTGTTATTTTCTACAAAGTGAATTGAAATTCCTTAGCTGCTAAGACATGGAAGTGTGGTATAGACGAGATCACTGTGGGGAGTGAGTAAGAAACTGTGGTGGTCCGTCACAAAACCTTCATTGGATCTTTATGACACCTATGTTTGTTGCTTCTTTTTTCTTTTCTTTTTTTTTGTGTGTGAAGGTTTCAATTACCATTTCAACACCCTCACCCCACGTCATTATAATTAAAATTACGAGAAACATTAACAAATGTCTTTAATGTTATCCTTTCGTAGTACATATGTAACACATAGGTTGGGAATAGAAAAAAGATATGATTTTTTTATTAATCTATCTAAGAGGCGTTTTAAAACAATATCACAATAATATTAAATTGATAATATTCCATACCGGTGAACTTTAGAAGTAATATCTTAAATAGATTTTTGAGTTGACATAATAATAATAAAAAAAATAATTGAAATAAAAATATTTATTATTTTATTTAGGGACAGAATAATGATTTACTTTTTGTAAACCTAAAATCATAGTTCTTAAATATATTTCATTAATAAGATCAAACATCTTCAAACTTAATTTTAATACGATGTTTCCTCAAATTTTAGAAGGCGGTTTATTTTTATTTTTTTTAAAGTCTTCACTTTCGATACAAAATGTAATGTTCTTTTTTATGTTTCCTCTTTTTCTAAATTTGTAACGGAAAAGTAAAAAAAAAAATAACACTAACAGATTCCTGTATAAATCTTTTGAAAAAAAACACGAAATTAATGTCAGATTTGTAATTAAAAACGAGAAGAAAGTAAAATACGTTTTAATTATTTATCATATTAAATAATCTAATAAAAATACTGTGACAGATTTTATATAAAAAGTTTTTTTTTAACTTAGAAAAAAAATTCACTTTTCCATAAAAAAACGCTTTTGTGAAAAAATAACTAATAATATTTTATTATTTCTTAAAATTGCGCGTGTGAACTTAACATTTGGAGGGATGAGAACAACACTCACAAAAATTTGAAATTTTACTAAATTTATGGGCCTTAATTGAGGGGGATTAAGCCCACCGGGAATTATTTTTTGCAGCCAGTTTTCTCGAAGTACAATTTTCTGTCCTCTCTTCTCTTTATGTGTTGATAGAATAAAATAAATTCGTATTTTGTTTAATTACAGTAATTATATATATATGATAGTTTTGTTAATTTAATAATAATAAATTTTGTTATTGATCGATCGTGTATAGTTTTTTCAATTACTTATAACTATTAAATTCATACTAGATATCAATCTCTCCTTAAATAAATAAATAAATCCAACCATACAATTGACTTTGTTATTCACTGGAACACCTTTCCATAAAAAATTATATCGAGTAACTTCATAAGTGTAATTTGGGGTTTTGAGGAAGTGTAATATAGGTTGCTTTCAATTTCAAAACTACTAAATTTGTGTACTTTTTAAAAAGTTTGTTGTAATGCTAAAAAAAGTAACTTTTCTTGATATTTGTGGAAAGAGATAGTAAAATGGTTTCATAATTATGTATTAATTAGTTTATTTTTCAGTGGAATGATTGATGAAAGAAACAAAATCTAATAATTGATTTGAGGAAAAATAAAAAGTGATAAGAGAAATAAAAATTGACATTTTTTAAAATAACAAATAAATAAATTAATTAAATTATTATATGGTTATAAATTTATAAATATATTTATTTTTGAATAAGATAAAAAATATAATTTAAAAAAAATAATATTTTTATCATTTCTATTTTTTTATATAAGTGTAAACAACAATAGATTTTTTTACTAAAAAATAAAAATATCTTATTTTTCTATATGTAATTATCACTTATCACTGTACATTTTTTGTTTCAAACAAATAGACCTAACACTATAAATTTTATGAATATAGTAAACTAATATATTGATACTTTATAAAGTCTTACTTGTAATATTAATATTCTTGTTTTAGAGTAAGGACACTTTCTTAATTGAAGGATCTTAACGTGTTTTAGACGTTTTTGTTTTAATACTTTTTCTCAATTTTGCAAATTTTGTTCTTCAGAGTTCTTTTATTTGTTCACCATAATTAAAGATATACTTTGATTTCATAGTTAGTTTGAGAAGTTGAAAAAAATAGTTAATTTGAGCTAAACATTTATTATTTTAAATCGAGTTAAATTATTTCTGTACAATTTAATAAATTCGTAATCTAAACAAATTCAGATTAATTTGATCATTAAGTTTAAAAATTCACTTGTTTAAAAAATAATTATTATATCTAAAAATAAAATAAATATATGTGCTTGTAATATATAAATTTAAAGTTATAATATAGTTTAAAATTTTAATAACATGCTTTTGTTTTTTATGTTTTACTATTTTTTTAATTTTTAAAAATAAATTAAAATATTCTATTTACTTGTTGATCAACGTAAGATTAAATTAAACTTAAAATATTAACTTTTCTTATCTATGGTTGCATTCTTAACTTTAAGCTTTCTCTTTATATTTACTTTTTGGATTCATAGTTTTATATATATATATATAGAGAGAGAGAGATAAATCATATTATATCATATAATATTTATTATTAAATATTATATTATGTATAATTTTATATTTAGTATTAATTTATGTTTTCATTGAGCATATCTCATTTCTTTGGTCCAACCAACCAGAAACATCAAATTTAAAATCGTTTTGTTAGGAAGAAAGTAGTTCGGTGGTAATTAATTTATGGCAAAGTTTTAATTATTTTATATTTCATTATTAATTTTCAAATCAAATTATAGCCCTACTGTACGAATTAACTAACTAAAAGAAAAGTTAGTAATACCTTATAGTTTATATTTTATAATAGGTTATAACTTTTTTAATTTTATTTTATTTAAAATTAATTTTTATATCTGTTAAATATTAAGGAAAACTATAATATATTTATATAAAAATAATTTATCAAAAAATTATTTTAAAAAAATAAAATAAAGCAAAAATAATGATTTAAAATTTAAATTATAATAAAATTAGTTTTTAATTTTAGATATAATAATTTGATATATAAATTATAATACATAATAATGTTTTGTGTTTATTTAAAGAATAATAATTATTTTATAAATTAGACTGATTTATTAAAACTCATTTAAATTATGAATTAAATAAAAATCATAATTTTTTATTGAATCTGATTTTTTTTTGTTCTTTTTTTTTTTTAGTTTTTGGGAGTGATCATCACATTAGATATATTTTGATATTCTAATACGAATAAAATAATACTATTCATAAATTATTACTTGATTCAAACTTAGGATAAATTTAAATTTATGTTTAATTTATAATGGTTTTATTTGTAACATAATGATAATGTTTAAACCAATTTAATCCAGGGGAAGGACAAAACTAATTTTTTTTAATCAAATTCAACTAGTTATATTTTTGAAACTTTTATTATGAGTTCTACCTGTTCTTATTTACAAAGCCCAAATAAAAATGACATTCATTTATTTTTTATGAGATTCAATTTACAACGTCTTTTGAGTTAATTATTTTTAGAATAAAATATTTTGAATTAAATGGCAGAAGAACTATACTAGAAAACAACTAAAAGATAAATAAGTATTAATAATAAGAATAATATAAAAAATATAGATTTAAAATTGAATATGATAAATAATGATTAACACTATCACAAAGAGTGTAACATTTATTGAGAAGCTATTATATGTAGTAAGTGTGAAAGTAACATTGACAGAAAAAAAAAGAAAAAAAAGATGAAGAAAGTACTGAAGTTACAATAAAAGTGTCTGATTCCAAAAAGGTCTCAATTCTGAGGGTTCACCTAAACTGAAGCCGCACGAGTAGTTAGGACAATAAACATGATCCACCAACAAAAGTGTCATGGACGACCACTTTCCTTTATTGAAGTTGCAATGAGGGTTGTTTAGGTAGTTAAGCGATTAAAAGAAAGTTAAAGAAAACACAAACTTTGGAAACAATCACTGTTTTTTTCGCCAAACCCATTGGTTGTATACACACACAATTCAGGACAATAAAACAATGGCGGACTTACCAAACCAACCGTTGGACAATTCTTGTTTTATTTTATTTTAATTTATTTTTCTTTCCCATTTGCTCTTTCTTCCCCTGACAATCCAAAGTTCCCTCCTTTACTTTAAAAATCAACCTCAAGAGAGGAAGAGATAGAAAAAGAGATGGCAAGCATTGCTGGTACATGTCCTTTAGGAACTTTGCTCAGAAACAATGTCTCAGAAAACAATAGGAAGATGTCGGTTGTTCATTATGAGGGGCTTAGACTGCAAATGCCTTCTTCACTTAGAACTATTCAAAGCCACTACATTTCAGCTTCTTCAGGTAAGATCCTTGTACTTTTGTTTGATTATGAATTGAAGACTTGTGATTAGTTACTAGTTGCTCAAGTGGTTGGTTGCATTGATCTTAGTAAACATATAACATTAAAGCACTCTCCTTGTTCATTGGTTTCAGTTATTGCTTGTTTAAATCTGTTTCACTTTTACTTCATGGGATGCTCTTCAAGATGTGTATGTCGTGTTTCCATGTTAAGGGTTGGAAGCAAAAAAAAAAAATAGTTTCTCTAATGAAGATCATTTATGATAAGAGTTTTTCTGTTTTCTCTTTTCGTTGGATAAGTCCACGAAGTATATCTTGTATTGATCAGTGGAGAAGTTAAAGCATAACTGATCCTAATTTTTGGATCAAGATCAGATGGATTATGCTTTATGTCGGAAATCAGACATAAAATATGCATTCCAAATTTGAACAGTCAAATCTTCATCTAACAGCAAAATTGCATGAATGAGTAAATTCATCACATCCGATTCACTGTTTAAATGGTTTTGCTCTTCTTTACTTGGACTTTATTTGCAATCTCATCTTTCCCATGGTACTATTAGGATTTGGATTTTGGACTTTCTGAAATATACTAATAAACGAAAATAATGATCGCTTTAGGTGAGTCTAGCAACTTGTTCCATATTGTTGGCATTTGGCTCTATAGGAAGTAGTACTTCAACTGGTTGTCATACTACCAATATTCAAGATTTGGTTTCGTTGAAGTCACTATGGGTATATCAAGTAATCGTAAATTTTCATGAGAAAATTAACTATTCATATTCTAATATGTGATAAGTAACGTATTCGATGTTAGGATGTAACCTAGAATGTATTTCATCTTATCCTTAATTGTTAATTGAACCTTCACACTTGGAGTTGCAGCTCCAAGATGCAGAACAATCAAGGCCATGGCTTCCCCAACAGTTGCAGCACCAAAGAGAGAAAAAGATCCAAAAAAGAGGGTAGTTATAACAGGAATGGGTCTTGTGTCAGTCTTTGGCAGTGACATCGATGCATTTTACAACAAACTTCTTGAGGGAGAAAGTGGGATAAGCCTAATAGATAGGTTTGATGCCTCAAGTTTCTCTGTCCGATTTGGAGGTCAGATACGTGATTTCTCTTCCGAAGGCTACATTGATGGCAAGAATGATCGGCGCCTTGATGATTGCTGGAGGTATTGCATTGTTGCAGGCAAGAGGGCACTCGATGAGGCCAACCTTGGACAACAAGTCCTTGACACTGTAAGTCACAGAATTTTTTGAAGTTGCAATCTGTAGCTACCAAACTAACAAGGAAAATTCTGATTGTATCTTGATTTAGTTTGACTGTATCCTTATTCTCAGGATTACCAACATATTGGCAATAGTTGATTTTTTTGTGTGGACAAAACTTAGACATGGTTTCACAAATTATGCTATTTATTATGTTCTCTGATCAGAATTAGAGTTTCTTCTTGTTAATATGCATAATAAAAGTTTGCATTAAGGATCATGCAGATTATCAAGATGAAATCTAGTTCTAATTGAAGAACAAGACAAACTGTATTTTAGTTTTGTCCTTGTTGTAATCATTAATTTTCATTAGGACAATGATTTAATTAGGATGATTGATGACAAGCTATAGATTCATTGTGTTTGTATCAGATGGACAAAACAAGAATAGGAGTTCTGGTGGGCACAGGAATGGGAGGTTTAACGGCTTTCTCTTCTGGTGTGGAAGCTCTTATCCAGAAGGGATATAAGAAAATTACTCCATTTTTCATTCCCTACTCCATCACCAACATGGGTTCTGCTTTGTTGGCTATAGACACAGGCCTAATGGGTCCAAATTATTCCATTTCCACTGCTTGTGCAACAGCAAATTACTGCTTTTATGCGGCTGCTAATCACATTAGAAGAGGTGAAGCGGATATAATGGTGGTTGGTGGGACTGAGGCCGCAATCATGCCTACTGGTGTTGGAGGTTTCATTGCTTGCAGGGCTTTGTCTCAGAGGAATGAAGACCCCAAGAAGGCTTCAAGACCATGGGACAAAGATCGTGATGGTTTTGTAATGGGTGAAGGCTCTGGTGTGCTGGTAGAAACTTAAACCCAACATATGGCTTAGCAAGCTTTTGTTTTAACTGACTTTTATTCACCTAATGAAAACTTGATTCTCTATCACTTGAAAAAGATAATGGAGAGCTTGGAGAGTGCAACAAAAAGGGGAGCCAGAATAATAGCAGAATATTTGGGAGGTGCCGTAACATGTGATGCTCATCACATGACTGATCCAAGATCTGATGGACTAGGAGTTTCATCTTGCATAACCAAGAGTTTAGAAGATGCTGGAGTTTCTCCTGAAGAGGTAAGAATTAGAGACTACTACCAAGTAAACAGTTTCAAAACTGAACTCATACATGTACTACGGAATGTTCCTTCTGAAAACAGTGCAGAGTTAAGACTTTCATGTGCAATTGTTTATGTAAATTAGATGGATTCTAATTGCCTAATTTCTAAAATCTATAGGTGAACTATGTGAATGCACATGCCACATCAACATTGGCTGGTGACCTGGCTGAGGTTAATGCAATCAAAAAGGTTTTTAAGGACACATCAGAGTTGAAAATGAATGCAACTAAGGTAAGAAACTTTTGTTTTTTTATACTTCAAAATATTTCAGAATCCTAAGTGTATTCTACTGTTACCCTTGAAGCTTATCATTATATTTTCTCATCATTTCAGTCAATGATTGGTCATGGTCTTGGGGCTGCTGGTGGTTTGGAAGCCATAGCAACTATCAAAGCCATAACAACTGGCTGGGTGCATCCAACCATTAACCAAGATGTAACGTTTTCTGAACCACAAATTCATCCTACTATTCAAATCAAATGTTACATATGATAACTTTTGTTGATTTACACAATCTCTTAATTATAAGTGTCCATCTTTTCTGCAGAACTTGGAGCCTAGTGTTACAATTGACACTGTCCCCAACGTTAAGAAGCAGCATGAAGTTAATGTTGGTATGTATGATCACTTGGGTTGAATAGAGTAATAATGTAAAATTCAATATTTCTGATCTTTAAGTGTACTTACTTCCTGCAGGTATATCCAACTCATTTGGATTCGGGGGACACAATTCAGTAGTTGTCTTTGCCCCATTCAGGCCATAAGTAGAATTCAAACTCAGCTAGAATATTTCTTTGTCTGTTCACATTTTGAGAACCAGTAATTTTTGGACACAGATTCATATAACTGAGTTATGGACAGAGCATCGTTGTTTTATACGCATTGAAATCATAACAGGGGTATATGACTGACTAGCCAGAATCAGATTGTGTGGTAAAATGTAATGAGCCCTGAAGCCAATAAATTCTTATTTCCAGCAATTGTACTGTTCTTTGCTAAATTTATATTAGAATGAAAATTCAGCTTAGTTAGTGTGCTTAAGAGGTAATTCTTGTTTTTTGTTTTTACTTTAGACAAAAAGTTGACCAACCTTATAATTTTTTTAGCATCATATATTTTATAATGTCATGTCTAGTCTTCATATAAAAATCAGAAAAAAAATAGCTTTTGTAAATTTTTAAATAAAATAGAATTATTTAATTTTGAAAATTGGAGGATTTGTTTTTAAATTTTCAAGAAATCAAAATTATACATTGAAGATATTACAAGGAACAAAAATAAATATAAAGCGTAAAAAATTTAAGCGAAAGAAGGTTCTGAAAATCGGTAAGTAATATTTTTTGTTAAAAGTTATAATTACATTTTTTAACCACTAAAACTGGAACAATGAAAATGTGAGAATTTAACACATTTCAATAATATATATATATATATATATATATATATATATATATATATATATATATATATATATATATATATATATATATAAAAGCGTAATTTGAAATGATGGAAACCCTCTAATGATAAAATCTCAAATTTAAGATAAAATAATAATATAAGTCTCGTCGAATTAATTTTATAAGATTGAATTAGAATTTTATTTTTAAATATTATCAGAATCAACTTTAAATTAATAAAATATTTTTTAGAAAATGTTAAATAAAACTATTAATAAAACTTTTTTTCTTTTCTTTTCTCAATTTTTTTTATTTATTTCAAATTTATTCTCCCATCCAAACAAACATGGTTAATTGAGTGTTTGTATCATGGCCCCAATACTACTAGCTTACTAGTTCTGTGAGTGAGACCAAATCCTGGCCATAATTTATAAAATGTAGACGCAAGACCTACTTTTATGTTCTCATTATTATTCTCCATTATCAGGACCATGCCCTCTTTCACGGCCACATTATTGTCCACGTCCAAACCATGGCATTATATCATCCTCTTCATTTATTTAAGTTGGTGGTTTCAAAATACAACAATTTTTTTTTTAATTTAAAATATGATGGCTATACATTACAAATTTAGCAAAAAATATATTTTCAATTAGGAGAAAAAAATAAAAAATAAATATTGTTTGTATAAATTTTAATATAACTATTATAAAAATTTAACAAATTTAATTAATATATGTGATGATTTGTTATTAGATGACAATACATTGTGAGTACATAATCTATTTTCACCTTAATTTATTATTATTATTATTATCATCATCTTCTTCTTCTTCTGTGAGAATCTATTTCAGATTAATCCAGTCCTGATAATAGGCCTGAAAGCCCAAAATTGTCTGTCGGATACAAGTGTTATTTATGAACATTTATTTCATGTTTTCTCTATTTTTCATGTGCCCTTCCATATTTTTTTAGAAAAAGATAATATATTTTTTGTAAGTTTTATTCGACTTAAAGTACAATAAATTTTAAAATAATACTTTTAAAATATTTTCGTAATAGATAATTTGAAAATAGATTCTAAAATATAAGATCTACAACATGGGATAGCGGCAGAAAGTACGAGAATGCATGCAGAAACTAAATAGGCGTGCTATCATTTATATGCAATATTCCATTTACACAATATTTTCTTATATTTTTAATCAGTAGATAATATTTATAAAAAATATCTTATGCGAGTAAGAACAATAATTAAGTAATCTATTTATTTTATTTAAATCTTAAAAAATAATTTTTGAATTGAATTTTATAAAATTGATTCTCACCCTCCATTATATATTATAAATTAATGGTAACATGAATCTGGAATCAGTAGGAATATTTATAGTTCTCCGCAACTAGATTCATACCTTCTACAGTTTTTTTACCAACTAAATTTTTTTATCAACTATATTCGAACCTATTTTTTCTCGACCAAAGAGTCAAAATAACAAGCTCCTAGGTAGAATGACTTTTCTGTATGTACATGACTTTCGTGTACATAGTTTAATCGATTTCTAACTTATCAAAACAATTTGGTAAGCCAAGGTGGCCTTCTGTTGATCACTGCTTGGATTCTGGGTAGTATTCACTTCAATGAATTAACGTAAATGCTTTGTGTCTTTATCTGGCTACACCCAACTTTTGATATGGATTTGTTACATCTCTTTCCCAATTTAGGTTACCAGATTTGTGTTAGGGAAAAAGGGTGGAATAATAAGCTAAGAATGTGGACGGTAAATAGGGTTGTAATGCATGCATGTATGTGTCTCTTGTTGGGAATCATTGACTACTTTTGTGGATGTTATGGCATCTCCACAGGCACAGGCACAGCCACAGCCACAGGAGGTTCATTCTGACGTGCAAGTTGATTGAGATTGAATCGAACTACGTACCTAAGTGATAAGATATGCTATGATATTTATATTTTTCGAATTTAATCTCTGATGCAGTAGGCATAGCAATGGCGACTGTACCCAACTCGGTCACTTGCTCTATTCCAATGCCTTTTATCAATTGCTTCTTACTTAATCATGCACCTTTTATACATACATACATTTAAATATCATAAGAAAATCATGCACCTTTTTTTGCAGTTGTTTTACAATTGCAGACAGTACTGACAGAATATTGTAAGTGAAAGCAGGTGTAAGTAAAACTCAGCTTAAAAATAGAACTAGATTAAGTAAATAATGTGTTTTGGATATATGGATGATGTGTCTAGACAAAACGTTTCCAAACAATGCTAGAAGAAAAACAAACGATATGTCACAAAGAAACCTTACTTACAAGCAACCTTTACCCAAGAATGTATGAAATCTCGAAGTTTAATTATACATATACAGATAAAATTGAAGATAAACCATTTCAAGATTCTTACACATACAAACAAGTTTTGTAGCAATAAACATGATTTGTAGAAGTATGGTGGGGTAGTTGCTTCCAAAACCTATAACATTGTGTTGTCTTTGTCAACCAGGAATCAAGTAGTTATCCTGTACTGTTATCTGGTCTAATGTTTATGGATGGTTTTTGTGGTGATGAGTTAGTGGGGAATCGTTGAAGATTGCATATAGCTTCTTCTCTTAGTACAAGTTATGAGATTCGGATTTGGTGGGCTTGTGGCTGCTATGTAACGTACCCCCACTCCTATCTGTGCAAAGTAGATGAGAATATGAGAAATTTTAGACCCATTTGAATTTAGTTGGAGAAATGGAACACGATTTCTTGTTCACTTACATATATGTATTCTTGTAATATGTTTCTTTTCAACAGTCTTGCGCTGTAGAATGTGGGGTAATAATTGCAAGACATTATTCTAGCCTACTGTCAAAGTTAGTTTTTAGAAAATGTAGATGGAGAGGAATAGTGTTTACTTGAATGAACATATGAGCTATTGGGTTTGTATGAGTAAAAGTTGGTGAATGTCCATGTCACCCTAATATTCTGGCTAATGTAGATGTTCTGACACTAAACACAAAATTGAAATATTATTTTGAGTATTGGCTTCTTGAATGAGCCTATCCCTAGTGTTATAGATATACAGTCGATTCTATTCGTGAGTACTGCAAAAACACGTATGTAAGAGGCAAAACAAAGTCTTGCTTTTCTTTTAATCAATCATTTGATACTCTCACCAGTTTCTCCCTAATAATGCACATTACCATGATTGGCCAATTTACGATCATTCAAGGTTCCATACAATGGTGGGGTACAAAAATTATTTTCCTAATGCAATATTGCATATATGTGTTCTGGAAAATGAAATTTGGTTGAAAGTTTACTAGTGGAGTATTACCTTACTACTTTGTTATAATTTTTGTTCAATTTTTCATTATATAAGACTAAAATGGATAACAAGAAAGATTTTTATATACACAACAAATTAGTGATATCAACAAGCAAAAGTCTGCTACAGTCTATTTAATAAATTATTGGTTTTGAATATACAGAACACTAAGCTCATGAGGGCTAGTTGAATGCCTCCCTTCAATTAAAAAATATGATTATCTAATCAATACACCATTTCCTTGGAAAATGGCGGTATTTGTGGAATTACCAACTTCATCCTCTTGTTGCTGAGCCATTGACATGATGTGTGATGAAGAACCTGAAATTTCACCTTGCTATGGTGGGTCTGATACAATAGGTGGGACTGGATTCAGGAACTTGCTAGAGGGAATGATGCAACATCTACAAAGGGGACATGTGGAGTTTGATTGCAACCAGTTACATATGCAGCTTACATGAAACACATGCTTGCAATAAGGGATTTGTAGCAGTTCTTCCTTCGGCTCAAATTCTCCTAGGCAAACACAACATCTGTTTTTTGAAAAAGAAAAAATGAACAGTGTTTTAGCCTTCATTTCATGAATTTAAAGTTATTAGAATTTTGTATACATTGGAAAAATAGAAGAATATAGGGAAGCAGCATATGGAACCAAGAGTTTCCAAAGTACAATCCAGCACTTGCCCACTAGAAATTCATCAGGCAGATGTAACCTATATCTATCTATTTTTGAAATTTGTTTTCTTGTTGCATGTGTAGGAATTAGATATTTTTTTTATTTTTCTTTTATGACGGTGAGTCACCTTCAAATGTGCAAGTTATGCATAGAAAACCATTCTTGGTATATTTTTCACACCTTTTACTTCCCTTTTCCGAATAACTTTCTATGAAAATAATGGATGTCATGAAAGGTTCTAAGAACTTTGGAAACCGAATATTCTGCTAAAAACTTCAGCTTTTGAAGAACAACAATCATCTAAGTATAATTTGGCAGAGGTGGAAATTGAAGTATAGCAAACTAACAATTTAACTCCAAAGCACACACTTTAGATACCCATGTAATAGATATAGATTGAAGCAAATCAAGCAAAGTTCAAAAGGATAGATGAAAAAGAAAATAAAAACTGCAGAGGTAACGCAACCATCATCCAAAGGTAAACAAAATGATCAATTGACCTTTGGCATAAGAAAGGCAGAAGAAGAATAGACAAGAAAAGGCTTACACTGAATCTCTTGTTCCAAAATCCTCATCAAATAAAATTATTGGAAGTTTGTCAAGAAATTGCACTGTAAGATCTAATCGGCAAGGCTGTGACATTAGCAATATAGAGGGTAATGTTAGTTTTTCTATTAAATTACTGATAATGGATGCATGATGGTGCAGTGCAGAAACCAAACAAGCCAGTCACCTAAGTCTAGCTCTTAAATTTTGAATCTGACCTAACTCAATCCAAAAAAGTAGTTCATAAAGTAAGAAGTGTGCATCACTTATACATTCCATTTTTCATATACTAATCAATGAATGATTTATAACACTGGCCATAGCATCTAAATCCCTGTAGTGTGTTGTTATGCAATTATGACTTCATATTACAGAAAAACAAAATCCTACTTACTTGTGAAGGGTAAGGATATGTAGTTTGAGGATTAGCAGTGGTGGGAAGTATGTGGAGAGGTGGTGATGAGAGAGAGGAAGCCCTCCTTTTGAGGTAGAACAAGTAAAACAAGAGAACCAGAATGATGGAAAAGAGTATGGGAATTGAGAAGATGAAGGCTTGGTACAGTTTAAGCTGAAGTTCTTGTGGATACAAATGTGGAGAAGGGGTTGGAGTTTGTGGCACACCCATCACCAATTCACCACACCCTTTCTTCTTCCCTAACACTCACAAACCTTGTGCCACTGCCACACATTCAACACACATGCAAAAGCGTGGAACATATTAATAGTAAGTTGGTTGAATAAGAATAAACAGAGAGTTGAAAATGTTATGCAATAGTTCTACTTGAGCATACACTAGTTTTGATGAAATGTTAGATGATATCAGGAAATAAAAGTGTAATTTGAAGTCCTATATTAGATAAGAACGAACGAAGAAGAAAATATAACTCATAATTTAAGTTTTTTGTTGAAGGGTATCAATTCTTTATATGAATTGAATTCATATCTCATTTGTATTCGTGTCTTCTCTCTGTAAATCTCCAAAGACTCGTAAATAAATTGGTGGTTTGCAATTCTAAGAGAATCCAGTTGGTTTGGTTTTTCTTTCAGAAGTGGTGATTAGTGTAAGGAAGATATATACCAAAATATTTAACATTGTCATTTTATAGTCATTGATAAAGTAGAGATGTTGCATTGGCAATATATAATTATTATGTGTGATCTATGAAAATGATAAGGGCATTAGTACATATTCTGTGTTTTGCTGTGGTGGAACAGGCCCATATGATCCTCCACTACTACTCAGATAGGGACCCCAATGTCATGGCTACCTGTGTTTGGTTCACCATTTCAAATCTTCAAAATGAAGTTTTACACTTTTTTGAGATACTAGAGGGACAAAAAAAGAACATTATCGTCAGATTAAGCTAAACACGAATTATGTTGAATGTGAATTTTCTCACTTACTAAGGTTGTGTTTGTATTTCAGTTAAGTCACTTACTACATTAAAATATAAAAAATTACACAAATAGCATTCTTTTTGTGTCATTTTTATTAATATGCTAACATTAAGTTATTCTTTAAAAAAATGAATTTAGACCTTATTTAATCTTATAAGATTAATCTATATAAAAAATAATATATGTAGTCTATTTTAATTATAGTTTAAATATATGAGATCTCCAACCATTACATATTTAATTATGTCTCTCTTATTTTGTTAGAAAAAAGGGGTGATGTTAGTACTTAGTGGGGTGCATGGCATAATTAATCTAAGTTTTAATTGTCAAAGTTTGAAATATTCTATATAGTCGGATGAGATGAGATTGCTAAAATTAATATTAATTAACAATCATTTTGAGGTAATATAATTTACGTTTAGATATATTTTAACTATTAATTAAAATTAATCCTAAAATTCAGATAAAATTTTGATCAATAGAAATATTCACCTTACAACATATTAAAATAGTGTTATAAGAATAATATATCGTCCGTTTAAAACTTAATGTATATCTCAATAAGTAAAGTAATATGGTTAAAATAAAAAAATAAGTGATTAAAATAAAAGACTTTATAAAGATAATTAGTTTAAGTTCTTTTGACATATATTAATTATTAATAAAGTTAATAATTTTTTACCTACTTTTAGGATAAAGTGAAACCCCATGTTTAATTTGGACCTTAATTAAGGAAACCTCTTGAATCATCTAACAACATTTCTTTGTATCTTTGAGGTATTATATAATTTATTGATCTAAAATTTTTAAAAGATTAATTTGGTGATTAGTGTGTAAGGATTATGAAAGGTCAACTTACAATTATGAAAAAAAAAATTGTTAAACTTTCATACAAACGATAAAATTTTAATATAATAAAATAGAAAAACTCACTTGATAATAAATTAATATTCAATTAAAATTAATATTTTTCCTCATATTTGTTCACCTAGTACACGTGTTAAAAGAAAAAAAAAACAACTTATAGAAAACATAATTGTGTGAGTAACTCACATAATAATTAATTTTTTTCCCTGAATTTTTTATTTATTTTGATTTTTAAATTTTTATAAATTATTAGTTTTTATCATAATTATGAAGATTGGGCCAGACAGTGTCAACTGGTATGTCATTAAATCGAAAAAAATTTTTGAAAAATCTGAGGGAAAAAGAAAGAGTTAGTAAATTCGATCAAGAAAAAATTAAAGGACAAAATATTTTTAATTTTCTAAAAGATATAATATTTAAATTATTTTATTTATTTATTTTAACACATACAAGTCACATTTTTATCTAGTTCTTACTTATATTACAATTTTCAGTATTTTCACTTTTTATTATGTTTTGTATTTATATTTTTATTATACTCTTAAAATTAATATATTATTTTATAAAAATATTATTTTATTAAATAAATTTGAATTTATTAAATTTTTAAACTTTGAATTTTTCATATTTGCAAAGAATATTATTTATAGTATTATTTGATATTAGTTAATTATTTATTAATGATTAATTGATCATTCAAATGAGTACTAACGTATGCACATAATAATTTAAAGAAAAAAATAGGATTTGTGAAATAAATATTATTTATCTAACTTAAAATAATGAATAAAAAGAATTATTTCAAAATTTTAAAGTTAAACAAGTGAATGGATAAGCATAATGCATTTTGACTATATATCTGTACTGTTGTCGGTGGAGCGTGATTAGTTGAAGCAATTAGCAATTAGAGTCTTTTCTCAGTGGGTTTAGAATCAGATCACAATGTGATCTCTGTAACTTTTCATTTTACACATTTCCTTTAATTATCAAAACTAATCATTAGTTTAAAAGAAAAAAAAATGTTTGGTGGGTGGTTCAGTTCATAAAAATTTTTCATGTGTTTGTGGTTGAACTGGAGATTGAATTTGAGGGAGGAAAAAATATTAGAAAATGAAGTTATTTTAACAAAAAAAGAGAAAATAGGAATTGAAGTGAAAGGCATGAAAAGATAGGTAAAAGATAAATTAAATAAAAAAACTAAAGTAATAATTCAAAATAAAAAATACATATATTGATAAGAGATAAAATATATATAAATTAAAATTATGATATAATTTAATTTATATTATATATAAAATTATGAAATATATTAAAATTATTTTATATATAGAAATAATTTGTGATTATTAATTACAAATGAATTATAAATTGATTATTTTAAAATTACTAAAAATAATTATTAATTATTAATTATAATTTTTTATTTTAAGTATTAATTAAAAAAATAAAAAATAATTCATAATAAAAATAAAACCAGTTACATATTAAAAAACAAATTTATATTTAAATATAATTTTGATTTTATTTTAATAAAAAATTATAAAATCAGGAATAATTATATATTATCAAAATTAATTTATATTTAATATTTTTTTTAATATAATCGATTACTAACATATTAGATCTCTTTAAAATTTATAATTCACGTATTTTATTTATAAAATTATATGCAAAACATAGTTACACAGTTTTATATATATTAAATAATTAATATAAGTTTATATTTAAAATAAAGATTAAATATAAATAAAATTGAATATAAATAACTAAAAATAATATTAATAAAAAAATTAAATATAAATTTATATATATTATAGACGTAATATATATATATATATATATAATATTATAAATTATAGATATAATATTGATAATAAAATAAGGTAGATAACTCACTTGTTGTATATTAAGAGAAAGATAAAAAATTTAGATCACGAACTTTCTTTCTAAATCAGCCTAAATCACCTAATAAAAACAAAAACTTTCTTTATCTTATCACTTAATTCTTTATAAATATTGTGGATCGAGATTTTAATCTTATCACTGATGAATACTATACACGTTTTGGCGCATTTAATTCAACGTCGTCACGAGATTTAGAACGGGAAAATATGAAATATTAGAAAGTAAAAAAAGATTATACAAGATGAAGTGCTGCAAATTTACATGCAGAAGAAGATTATTTCATAATCAAATAAAAAAGGAAACTAAATAAACTAGATTTTGGAAAGTTTTTTTTTTTCTCAGAATAAGTTTTTATTAAAAAGAAAATACTCAAATGGATCTGTTTCCAATTTAATTACAGCAATTAACATATTTTCAGTTTATTAATTATATTAATAAACGTAAATTTTAATTATTTAAAAATTTAAATAACATTATTTTTTATATTATTATTAATATTTATATAAAAAATTAATTAATATTTAAACTTCGGTCTCCTGGGACCAAATCTCCACTTGATACTGATGTAATTAAATTGCAAACAGGTATAATTGAGATCTTTTTAGATGAAGGGTTATTCTTAACAAGAAAATCACATTTTTAATAAATTCCTTTATAAATAGTTTTAATGAAAAAATAAAAAAATAAATTGTACCCTTTTATAAATTAAATAATAAAATTTTTAAAAATCATATAAAAACACCTCTTCAAATAAATTTATATAATTTATTTTTTAAACATGTTTTAAAATTTAATCGCCTTGTTCTTTAAAATTAGGAATAATAATTAAAATTGATATGTCTTAATCATAAATTTGATTAAAAAAATTAAAATAATTAAAAATGAGAATGAGTTCAAATTTTTCCTATTTTAAAAAATAGAGAGGAATAATATAATTTTCACTTTGTTTCCAGCTCAGTTTTATATTTAAATTTAAATTTAAATATTAAATAATTAACTTATATATAATCATTTAAATATAATATTATAATAATAATTATTATTATTATAATATTATAAATATTCTAAAAATAATTAAATGTTTTTTTTATACACACATTTTAATATAAATATAATAAATTAAAATATATATTTAATTAATAATAATTATTATAAATTTACTTATTTATATATATAAAATATTAAAAATTAATTTATTATAATTATAATTATTTTTAAAAAAATAATAAAGATCAATAACGAGAATAGGAAAAACCAAAAAAACCTACAATCCAACAAAACTGAAGACTTCGTTTTTAAACCCAACGTGAAGACACAGAATTAAAAGAAACAGAATTAAAAGAAAGATCTATTCTTATACTAAATTTATCCCTCCTCCATAAATAAGACACTTTTGTCCTCCCTAGTGGAAAGAATTACACTTAGTGTAAATTTCTCCAAAAATTACACGTCTAAAACTCAGACTCGAAAAAAAGTGAAAAGAATTGTATTTCTGACACACTTTTGGCATTGTCAAACAATTTGTTAGTCTCATACAAGTTCATAGACCAGTGTGGTATGAAAATTTACAACTTAATTGCCATCAGATAGCAAACTGCTCAGGGAACGGTAACTCTGCAATTCGCAAGCGATACATAGCACCTACATCTCTATTTAATCAAATTCAATCATGTTGCAAAAACACTTGAATCCAAATGAAAATGAAAACAAAAACAATAACAAATGATAAATACAACATTACATTTTATAACCATCTCTTTGAAGGAGCAAACTCGAGACCTGACAAGAAACTAATATTTCCTCTTCCTAACTTTGAAACTCATTGATCGGATAACATTATCATCCGCTAACATTGTCTCCCCGAGAGGGCTTACGGATTCAGGCTTGGTGAAGTAGGTGAACAGAAGGTAAATGCCATCCAAATAAGTGTTGGACTCACCAGCTTTGTTTTTCTTCTTGATGCCATATGCAAGGGGAATAACTCCTCTGTTAAAAACCTCTACGTACATGCCACCTCCAGCAACAAGAATCTGCAAGGAAAATCATCGCAATGGTGTAAAAAATTCAGTTCACATACACTCCAAATCCATCAGCTCAGTAAACACTGCCGTTTAAGTCCACACTTATTATTATTGCTTAAATTGCAAGGAGACCGTCACCTCTATTGACACATAACCACAGCAACACACTAATCAAACTTCAACTTAATCAAAGCAAGGTTATCAAATTGAGACTCAAATCATGAATCAAAATTTGTATCAAACCATAAGATTCAGTGAAAAAATGATTTCAAACATATTAAAAATATAGTTTGTATAGAGTGTACAGTATGATAATTTTATACTAAAATAGATACAACCACTTAATCACAAGCCTCATGAAACAAACTCTTATATCTGAGTTTGTAAAACCTCTATTTAAGAAATCTGGAATTGAAGCAACAGTATAGCTAACAGACTGCATGCAACGAAGGAGTGGGCAACAAATGAAGTAGTGAAATAAGTTGAGATGTTCCTTTAATTCCTTTTCATTAAGCTTATATGACTTTTCAATTTCTTTATCCAGAATTTGTGCAAGAAAAGTAAAAAGAAACAGAAAAAGAAAAAGAAAAAAATGATGTATAGTTGAATTGTGTAATTTGTATCAACTATACGAAATTGTCCATAGTCTATGAGATTAATTTTATGATACAAATCCATAGTTAGCCTAAGCCAAATCATATCTAATCGTAGGAAAATCACGAACTTAAGATTCTAACAGCTATGCATCAAAGAACAATCAATTTATTATTCAAATTGAGCCACGTTGCATTTCACCCGAATGAGTATAAAGCTTTTCAAGAGGCGAGGGAATTACCCAAGTTTTGGAACTTACATGTGAATTTGTGCATTTATGATTTTGTTCATTTATATTTTTACAATTTTCCTCACATCTTTTCATATTCTTTCATCTTTGTACATTTATCATTTATCATTTATTATAATATGTTATTTGGCGGTCAAAATCCGCCAATGAACACCAGAAACATCATGTGAATTCACTCAGCACATACATAGAGAATTTCATTGCTGCAGTTTTTCCACAAATGAAAAATATAAAACATTCAGCAAAAGCACATTCAAGTGTATTTCTCGATCATAACCAGAAACAGAATCGCGCACACGAAACAAAAACAAATTGTAGACCTAACTACTATATATAATAAAGTTCAATTTTACTATCCTAATACATTTTATCTTATGCATGCAAAACAAGTAAAAGTCACAGAATTTAACCTCCTCGTATTTCTGGGTGAGTGCAAGTCGCTCATCCTCAGTCATGTCGGGTCTCAAAACCATCATTGTCTCGTACTGTCGGAGACCGGGTGGGCACGGAGGTTCCTCCTTTTCCTCGACGGCCGTGAACCCGGTTCCGCCGGGAGAATTGGGGTCGTCTTCGGAGCCGAAACCCCCTTCGAAGAAAGAGTCAGAGAAGTCTAGGGTTTGAGCTGTGATGGAAAACTTAGAACCTTTTCTCTTTGGGTAAAGGAGGGATCTTGATTCCGCAAAGAGAAGTTTGGGGCGATGAGAGAATGCGGCAATGGGAGAAGAAAGAAAAGTGGAAGTGGGTTTGGAAGAAGAATGAGGAACATTGAGGGAAGAAGAAGAAGAAAGCGGAACCGAAGTGAACGAAGACGATGCCATTGGTTTGCCCTGCTAAGATTAGAGGGCTTTGGAGGTGAAGCTGTTGTATCCTCTGCGGATAAGGCTAACTCAGCGCACACAAGCGCAATTTAGAATTTGTTTATAACTTTATTTTTTTTAATAATATTTCCATTAAAGCTTTCTAAAACAATACATTCTTTTTTTTTCCTTTAGCAATGACTCAAGTTTAAAGTAGACGTTGAAGAATTCAGTTTTGAAAAGTCACTCATATTTTTAATAATCGCGAATTTCTGGCCGCCGTTTGCTTGAAGCCTACTTCAATTTGTGAAATTGTAAGTATTTAATCCTTTTAATCTCTGACAAAGTTATCACTTTAAACCTTAAACTTTGAAAAAAGTCGTTCATTTTAGTCATTTTCTACTTCATTTCTTTATATCGTCATTTTGCGCCAATTGAAGTATAATGAATAACAGTTTTGATATGAAAAACTAACAGATTTTAAGTAGTTACTGCATGTCTTATCACTTTTTACACTTTAAATAAGTCTTCACTTTAATAGTACAACTCTTTAAGTCCCATATCATGAACCAAATTAAAAACGACTCTTAATTTTACGAATTCACCTAAAATCTAATGCCAAAATGTTGGAAGCTATTTTATTCCTTAAATTTAATTTTAGTCTTTACATATAACCTTTCAAATGCTGATTTCAATTTTAATAAATTAAAAAGAAAAAACCTTAAAGTTTAATATCACTCGAGAATATATGACCATAAATAAGTGATCTTAATAATCATTTAAATTTCTTGAAAAAAATAAGAATTAATAGATTACATTATAAATTAGTGATGTTAGTAACCATTTAAAATTTTGAAAAATAAAAACAACAAAAATATAGTTAGCACGAACGTGATAATATAAATGTGAATATTAGAATGAAATAATTTGCCTAACTTGAAATATTAACATGAAATAAAAATGTAATTTGCATAACATTAAATGTTGACAGCAAAGTTTCATCCAACTTTGTTAAAACAAATCATAATAACTTAGTAATCCATTAGTCCGATAACACTAGATTTAGAGTTAACATTATAATCTGTTTCAAAATATATACCGAACAGAATCAAGAAAATTTAAAACACTTATTGGGCCGGTCATTTAAAACCTCTACTAAAAAACATTAACATTGTCGTAAGTAATCTCTTCTTGAAAAAGTTGACTAGAAATTCTAAGAAAGAGATAACTTAGTAATCCATTAGTCCGATAACACTAGATTTAGAGTAACATTATAATCTGTTTCAAAATATATACCGAACAGAATCAAGAAAATTTAAAACACTTATTGGGCCGGTCATTTAAAACCTCTACTAAAAAACATTAACATTGTCGTAAGTAATCTCTTCTTGAAAAAGTTGACTAGAAATTCTAAGAAAGAGAGAGAGAGAGAGAGAGAGAGAGAGAAGGGAAGATAATGATGAAGGGTAAAACCTGAAATATAATAAATGATGTTATGAAAATAAAAAATAGACACAACTCAATTATGTACAAATTGTTATATATTGATATCCATCGCATTAGAAAAACGTTGAAAACAAACAAGTATGTTTCTTCGCCTTTCTGTCAAAAATTTCCTTGCCCTAATTAAGTACACCCTTCACGAAACAACATATAGCAATGTCATGTTTCTTTATTTAAAATTTTTTATGATTATTAGGTAGGTTATATTATGGCCAATCCGAAGGTTGCAAGAAGAATATAGAAAATGTCTACGATGGGGACTCACCATAAGTACTGCTGAGGAAAAATATGCATGCCTTTAAGACGCATTACCTGTTAAAATCCTAGGTCAAAACTCGGGATTGTTTCTCTTTCACACGAGAACTCCTCACCACTCTTCCCTTCATTGGTAATGAGGTAAGATTGGCAACCAAAATCTTTGTCATTCGTATTTGTCTGGGCTTCCTTCTGAGTTTGAAAAGGCAAAATTTGAGACAGCTTAAGATTTCTCTAACATGAATAATGGAAACACGTGCATTTGTTATCTTTTTTTTTTTTTTCATTTTTACGTTGAAAATTTTAAATGTTATTCCGAACAGCATCAATCTAAACAAATACAATCAAAATTGTTCGAACAATGATCCTTTTATCCGGGCACCAAACAACGACTATATGATGAACGCTAACACTTAAAAAATAACAAGATCTCTACATGATATCTAATCATCAAGAGACTCATTTATGAAATTATAAGTCACTTTCAGAAAATGCAAAAAAAGAGGGAGACTATACCTGGTGGGACATGTTGACATGATCAGTAGATTGGAAACTATCACCACTACATGCTGCTGCAAAACCCATTTCAAGCAGAGTCAAACTAGAGTTACGAATCTCTCTATCTCAACAAGCAAAACATGGAGGAGCAACTAAGAAATACCTCCTAATATCACAATTGAATGTGCTAGAAATCCAATAATTCCATCTATTCTTGACCTACCTCCAGACAATGTAATATCAAGGGATTTCGCAGTCACAGTTGATTCCTTATCCCCAATATTTTGACAGGAATTATCAACCTCAGCTGATTTCCTGTCCCCAATATTTTGACGAGACCCATTGGGCGATTGGCCTCCTGCAGAAAAATTCCATATAATCACGTCATCAGACCATAAGTAACCTGTCTACCTAGTTAGTTACATGGCTAACCTGTTACATAACTCTCTTGAGGCTTCAGGTTAGGATTCTGTAAAACGGACAGTATTTGATTGACTGCACAATAGCAAAAATCAGTAGCATGAAGAAATAATGATATAATATAACGTCAGCAAACCCACGCACATCCTACTTTGTCATCACAGCGTCTCTTGTTGCAGAATGATTAGCCCCATCCAATTTTACAGATAACAATATAATAGAACCGCATTATTTATGTAATTTACAACGTCCAGACAATAATATTAATAACTACACATCGGTTTCCTCCATTTTTCCCATAATTCAAAATTTGGGATGCCGATGCTAATATACGATGATGGATAAATATCAATCATTTGATGATTAAGTCATTGTTTGAATTAGAAATCATGAATCAACTTAATCCTAATGTAGGATATTCATGTTTATAAAGAAAATCATTATCACTATTCTACAGAATGCTTGCAAAAGAATAAAACTGAATCACTTTTCTATTGAAGATGGGAGGAAAAAATAATACAAATGAAACAGGAAGATGAGTGTTAAAACTAAACACTGCAGGCATTTAATATGTACGAACCATCACGTAAAGGCTTGACTGATGGGGTTATCTTGTTTGATTTTATCTCTTCTCGTTCGGTAATCAGACACTCCAATCCAGAACCTTTCCCCGGACAAAGTTCACACAGAGGTTTTCCTGCATGCCATAACCATAAACATATGAGAAAGAGTCCATTCCAGATATACTTTCTGCTTATTTTCTAGGAGTCTGTTTATGGATTTTTATTGTGATTTATTCTCAATTATTTCCGATTCATAGCTTCTTTCTCAATTATAGGCCTTCGGAAGAACTCATGTGGAGTTTAACTGAGCTTTGTGAAAATCGCTTACAACTCCCATAAGTTCTTCTCAAACTTATTTCAATAAGCTTCTTGTAAGCATTTTGCCATTAAAATAAGATCATGTTTGACTATGCAGTCAGTTTTATGGTCAAATAAGCACTTGTTCATCCAAAAATCCATATATAAGGAAAACAGAATTTCTTCTCTGCTTCTGAAGTATTATTATTCAATGTTTAAATTTTTGTAATAAATTTCTGATTATAATGGAAGTCATAAAATTAATAAAAATAAAGATAGGACATAAGCTTAAAAGGCAAAGACAAACTAAATGAGCAAGGATAATAATTTATTTAGATTCAAATTGCATTCACAGAACTACATAGTATACAATTACACTTTGAATAAGTCAAGGACTAACCTTTAGCAAAAGATGGACTGACCTTGTGGCAGCCATCTTGTCCATATCCTCTCCTCTCAACTTTATTACCATTCCCACTTCCATTTAAGTTTGCAGGAGACTGATGACTTCCTTCAGGTTCTCCTACTTCAACAAAATGTCCATCAAAATATACTGACTCACCTGCCGTTATAATTTCATCTTTCTGTAGGAACCTGCGTTCTAAAGGTCTTTTGCTCAAATCATACAGAACAACCTGAAAAGAGAACATTAGCTGAGGAGAGACTTAATTTTAAGCTTTTATCACATCAACATGAAAACTGATATCAGAACTTTCTCCATTAAACTTATTGAAATAAGCCAATTAGAGCACATAGGATTCAAAAAGCCGAATAAACTCTATAGAAGATCATCCAAGGATCCAGTTTCAAATTCAAAGAGACACAGGATAGATTGAAGAGGCAAAAGATAAAATTATAGCATGTGTGAAAAGCCAAAAATTAACCTGCTTCCCAAAAGATCCACAAAGTTCAATGCGTAAAAAGCCATCATGATACTTCTTAGCTTTTTTAGTTAATTCTGTAGTGTATAGGACCTGCCATTCTAAATTGAAAGGAAAGACATATACAAGTGAAAAACTAAATGAAGGTGATAATAATAAAGATAATCAAAACGGCAAACAAATGCAAACTCTGACATAATGAGCTGCAGATGAAATTGATCATATTTTTCAAAAAAAACGATTCTCTAATAGGTTTCGGTGAATTGATAGTAAAATTATATAAGTAATAATTGTCAGGCATATATTTATAATATGTGTGTGTGAATAGCATGCTGCATACCAGAGCTTATGAATTCTTACAACTGTTTGTTAATTTAGATTAAATTTTCTAATAACTTCCTGTTCTGTAAATCAAAAGCATAAATGCTGCATTTTATATCCAGTTTTCCACTGTATTAGATTAACATAACTAAATAGAATAGCTGAGTTTATCACTGTGATTTGATTTGTAAACAATTATCAGCTTATTAGAGCAAATCATATAAAGCATTGGCATGTGCAGACCCCGGACCTACATCTCCCTCTATCTATTTTACCTTTTCTTCCTTCAATTTCACACACGCACACACCCACACGCGCACATGTACACACACACTCTCTCACACACACACACACATATATATATGCTTACCATTTTTTCCAGCATTTACATGGGTATCAGATTGGAGACAATTTTTCTGTGTGTCCATCCTCATTTCCTCAACATTGGTCAACCTGTATCCTGGAACTTTGGAATCTGGTGAACTACCTTGATGCTCACAAATGTCAATCAAATATGAATCAAATGCAATTGATTCACCAGGTTTTATTACATCATCTTTCTTACGAAATCTGCTATCTAAGAGTTTCTTGCTTGTGTCAAACAGAATAATCTGAAATATACACAAAGAGAGATTAAAACAATTCTTACGTGAGGCAAAGGTACAGTTAGGATAATATTAAAATAATAATAAAGAGTCTGTTGTGAAGCATATTTAAATATCATCTCGAGCTTTTAATTAGCTGTGCCTTTTGCCAATAGAAACCATGCTCAATCAAGAATTGCTTCATCATTCTGACTACAACTAATACTAGTCATAGGCACTACAACTAACACTACTGATAGGGACATTTAATGTGAACTTGGATTAGCTTACTTGTGTTAAAAACAACAAAATCTTATTGAATAATCTTTTGAGGGGAACTAATTTCTAAAAATCATATTATCAAAAGGATAACCAATAAAATGGGTTGAGAGCGTATCTATTAAAATGACCTTACCAATCAAATCCTTAGAAGAACATAAATTGACTTTTTGATAAATGAAATATGTCCGAAACTCACCTGTGCCCCACAGGATCCACGAGGAACAAGTCTTAAAAAACCATCATGGTACTTCTTTGCCTTTTGAGTGACTTGTGTGGTGTATAGAACATGCCACTCTAATTGGAAATAGAAGAACTTAATATAGGTAGATAATTAAAAAATGGAAGTTGGTTATACAAGATCATAATGCAGGTGCATTATGTATCTCGATTTAGAATTATATGCTGCATTCCCATGTTTTACACAAGGATGGGAAATTGAAAGAGGAAGCAAAACAGAATGAACCCAGTATGTAAAATAAAATTTTACTATATGACACACTAACCTTCAACACTAGATTTTTGTGCTTGCTGACTGATCTTTGGTGATCCATACTTCAGCAGTTCTCTCTTCTTAAATTCTGCAATTTTTACAACTATTATACATAAATAACTGCACTGTAGAGCAAACCATACCAGTAACTACAGCTAATTAATATCAACATTACTTGTAGGTTGTAGCGTTCTAGATCATTGGCATGAACTCTAAGAGTGTATAAGTAATTTCAAAAAGTCTAAGGAGCCAACACTGGGGAAAAAAAATTGATGTCATTGTCTACCTTTGATCATTTTTTGCGACGGACTGAGAGGGCTCCGCAAACGTCCGGCATTCTCCTTCTCGTTTGTTTTTGAATCTTTAGCACAATCTCGTAAACGAAGACATCAGCAGCAAATAGGATTAAGGACTTCAAATGCCTATCAAGAAAATTAATGAATATCTCAAATTCTCAATATATCAGAGAATTCATACCAGAAGGAGTCCTGAATCTTGAAAAACTCCTATTTTTCCTATCAACATTCAACTCAGATACAGGTTGCTTATCTCCCTCCAGCTCGCCGATGTCAACAAGGTAACCATTAAAAACCAATGATTCACCAGAGGTTACAGTTTCGTCGTTTTTCAAGAGCCGACATTCCAACAGTTTCTCGAACTCATCGTACAGCGCAACCTGCACAGTGATTGAGCAAGAAATGAGATAGTCCGTCCAAAGTCAATTACCGAATTTTGATGGATCAAGACAGAAAGAGGAGACTTCCCCTTATTCTTGATGGATTCGATCTATTTCATCGATACTCTTTCAATCTACCAGAATGGATCAGGCTATCTATCAATCCATTTGAAAATAGCGCGTTCATCTCGCCTTTAGTTCATAAATTGTCGAAAATTTACTATGAAATAGTTTATACAATACCTTGCTGGAGGAAACGTGGAGCGCTAGGTATCCATCTTGATACACCTTGCGTTTCTGCTTGATGTGTTTTGTATAGGTCACCGTCCAACGTTTCGAGTCCCCCATTCACATCAATGGAGATTGAGTTTTATATATGTTTTTCACTCTTCTCTGTTCTCTAAAACCCTACCGCCTTTAACCTTTCCTAGCAAGAATTTGCAGAGTGATACCGCGGGAACGGGGAGGATAAGAAATTCATTTACACTTTAAAAAAAAAATAATCTATATGTAAAATATATTCTATACCGTCGTTTTTATTCAAATGTCAGTAATAAACACAGCACCATATTAATTTCCCAAATTATTGTAATCACCACACCAGATTACATTTTTTATGAATCACAAATAATAATAATATTTTAGAGAGAAGCTTTTTGTTGTAATAAAACATTTTATCACGTAATAAAATATTATTTAATAATAATAATGAATAGGTAAAATCTGTAAATTTGTAAATATATTGTTAAATTTTTATTTTATTTTTCAATTCTTAAGATTTGTAGTTTGGTATTTGGTAATTATAATAAAAGTGATGATATTTTGAAAATTAAAAATTATACTATTTTTCGAATAATTATTTTTATTAATATAATAATCTATAGAATCATTTAATAAAAATAAAAATAAAGTAAAATTATTATTATAATATTTAATAATAATAAAAATAAAGTAAAATTATTATTATAATATTAAAAAAGAGTTGTTTATAAGAGTGATGGTTGATGTTATCTTTATAATCTCAGGATTTAAGCTTGTTAGTTAGAGAAACTTGGCGAACTCGTCACAACTAATTCTTGTTTTCTCCTTTTTTTTCCAACTTGACACTTCACACCTTCCCAATTTATGCACACTATCATTGCTCAATAAAACTCATTTTCATTTCCAACAAAAATACAAATACAATCCAGATTGAATTCATAATTCCATCAAATTACAAAACTTTATAATTTGTACTGAAGTCAATGAATCCTGCGACCTGGCAACGAGCATTAGAACACTGAGGCTTTTAGTCTCCTTCCCAACTCCTTTCTGTTCATAAAGAAATTATCATTACTGTTAGCATAACATCAAAGAAAAAATTTCTCATGTCAATGAATAAAATATTTTAGCCTTACCTAACCAGTTCCCTATCAAAACCTGAAGCAGCCAAGACTCCTCTATTCTCTTCAGCCCTTCTGAGAAGGTATGGCATAACCATTTCTACAGGCCCAAATGGCATATACTTGCTAACCTGAAACCCTGCATTGCTCAAACCGTAGGAAAGTGCATCTGACATTCCATATAGCTGTGCAAATTCTAGCTTGTGCTTCACCTTTTCGACTCCTAATTCATGTGCTTTTGCCACAGCCAATTTGCCTGCATGCACAACATTGTCTCATCATCTCAAACACTTGAATTGAGCTGCTAAGCTTCTTCTTATATTATAACAAGTAAACAGTTCATGGAGTGACATCATAAAAGGATTCTTTAATTTTATCAGATAGAAATTGATATATATGATAAGTGTTAAACTTTAAACTTTACTATAAATCATGAGAAATTGAATAATAAATCTCAAGTACCAGATTCAATGTTGTGGGTTGCAAGAACAACTGAACCAGGTCCATTGGCAACCTTCTCAAGCAGAAATGATGAGCAGTCATTGAAGCAATTGTGTGTGTCTTGAATGGTATCGTGAATTGGGGATGCATATCCAAAAGACTCAGCCAATTTACTCTCTGTGGACATGTAAGCACCCCTCACCAGTTTGAACCCCATTGGAACTCCCATTTTCTCTGCTGCCTTTATTGTCAGCAACAACCTCTCCTTGGCATCTTTCAAGTAAGATTGAATGGTTCCAAACACAATGGGGTTGTTATCCTTGTTGTGGATGATGGCAGAAGAGTATGTGAAGTAATCAATAGCAGGCTGAACAGTAGTGTGTTCAGCATCAACTAACAAAGGCATATTAGCTTCCTCACATTTTTGGCCAAGTTTAAGGAGTCGTTGGTTGGCAAGTTGAAGATCACTCTCTTCTTCTGGGGTTAGAGGCTTTGGCCTCTTCTGTGTGTGGTACAGAGGGCTAGATTCTGCAAAAATCGGGAGGGAATCTTGCTTCCATGGCAAAACGAATGAAGGGTGTTTCTGTTGCCATCTTAGAAGGTCACTTAATCTTTCTAGCAGTGGCATGGGGCATATTGCAGTGATTTTCACAATAACAAAACTAACCTATCACATCAAAGAAAAACTAATGAAAATTACGTAAAAGAAAGAAAACATGAAATACAAATAAAGAGCATAACTTCTGAACAAAAATAATGTTTGACAATCGTAGTTAATTTATAAGTAATAATGTTTTCAACATTTCTTTGAATGTGATATACATTTTTTTAATCTACTACGATACAAAAGTGATGAGACTAATGTATTGTCACAAATCGTGTTTTTCTTTTCGTAAGAGCCTAGAAAAAACTAAGTTTAATTTTACCATTTATCTATTATTATTACTTTGTTAATTTTATCTTTAATATTTATCATTTGACATTTTGCTATCATAAAAAAAATCAAAATCATGTTAAAAATGGAAATAAAACTTTCTTTTGGTAATAATTCATCTGTTATAAATTTAACATAGGTAAAAAAAAAATCTAAAATTTGCAAAAAATGATAATAGATTGGTAATAAAATCTACCATTTAAAGCCTACAAAATAAAGGAACTTACAGAGGATGGTGGAAAGGATTTGCTAACATCAACATTGTTAAGGAACCATTGAAGGTTCTTATCACACCCCTCATTATCGTGAGCATCTTCCACCCCATAAACCAGCATGCTACGCAACCCGGTGTCGTTCAGTGCCCGTATGCTCCTCCCAGCAGCGGCAGCATCCTCGCCGGCGCAAAAGTGGGAGTAGAACGTCTGGCGCATGGTGGTCATCACAAGATCTTTCATCACTCCACTCTCGAACACGCTCGACTTCATCACCCACATTCCCAAGTCCACCAGGGACTCCACCGCCATTGCATGTTGCACAACTGAGGATCGGAGCAACTGTTTCGTCGACACCGACCCAAACAGCTGCTCTGAGTCCTCTAAGCTTAGCGTCGCTGCCGCAGGGGACGGTGACGCGATGGCCGTGGAGATGGAAGGGTGGAATGTCTTGAGGGGCTTCGTCGTGGTGTTGCAACGAAGGTTCTTGAGGATTCTAGGAGAGATCACGCGGAATGCCATTTTTTATGATGCTTTTTTGTTGCTGAAGAGATTAACGTGTGTGTGTGTGTATGTTTTTTTTTTCTTTGTTTTATTGTGTTCTCTCTTCTTCCCAGGTGTGGAAATGATGAAAGAAAGGGTGTGGCGTTTTATAAGTGGCGGTAGCATGAGGAAATGGGTGTGTGATTAAAGGAAACAACAACACTACAACGATAAGTTGGGTAATGTTGCATGGTGTAAGGGTGTGCATGTGATAATATTAGGGTAGTCAACTTGGTTTGTGTTTTCATTTTTAGTAAACTATGATCATTTCGTCTTTTCCAACCTTTGATAGTAATGCCAACACGATAATGTTAAACATATGAAGTGATAAAAATGGTAAAATTGACAGATTTTCAATTTTTTTTACTCACATTATGTTATGAATATAAAAAATAACAAACTCTTAAAAGGAAAAAGTTCTAAAAAAATTTACTACAATTAATTATACACGTAATATTTGCTTTAAAAATATTCACTATCTAGATTCTACTAATTTTATATAATATTATAATTTTGTATCAAAATTTACTTCTAAATATTTATAAATTAGAACTAAAAAATATGGTAGAATCTTACCTTTTAATATACTTATTAACATATTTTTCTCTTCTCTATTGTTAGTTAAAATTGTAATTTTCTAGACGCATCATTAAATAAAAAAATAAGATGTCTATATACATTTAGCCAATATGTAATGGAAAATGTTGCTAACTTTTCTTTTATGTATTCACATATATTTAGTGATTTTATATGAAAATTGAGTAATGCATATATCTCAAATTCATATTCTAAGTTTGAATTACTTCATATAATAAGTAGATTCGAATTCATATTATGAGTGTGAGTTATGGAGATAAAATATAATCATTGTGTTGTTATGGCAAGATATGAAACATGTTGGATGAAATTTGAAGAATTTATTTTATTTAATTTTTCGGTATAGTATGAAATTCTAGGTTTCGCTAGAAATAAAGTTTTAAAAAATTTAACGTTAGAAAAATTTTATTTATGCTTGAAAATTTTCAAAAGTAAAATAAATAACTCTATCTGATGAATGAAAATAAGGTTATAAAATACATAGTTTATGTTCTACTTCTGCATAAGATTATTTTTTCACAATGAAAAGGTTTTGATTCTATCGAATAAATCAAATAAGATGGAATCCATGTTACAATATATCATAATAAACTAATTAATTTTAATGTGAAAAAATATGATTTTAAATATGAGTCTTATGCATAAAATATTTTATTAATGCATATAAAAGCGATTAAAATTTGGATGAGAAGAAATTAAGCACAAAAGAAATTAATTCTCACTCGTAAGGAATGATATCAGAAAGAAGAAGTATATAAATATATAACTTTGTAGTTTTGTTAACACTAGGGTCATTGAATCTCTAGTAATATTTGTTTAAGTAGAATGTTGACATTTTTAAAGTATATACACACGAAATAGAAAGTCGTATTTTGTAATTTTAAAAAAATATAAAATATCGTTAACTCAAATACTTTTAATTATTTACATAATATCATTAATTGCTAAAAAATATATGTTTAATTGTCACAAATTTACTTGCATATCATAATAGAAAAATTATTTTGAAATAAAATGATGATATTAAAAATAAATTATTCATTATATTAAAGAAACTAAAACAGAATAAAAACTATTATAAACCTTCTATTACTTCATATTTCTTTTGTGTTTTAAATTTGTTTTGTCTGGGTGAAGTATGTCAAAGTAAGTTAAGTATTGACTACAAAATTTATAAAAAGAAAAAAATATTGAAAATAAGATGACCTAATAATAATTTAGATTAAAAAGTTAAAAAAAATAATTACATATTTAAGCTGAATTGAGTAATTTTTTGTTAAACTTATTTAATCCATAGTTTAATTGACTTAAATCAAACTAGTTATTTTATAAAAATGATATTTTTTATTAAAATAAATACATGTATTATAATTTATATCTAAAATTGTTTTATTTAAAATTATAATTAAGCTTATTCATATGATATGATTTAAAGTTTAAAAATATATATTCAATTTAAAAAATATTTTTAATTTTTTAAAAAATAACTCATGAATGTTGATCTACTTAACATTATATACTAAACTTAAAAATATGAATAGCTTTAAAATATAAAACCGGACCAAGACAATTTTTTAAAATGAATTATTCGACAAGGGTATTTTAACACCTCTAATTGAAAGCTTTAACATTACTATATTAACATACATAAATCTCTTATTTTTTGAAACACATGACTGTGAATTCTAAGATCAATAAGGAAAAAAAATAATGATAAAGGATATCAACTTGGAAGAATTGTTAAAATCCTGGTCATTGAGAATAATTTATAATCATATTAGTGCCTCAAATTGATTAATGTTACAGAACTTGAAATTGATTAATGCAGGTATATGACAAACTTTTCCAAAAGTTAAAAGAAAAAAACCTATTAATATATTTTAGACAAACATGTGATCAAAGAAAAACGTGAATGAAAAATTAAATTTCAAAAGATAAAGCTAATGACAATAGGAGAATTTTTATATTCAATTACTTCTTTCACAATTAAAGTTTGGTGAAAAACACACAAAATTAAATATTTAAGATGATGCAATAATTTGTACATGTCAAAAATTTCTTTTACAAATTAAAAAATGGAAAAAAAATTCTGAAATTGGTGTAAGTGCAATATGCAATCATCCTAATTAAAGTTTATTATTTAACGTTTTTTTTTTTCATTTTACTCAATTTTTATTTACATATATACTAAACTTAATTTAATAATCTATTTTGACAATGTGTTTCTTTGCATATGGGAATGAGGTGTCACATATGGACTATACATTAGCCTACGTGATCCAACTATATTAATACCACCAACGTAGTAAAAAAGACAAACACACCACATGAAAATCACAACCCAACTATTTAACTTACGTTAGGTAACACATTCTTATTCTAATTATACTTAGTAGATACAAAATGCTATGTGCATGAGGCTAGCTAATAATCCTGCATGAGAATCACATTTTCTATAAATATGATTTATAAAAAAGTACATTATTTTATTTTATTTTTTTGTAAATTCATAAAAAATATTTGGGAAATTGTAACTTGGCCTCAGTTGGTGGTCAAATCCAACATAGGATTAAAGTTTAATAACTACTATTTACAATAATGATAATTAATAATACGAAATAAATTAATAATAGAAGATATAGGTTTAGCATTTAAACTTTGTTGCAGTTGATGTAATCTGAATACAATTATAGGAGGTTGAATCTACTACAAAGCAATGGTTGAAGTTGCATATAACTAAACCTCTTATTGAGAGAACAGAGTGGAGAAAGGGAGATTAACAATGATCATGAACCATGATCAATTATTTGGCTTGAATTGTTGGCTACCAATATTGGCCACCATAACCTGGGTCAGATTCACGTCTTTGTTAGCATTTCTTGCTGTTATTTGTCTCTGAGTGGACTTGTAATAGGTGGCATACAGAATCAGTTGAGCCACCGAAAGTAAAGTCCCAAGTCCATTTGGTATCTGAAAATCAATAATAATACCAAAATGTTATCATCATTCATTTCCTTTAAAGTGATTAGGTTAATTATAAAAATTCTTGAAATTATTTGTATTTACAGTGATGAATGGGTCGAAACGGATGAGAGCATAAGTAGTCCAAGCCACGCCATTCCCAAAAGAGGCAAGAGAGATGTAAAAGGGCATGTACTCAACACTCTTAGTCTTGATTACCAGTTTCTGCACCATAGTCAACACAATCAATACCATTATTTACCTTAAACACATGGTAATTCATTGCTAAATATAATACCCTTTTGAAGAAAAAGTTTGTTCCTTTACTATGAAACTGATTTTACTAAAAACTTTATTTGATAAAGAGTAAATATTTATAATCAAGTGACACGATATATTTACCAATTTTTAACATTACAAAGACAGCTACAAAACAGTATTTGTCACCACCATATAAGATCTTGATATCATGAACGAATAATATATATTAGTGTCTCCACGTGCCTCTGATTGCAACCAACCTTTTTCCATGCTCATGAGTGCAATATAACATGAATTAATGCATCGAAAAGAAGAGATATAGAAAGAGAGTTTACCATGATAGATAAGGGTGAAGCATACATCATAATATTGCAGAGAATGCAAATGGTTCCCACAATTTCAGAGCGTTTTTTGAGGGTGTGGACTTGAGTTAACGTGACGAAGATGAGAGCTGCCATTAAAACGAGTTCCAACAAGAGCCAGAGAAAAACCTTGAGCCTCTTTTTTCCATCGGAGTATATCAAAAAGAGTGTGATAAATATGAGTTCAATGACGCAGCCAGAACCATTAATGGTTACGACCAAAATGCTGTGTGCGTGCACCATGGGTAGACCGTAGAGGGTCCAAACCATGCAGTTCACCAGCGTAGCCAAGTATGGGATTGGTGAGAACTGCTCCACTGACCCCTTCTTCCATATTTCGAGAAAAGTGGGTCTGCATGAATTTGAAGAACAAGTTCATATTTTTCGATGAAGATCAAAATTAGTTGGTATTTTATACTCATAATTATGTTTTTTTGTGTGATGTTTTAATGGAGCCACAAAAAGAAAATACACTCCCAGTCTTGCTTATTCTTGGTTGAGGTTCAACTAGAATTTTTTGTATCATAAATTAGAAAATTTGAATATACATCTAAACTATTAAAAATAGTTCTTATATATTCTATAAGAAATCAGAATTATAAAACACAAATCAATATTTTTTACAAAGACCATTGGGCAAAACTAAACAATATATATTATAAAACCCAAAAAAAAATATATATATATATATATATATATATATATATATGACTTGTATAATTATAAGATGACCATTATAATTAACTTTTAATGTTTACCATCAACACATACTAATAATATATATTTGTAAAGTCTGGATTTATGGTTCTTATTTCTGGAAGGCAAAAGTTTTCTCTTTTTTCATCTTGATATATTCAATCATTTGTGTATGGACAGACTTGGGATTGTAACTCTATTCGGTGCACTTGGAATATATTAATTATAAAAACATTATCTTATGTTATTCGTAAAGGTATAAGAAACGGTGAAATAATAACAAAAAAGAGTTGTGTCTATTCTTTTTCTATACGATTAAAAAATAAAAAGGAAACGCAGGGTAATATTTTAATTAGAAAATAAAATAGCGCTATAATTTTTTTTAGAATTTCAACAGTTTGGCATTGATAAAACAACTACCATATTATGAGAATGAAGGAAACGAAAAACATAAAAAAAAAATAATAATAATAATAATTTCAACACCCAACTTTCCTTTATGAGGTCAAAGAAATTTTCTTCTCAGAGGAGAAATTTGGATGAGCTCATTTTTTGTATAAAAAAAAAAAGGAAGAAAAAGTTAAGAGAGAAAGATGAAACTTACACAGGGGAGAGAAACAAGGCACCTGAGATGATGTTTCCTGAAGTTAAAAAAAATACAAATAGGAAAGAACAAGATTGATTCATAAGAGTGAAAATGAAAAAAATAAGGAACATTATTTAAGAATGTAAAGTTGAAGCAGCGACCTATGATGCCAACCACTGTTCGAGCAATATCTGCTGCTGTCATGGTTCCAATTAGCTACAGAGAATCGTAGGAGAAGGAGAATTGGTATAAAAAGATAAAAGCATATATAAGAGAGAGAGAAAAGTGGCGTTTTGTTACTGAAACATGAATTGTGAGAAATGAATTCGGAGGAGTGGGTGAAAGAAGGAGATGGATATAACAAAAAGTGAAATTAGGGTAAATGAGTAAATGGAGTTTTGGTGGTATCGGAATTGTCGAAGAACATGCATGACATGTATTGGGTTGCCTGCTACACCTGTATGTTTTCTGCTCCTTAAATAGAGCCAGGAATGAGACAACTATGTCTGATTTTCTTAAAAATATAACACATCACAAATATGTACGTGTAATATTTTTTAAAACAATTAAGGAAACCAAAAAAAAAAAAAACATCTTAAATGGGTAAATATATATCTATTTTAACAATTCTTTAACATCCGTAAGCATCTATCTTACCTGCCCATAGGTACAAATATTGTCCTTTGTTCTTTTGAACAATTAAGAAAATAAGTGTGTTAATAGAAAAAAAAATATTGTTATAATTTCACAAAATCTCAAAAAAGTTATTAGTATAATTTATTTTACATAATATAATAATGGTGTATATTATCATTTTTTTATATATATATATATATATATATATATATATATAATGTTATGATTTATATTAATATTAAAATGGATATTATAGTTAACTGTAGTTACATTGTTTTGCTTTTATAGTATTATACCTTCTAAATTAAACATATACAGAATAAAAAAAACTATAATTTAAACATATTTTGCTATTTTGTCGTGGTTAATTAGGTTTCAATGGCACCCATGGTTTTCTTAAGTTCGTGCTTTTAAAATGGTCACTACTCAGCCATCGCCACAGTGATCATAAAAAAGCGACTAGAAATTATTCTCTATCACTGTCACAGCCCCTAAAATAAACAAATATTATTAAATTAAAAAAAAAGGAGTACTGTTAAGCTAATGATTTCACACGTCATTATTAAAACATTAATACGCTAAAAATGATAAATGATCAATTGTTAATATTTATTTTTCATGAAAATGCCATGTGGTACGTGTATGATATATTGTCAAATACTTCAATTTGTAGTATAAGAGAAAGAAAATTAATTCGTATTATTTAAGAGAGTTAGCAATGTTTAATTATATTAATTTTTTTAAAATAATATTTTTAAATTATCCTTCTTTTTTAAAAATTTAGATATGACTAAAGAAGAGTCACTAAGTCTTAACAAACATTTACCAACAAATTCGAGACCGAAGGAGTTCTCAAATAATTTCTTTCAATTTGTTTGCTATTAAAGAAAGCTTATAGATTATATAGTATAATTATTATTCGTCTGTGTTGAAATGAATTCAACTTACTAATTACTTGTATTATATTATATTATATTATTAGTTGTAATTTTATTTCATAAAAATCGTTTATTTCTCTTTCCATAATAGTCATGTGATGATAATAAAAGGATTAAAGTGTTTAAACGTACGATAACAATTTCTCATTCTCTTACTCGTTTTGTTAACAATTAATCAAATATGTATTCTTCTTATATCTTCTTTAGGTTCAAACCACTATTGATAATTCCACAACCTTGAAGTGATTTGGTGAATGCATTGTTGGACAAAGAAATTTGCCCACTATGTAGAATTATTGGACAACTATTTGAGCCTAAAAGCAATATTTAAAGAGACAAATGTCTGAAATAATTTGGAGATTGGTTAAGAAGATAATCGGAAAAAGAAAGGTACCTAATATATATATAAGTCATCTTTCTCAACCCGAGAGACCCATTTGAAATAATTTGGAAAGAAAACGTAGTTTTCAATTTTTCACTATATATATCTCCATATGTATTATAGCTCCTAGATTAATTTTCAAATCTCAAATTTGTAATGAGAGTGGTAATTATAGAAAGTTCTTAGTGGCCATAAAAATAATTCAAACCTTCGTAAACATAATTTAATTTCTTTGTAATCAATCAATGTTACAAAAATGGAGGAAAAAGAAAAAGTAAATGCCATAAGAAACAAAAATGGCAAACTTGTAAGCACCAAAATGGCAAAAAGCTTTAGATTAAGTCAAATAACCCCTTCAATAATTTCCATCACTTTTTAGGATATAAAAATTAAATTATTTAGTAGACATTAAATTAATTTTAATGATATTATCATAATGGATTCTCGTTCTTAAACGAAATATTGATGTTCATTGTGAATCTGAAAATAGAATCTCATTTCATTCGTACGTATCTTTTAATTTTTGATCGGAGAATTATGTTCTGGTATATTTATGAGTCTTATATCACTTAAAAATTGAGTTTAAGAATAACTTATATGTACTATCCTCTCTAAATTTATTGAAATGTTTTTTAAAGATAAAATTGTGACAGACGAGAGTTTCAAAGTGAATAATACCTCGAAGAAATTAACTCTAACAATATTCTTATAATGGATATGAGATCGAAATATTATCGTTCTTAAAGGATACATACGGTGGCATTTTTGATGGAGGTGGTGAAGTAGGAAGCTTTATGTTGAATACTGAAAGTAATTAACAGCATAGCAGCATGAACAGTTAGTAAGTGAAAACATGGATAGAGAAAGATGGGTTGGGTTTGGCTATGATAGAACAAAGTGGAGGTATGTGGAGCTTAGTATTCATGCATGATTGTGTGTTTGTGTTGATTTAGTATGAGACAGTGACGTCTAAATTCCACCTACAAGTAGAAATTTCTTTTACAACAATTCCACCTACAAACACAAATTCCTTTCTCTCTCCACTAACCATCGAATCGATTCTTCGCACCTTCTTCTCTGCGAGGGTGGTGTAGATAGAAGAGGACATAAGGGAATGACATTTATTCATCTCAATCTATTCTTTATTATTTTTATATTTTTCTTTTCGAAATTGGGTGGATTAGAACCAACTCATCATTTTGAGTTTGAAAAAACATATATATTTTAACCTAGTTCATGTTGGTGAATTATAAGATATATTTTAGTTTCAAAGTCCAATTTGTTTTCTTTGAGTTTTATCTTCCTATAAATTTTGGTTACTTTTCCTAAAGAAGTGAAATACTATTAGAAAAATATTACTAAAAAGTGAATTTGAATCTGATTTAAAAAAATTTACAAAAATTTAGCTTTCGTTTGAATCACAATCCTATGAGAATATAACATGTCGGAATTCAAACATTAATTATTAATTTTTTTTTTTGCAATGAAATCTCTCATAGATAAATTGATTGTTATGTGTAACAATGCCCTTGTTTTCAAAACTTTTATTTATCCATGAAGAATGTTATGTTATTATACTTTGTTTATTTTATTCGTATGACTTGTAAAACATATCAAAACACCCAATTTCTTCTCAAAGAAAAGATACTTTAACATTTTAAAAATAAGATTAATGCGAAAATTAAAGTTATGATTCATTTTGCTTTGTCATATTACCAAATAATGGGATGAAATATTTGGTTCATTTCACTCTATGTTATCGTTAATCTAAACATAACTTAAATGTTTACTGATAAATGAATCAATAACAAGAAAACAAGATAAAATTAAAAATAATTTACATCATATTACTCAATTCATGTAAAAATGAGTTTGGTGTTCTCAACACAAGAATGAAGATTTCTCATTCAAATCCATGTATTCTTATTCTAGGAAAATAACAACGACAAGGTTTTATATGAAAGTGAGAAGAATAAATATAGTTCATATATTTATTCTTAAATAA